CATTCACAACGAGCATGCGTTGTAGAGAAATTTTGTCACGTGATGTGATATTTAATTAATATTGTACCCTTGATAAGCCTGTTTGGCATTGCTAGCCTTTCCAGTGTCTATTGACATAAAAGCTAAGAGAAGCCCAAAGCCAATTGGAGTTTATGTAATAACTATTTGAATTAATCATTAACCTATCAATTAAATGAAATAAGTATATTATGTGTTGAAGTAAAGAAATGATTGAAGTGAGATAAATACGTTCACCAGATTATTTTTCTGGGCCCGGTTGCACGAAGGCTGAAACAACGCCTTTCTGTTGACAGGATTGAGTTTCAATATGCAAAAAATCTCTTAATGGGATTGTAAAATTTCTTGGTGAAAAGGAAGATATATGTACCTGCTCTTTCTGAAAGTTTGAAATATTTAAAATCCAAAGGATATCGATGTCTAGGCTTTGTGCAGTCTGTCCCAGGACTACAGGTTTTCTTAAAAAAAACGTAACTCGCATAAATTAATTATGAATTCACTGAAATGATTATGCACAATAATGGAAATTAGCATTAAACACAATTTAAGAGCATGGCAGTTTTGCGCCCTTGGATTTCATAGGGTTTGTAAAGTATTTAAAGCAAAAAAAGTTAAAACTTAAAAGTACTGTCATGCGCTGATTTTCACCTCAAATTTATTACATAAAAGCTGAGTAACATCAAAGCAACTTTAACTGAGTTATAACGGCTACAAAAGCAAATCATATTTTCTATAAGTTATTGCGAACATGGACAAGCGTGTAACTAAACTAACCAGATGGGAAAATATAGCTATTTCTGACTAAATTATCTTAGGCAGATTTCATTTAATGCACAGAAAATTATTTATGCGAGGTTCATTTCTTTGGAGACAGCCTTTAAGGCTGAAACACACTAGGCAGTCGCTTCAGTCGCGCGTCCAAAGCGAATTGATGCGCACGCGTCAGTCGCTTGAACGCTAGAAACACACATGCAGCGACCATCGCGACATTTACCGTGGCGTCTATTGAACATGGCGGTGATTTTAGTTTGTTACAGACACAGATATCACTTAAACTTTTTATTTTGGCCTTTATTATTTCTACTAATATATGAATATTTACTCAGTACAAAATACTATGTGGAGAAAAGAGAACAAGCCAGTTAAAACACGCCAATATGATCATAGCACATTACGCGTATATTGTGGATAATCTTATTCTGTGCACTTAGGTTGTGCATTAGGGTTCCAGTTTGTAGCTCCTGTTGTCCCTATTTGATAAGTCATATAAAAACTGAAAGATTCCAGTGTGAATTCACTACACATTGCGTTCGTTTTCCAAGGTATAATCTATAAATTTCGTAGATCAATCAGTGTAGCGACCAAAGTCAAAAGTTCAACATGTTGAACTTTCAAAGCGACTAGCTTACGCGACTACGCTACAAGCTTAGTAACCACGCAAAGCGGTAGTTTTAGACGCGCGACTAAAGCGACTGCCTAGTGTGTTTCAGCCTTTATAACTTCCAGACTGGCTACGCTAGTGCTCAAGCAAATTTTATATTTTACAGGATGTATATAAAAAGAAAACCTTTAGAAATTAACCCATTGTGACAATTTAAGTATTTTCATGATTCTCGGCACACGAATTTGTGAAAATTTTTAGCTACATGCAAATATTATGAAACTTTGTCATAAACGGGAACGCCAGATCGTCGATAATCCGGGTGGGAGAATACTCACACATGCGTGTTTTGCCTGATTACTTTCTTTAAAATCAATTGTTTTTTACGATCTTATTTTGGGTGGGGACCTGTCAGGTTGCGATGCCGGGGTGTGCAAGGTCAAAGCAACCCTTTAATGCAAAACTGGTATACTCAGGGAGGCCGCTACAAGCGATACAGATCGACAGAGATTGTGAGTCTCTCCCCCAAGGACAAAACCAACAGAGAACATTAAGGAGAGATGTACGATCTCTCGATGATATGAAGCCCGAGCACGAATAGCAGTACAACCAACAAAGGCGACCCCCACGGCACTCGACCTTAAACAAAAACAAACGAAAGAACAAAAAAACAGCGACGATGTTACACATTTGTTATCTGAATAAAATTCACTGTTCCCATGCCAACACATATGCTCTCTTCATCCATCAACCCATTCAAGTATCTCTTAACGTACAAATATTCACAGGGCCATATTGAACTCCTGTTTTCCTGCATTTGCACAAGAAGTGGATGGAACAACAACCCCAACAGTCTCCAAATGAAGTATGCCCTTCGAAAAATGTTGAAGAGAAATGCCATTACTGCATCAAAAGATGCAAACTGTTTGGACTTTACTGGCAGCAACAACTTGATGAGACTTTTTCATAAAAGGAAACATTCACCCACATTACATAATTATAAAGGCCAAAGATCACACCAAATCATTGATTATTTAAAGACCAGACCAAAGTATTGATAAGCCAATTGAACATGCTCTGGTTTAAAGTACAGCAATGTATATTTCATTCCAAGTAATGCATTTCACCCAGCTATTTCATTAAATATTTTATTTTTAATTAATTATACTGTACTTCAAAATTATGGCCTAAACGCACAAAATGCAAAATTCAAAAGTATACTATTTACCATATTGGATTGGCCATAATTGCTTGTTGAAGTGGTTAAGAGCTTGTAAATTACAGTCGTATTTCAGAACAAAATGATAATTTATAATCTTTCTATAAAGCACAGGCTTTTAATGTAGAATACTATTGAATCGTTAGCATTAGGGAAAACTTTCCAGTGATTTTTGACTCGAAGAGTCATTCGTAAAGGTCAAAAAAAGTAATTAACTGGCTGTCACTATGGTAATCACATTTTTAATAAAATATGCGTGGCACGAAGAAATTCAATGTAGTGGCTGAACAGTATATTCCTTTTTCTGTGCTTAACATGTTCAAAAATACTTGATCCACTTACATGACCAGAGTATATGATTGGTTTGAAATACAATGAAGAACAATGCGCTATAGAAATGATAAATCCCGAGAACGAAAGCTATTATTTATTGCTATAGTCTTATTAATCCACTTGAAAAGCACACATTCATATTAGGTAGAACGTCGTAAAATTTTTTTCTTATCAAAACAAAATTACGGACACAAATTAATTCTACATTGTTTATTAAAAGAACTGCTTCTCCTTCAAATCAGCCGACATTAATTTGTAATTTACATGATTCAGCAAAAATCATTCCCCAACACTGTAAATTAAACGCAATTGAAAAGAAGAATACATATGGACTGAGGATATTTTACATTTCAAATTTCGAGCAAGAAACACGGTTGAATCGCGTTCACACCCCTCCATGGTGATGAATTAATGCTGAATCATGGAAATTTAGATCGTTTAATTTCAAGGCGGTAAGCCCGTTTATATTTTGAAAGTTAAATAGGATTGTGGACATTATTTCAGTACAAGAAAAGGACTAAATTGCTTTATGCCAATGATATAGAACCCAGTCCCCTTGATGTCTAACTACCGTGTCAAATCTAGACTATCAACTTTGCAACTGTACAGGAACTCAAGAAAAGAAGATATTAGTCGTAAATAGCGTCCGCTTTGCCACCTTTCAAGCTGGTGGCTTGCCTCACTTTTATTTATAGAGTTTTGGCTGAGTCAAATATCTAGTATTGTGTACTTATGTCTTATTCAAAAGGTTGTTTTAAAATGTGCAGTCGGAAAAAAACGAAAAAGAAAAAGAATCGCAAATCACGAAAGCGTGTAAGTAAATATTTTAAAGTCAACCTGAAAAATGCTAGACAAAAGGATTTTCAAAAGATCTAAAACAGCCACTCCAAAAATTCTCAAAAATGATGGGAAAATTTAACAGGCCCCTTTTCCTCATCCAAGTTCTTTGAAGATCGGTTACGCAATTGGATTTTCTTTCCTCCAACATGTAATTTGCTTTCGATAGGCCTTATTTCTACAGCTGATGATTTACAATTTGTCAAGTTATCCATGCAGAGTGTCTCAAAACTGTGTCTTTGGTGGCGAGAGAACTAAATTTGTCCGATAAAAATGTGTGATGTAAATTTGTATGTCATCTCCTCTAGAAAAATCACTTTTTTGAATAAGATTTTGTCGAAATTCCGTTCATAATTAATTTTTCGTTTAAATTTCAAAAAAATTGAATTCTCTTCAAAACACTTTCTTCTCCGATAAGTTACCAATTTATTGCCTGACAAAACTGCAAACTTCAATTACTTTGTTTGTCAGTTTTTGGCAGTGCACGGCGGGTTGAAGCCCCCTCATACCTTCATAGGGCTTACACCCCTGGTGTAGAGTAGAGAGTAAAAAATGTCGTTTGACTTTCTTAAAAGTCAGCAAGCACCCGTAGCAGCAATTTTATTAACCTTGACAACAGTTGCAGCCAAGTTTAAGTATATCTTTTTGATTCTGGCAAAGAATCAAAGATAGTGCGTGTTCTTTGAAAATTTTTTTGCAAATTACGACATTGATCCTGAATTCTGAAAGGCCCTCGAGGAAAGAATTTTTTATCTGTTGAACTTGAACCACACTTGAACATTATAAACATGTGCAAGCTGATAGCTTGGCTTGGATTTTCTAGATAATGCTTTTTGACATAGGGTATACTAACTGAAAACTGAAACTGATAACTTCCTAAACTCAAAAGATTTCTACGCCCATGATAATGATTTGGTATTTTTAATGTGTAACATTAACAAAGATATGAGACATATCGGCATTATGAAACAAAGAGTACCATTCATTCTTGCGTGCATGTCGTAATGGATTTTTCGAGAAAAGGAAATTGGCTTAGGTGAAGTTTTCGCCCCTAAATACCAAACCTCGGGACGTCGCCTTCAAATCAAAACATCGAGCATTTGATCTGTTTTCATAAAGTAATAGGATACGACTTCGGCTTGTATGAAAAAATGTGAAATCGGAGCTTCAAAGCTCGTAAAAACAACATTCCTGTCAACAGCGAGAATCTATAAAGGTTCTTTATTAAATTTGTGACGCATTCTACGCAGTGACAATATACATAAGCAAACTCGTCTCGAACAAAGTTGCATTAGACGCGGGGTCTCCGACTGCTAAACTTTGATCAGAAAACATCCTACATTATAATCAACGAGCCTAACGCACAAAGAAACTTCAACGTGAAAATCTTCAAGAATTCGGGAAAGTTTCAAAGCATAATGTGGCGCGTTCTCTATTGTATTGCTCTCGCGTTTGTCGGAATAAACTTGAGCAAAGGAAGCCGAATCAAAGGTACAAAACTATAACCATTACTCGCCCACATCTCGTTAGATTTTTAGCCTAAATAAGGTGCCCACATGATTTGAAATTAGACTATTCTATCTTGGGAGCTCACGTGCACCCTAAACGAATCACTGGAGATGACGAAACCGTTATTTATGCATCCTGATGACGATGTGAGTTCCAACATATAGATGTGCTATAGCATAAAGGGTAAATGTTGTGGAATCGATACCCAACGATGGTTCTTGTGGCCTAAAAGCTCTCGACAAATATCTTTACAGATTTTCTGAGTTTGATATTAAAAATAACAAAGGGCATTTTCACAGGATTTGGGCTAGCGCGTGCTCACTTGTGTATTTTGAATGCACGAGTCAAGCTTGGGATTGTTTTATTTTACACACAAGCAAGCCGTGAACTTTGAAATTGCGTGCTTTTTTGCCAGTGATTTTCGAATGATCATTTTAGACGTTATTTCTAAAGAACCATTGTCCAACGACCTTAGTTCATAGTCAAGAATTGTAGCTCGATATAATTACAAACCATAAACTATAGGTTAAGTAAGTATGGACTGAAATTTGTGTCTTAGGATTTGAAATGCCTGTTTTACCGGGCGCCATTGTTCATACGAAAACCAATATAATGTAAAGTCTTTAATTTCAAGCCCTTTTGAACATGGGAACTTTGAAAAACCCACCTGCGTAGCCACTTTAACGTCCCTTGAAAGGCACTTATACGTACTGGTTTTGTTCTTGTACGAATCAAGCAAAATCTTGTTTCTTATCTGGATTAGGAAACTTATAGAGTATGCGATTATTGATCAATGTAAACGAGGCCATGTCATTATGCGTTGCTAAAAGTACTTATCGCAAAGGAAGCCAGTTCATAAACAAACGTAAAGGAAATGCAGACAAGCTTCATTGGCTTTTTTGTTTTGGGTCTAGTAAATTGAATTTCTGCATGAGGAAGATTAGTAGACCAAAGAAGGTTTAACATCCTGATAACTGTAAGACGAAAATCGTTATTCGTCTTATTATTTCTCTTCCACTTTTCTTTTGTTCAATTTTCTTGTGATTAAATCAAACTGTCCTAACAGGAAGGTTTCATCAAGTCTTGTTGAGAACACATATATGAAAGATAGATGAACTGAACATCATCGTTATCATCTTATTTTTCGTCTTCAACTTGTCTTTGTGCTTAGTTGTCTTGTGAATACATGTAACTCTTCTATAAAGGAAGGTTTCGTCAAGTGAAACCTTCAAGTGACTCATAAAGAACAAATAGACTATAGATTATTGTTATCAGCTCATTATTTGCACTTTATTTATCTTTGTGTTCTTGTGATTTTACATCAAACTCTCCAATACAGGAAGGTTTCATCAAGACTTCACATCGATGAAACATAAAGAGTAGGACAGTTAGACTAAAGGATGTTGTCACAATCTTATTATTTGTTTGCCATAAATCATTTGTTTCTACTAAAATGACAAGCCCCCATGCACAAATAGCTCTATCTTTGAAAACATATAATGTTCAGAAAGTGTCAATCAAATAACTAAATTAACGTTCGGAATGTTTTTGTCTCAAAAGGAAATAAAGGCAATAAATTATAAAAGCATGCAGGAAAGGCGTTCAAACGACCTGCCAAGAAGTAACATTGAATGACCGTAGGTGAATATGTATAATTAACGCATAGCAAGATGTTAAACGCTGCTATTATTGTGAGACGGTAAAAGTCCCTAAAAGGACGACAGACGAATCTTTCAAATAATTGAAGTTTTTCCCCGATGTGTTTCGTACAAAATCTCTCGAGGAATAGCCGTGAGATCATAAACCCGCTTATGACGTTAAACATTGCGGTTTTTATGATAATTTAGCTGTTCTTTTTAAGGCTCTTTTCCGATTGAATTTCATATCAATTACATAAAAAACCAATATTGCATTTTAAAGTGTCAACATGTGCTCGACCTCTGACACAGACACGCTCGAAGCAAAATGAAACCTAGTTTATATTTACCGTGTTTCAAACTTTAAGACAATCAGTATTGGTAAGTATAAGCTTTTTACGACTTAATTAGTTGTCTCGAAGTTAAGGCTGCGGCGAACTTTTTCCATTTCTCGCAGGTTTTAAGCTTCGGTTCGTCTGTATAACAATTAAGTGAGACGTGTTTTATGTGAAGTAATTACGACAAGCTATTTCCTTCCTTCCTATAATATTTCAATTTGGAAAATAACATGTTGTGAACCTTCCCAGATGGGTAATGTTATGCAAATTTCGTTATCTGCCATCTTCGTCTGGTCTTGCAAATTCATTTCAGCAATTATCGAGATAACTTTGTTTTCATTCAAAACACCATGTTTTAACGTCGTTTACTGATAAGAAACTTCACTGAAAAATGCCGTTTGCACATTGCTGTAATTCTATACCATTCATTTGATATATTTTATTGTCTTTGACAGTTAATCAACTTACAAGGTATTTTATCTTTCATCAATCAAACTGTAACGGTAACGGAAGGGACTTTTTGATACATTTTTCGTTCAATAGGAAAGCTAAAGCTTTCAAGAAATGCACGGTTCTGAATTTCATAGGACATTTTTAACACGCAATGAAATGGAAAAGACTCATTTGGGAATCGTATTTGCAATAAGACCGATACCCAGCATTTTGCTAAACGACATTCGAATGAGATCAAACCATAAAGTTAGTGAAGAATATTGCCCTTAGGCCTAAAAGGGTACACGACGTACTTGGTGGCTTTTAAAAGTTTTGGGTGTTTCATTCGTGTAACATGATCACGCACAATAGTTGTTCTGGTACTGAAACTGCTTGACATTTGTTATTTTCAGTTGTTTTTCTTATTTAACTGTATCATGTTAAAGTGAAAGGTCTGCTCATTGACTGAAGAAGTTAAGTACATTTGTACGACCATTGTAGTATAATATCGTAAACATTTAAGCATGACGTTATATTTGCGTGTGTCCTTCCTTTAAGATAGCCGCACTTCAAAAATAGCGGTTGTCAGGACAGCCAGACACCCTTGGCTTCCCAACACCCAGCACAGTATTCGTTTTTAAATATATTTTTGATCTTTTGGTGATTTTTTTGCTTGTTTATTTTCACTCTCCTGCTTACTTGATATGGGGGATTGGAACGAGTCGTTCTACTTAAGCGAGGTGATGCTATGAAATCAAAATTTAGGGAAAATAATGAGATGATGACGATTTCTTCGGTTTATCTGTCCTTCGTGTGTTTTCAACAAGACTTAATGAACAAACCTTCCAAAAAAGGACAGTTTGATGTAATCACAAGAAAAATGAACATAAAGAAAAACGGAAGGACAAATGAGATGACCAATATTCTTTAGTCTATCTCTCCTTCGTGTGTGTTTATCCTTAACTTGATGAAACCTTCCTATATTGGAGAATTTTGATGTAATCACAAGAAAGGTTAAGCATAAAGAAAAATGCAGGGAAAATAAATTTATTATAACGATATGCTTTTGTTAATCTGACCTTGATGTTTGTTGTTCACTGTTCTAAAATATTACTCCCTCTAACAGTTGTTGAAAAAGTGGTCGTCAATGTCAACAGCACAAAACCACGTGTTCTGGAGGAGACCATTACATTTGGCTCACAAGAGGACAAGTCTTCATCGAGCAGCGGAAGTAGCGACTGGAAGGTTATCAACATAAAGTTTTCAAGCCGAAAACGAGGGAAACAAAACCCGAGCGTTTTGACGACTGTTCAAAAGCTGAAGAAAAAATCTCGAAAGCATCATCACCATCGTTTGCGTAGGAAGTGTTGCACTGCCGGAGAACTGATGGCAAAACATGGTATGAGTTGCTTAATCCCGAGATTTTTCCGATTCCAGTTTTTCAATTTGGTCACCAGTACTCGCCAAAAATATCAGAGTACATCGAGTGATACATTTCGTGGCCGATTCCGATCGAAGAGAATCAAGCGTATTTTCAGAGAAACAAACCATTGTGTCAAACGCTCGAAGAAAGGCATTGTGCAAAAGTGTTGCTTTGCATACAAGGTGAAGATGCGAAACCGTTGGGGTAATTGAGGATCGCGTAGGGATTCGTTTTGATGAAGAGGGTTGCCTCTGTCGAGTATTTGTATATAATAGATTTGTAATACGGCGATATTGAACGTGATTGGTATGAATTTTTGTTATAAATGTTTGAAATTGAATATGGTACTTTGTTGATTTTAAAACTGTAAGGACATCAGATTTGTAAATAATTAAAGAATTTTAGTTCGTTTTTGTTGTTATGCCGAGCATTGTATTGATGCATTGGCTAGCCACGTTTGTAGAAAACTTGTTGTTTTTTTAGTATATAAAATCATTAATCTCAAGAAAGTATTAGTTCGATTCAAGAACTTCTATGAAGCATATGTCATGTTATCCCTGAAAGTCGAAAGAATCGGCGAGTTTTGTCCAGCGTCTCAACAAACAAAATTTTTTTTTTATTAATTAATAAATATTTCCCAAGAGAAATTGTTTTATTAAGGTCAGCGTGGGGTCACTTGTGCAAATAGAAATGATTTTGTTTGGGTTATAGACTTCGCATTCCGCGGGATATGGCGCACTTAATTGATGGGCCTGATCGCATGTACTTTCACTTATCGTAAAATCTGGAAGATAGGTTCATATGATTTTTAGGTCAGGTGTTGATCAGCATTAAGGTTGATTTTCATTAATTCCTAGCGCATTTGCGATCCTTTTATGAACTTTCGAATTTTATGACTTTCGGATTTTATGACAATTGTTGCTGTGGTATTTAAAGCAAAATTAGATGAGACAAAATACAAGAATTTTTCCATTTACAAGGATTTCCAGGACCTGAACGACACATTGCCTTATTTTAAATATACGGAATTGAATTACCATACGCATGACTGCGTTCCCTTTTATGCCGTTCGAAAGTGCTGTTAAAGTTCATCGGTAGTTGAAATGCCCTATGTTTTGTCAACACCACTATCGGTTTTTCCGTTATACCGCATCTGTTTTGATCCCATGCTATCTTTGCGTAACCTTTTATGCCCCAGCTTTCAGACCACGAATTCTTGATTAACCAGTAAGGTATACCCCGTTGTACACCATAACCAATGACTACAACTGTATGACTGTTGTCACTGTCATCTATACATACAGATGTCAAAAGGTAAATAAGAGCAAAACTGTCATTTACTATATAAAGGGTGAGTATTGCAAAGATGAATTATTACCAGTTTAGAGGGAAGCTGTAGGGAGCGAGGGGAAGGCAGTAAGGGGGCAGGAGTAGAAAAGATATGGGTAAAGGCAGTCAGAGTAAGGGTAGATGCAGTATTGTTAGGGGTAGAGGCAGTAAGGGGGCTAGAGACAGTAAAGATGTGGGTAGAGGCAGTAAGAGTAAGTGTAGATGCAGTAAGGGTAAGGGTAAAGGCCGTAAGGGAGGAATTGCCAAAGCAAATGAAACTGCGTCGTTAAAGTATGGATGGCCAAGAACGTTGCTGTACCTTTCATTAAAAAGGCATGCATTTAATCGCACCATTTTTCTGTTTTCATGTAAATACTTTATGTTTACAAGCGTAGAGACTCCACACAAATTAATCATGGCGAACGGTTATTACTGGAATTTTGGGCGTTTGGTTTACTCAGTTTCAGTCAACACAGCCGTCAAAGTCGATTTGGTGTTATTGTCTTAGTGCTAATTAAAACGTCAAGACAAAAAATGTAGGCATGAATGATGGGAAAAAGTTCGAAACTTGAATGCGCACTGGGCTAATCACGAATGTTGTTGCATGATATCTTGTCTTCTCAAGCAAGACTTCGCCATGTTTTTGTTAATGGAGATAATCAGCAAGGCTTTTTGAAGCTTTTAAAAGTTGCGGGTGTTCCATGCAAGCTATTTGGTAACTTGCGATCGATAAACTTGTGACGAAGCAGCTTGATGTTAGTTATTTTTAATGGGGTTGTCTTTGAACTGCATACAAATTGAAGAGTTTGCTTATTGATTTAAAAATTTCCTACAGCTGTAAAAACTGACATTCAATACGTCGCCATTAGAGAAAGAAACTAAATTTGTAAGCGTCCTTCCTATAAGATACTCCCACTTCAAAGATTACGGGTGTCCGAACACAAAGAGACTTGTCACTTCTCAACTCCCTCGTTCGGATAATTTTTAAGATACTAGAGATACGTCCCAATCAGCAAACACGAAATAATTTATATGAAAACCTACCACATTGAGGATCGTCATAGATTCCCCAGCCGTAAAACTTGAACGTCATGGGATTTGCATTAACTGAAACGGCAGCAGCGCCATATTTAGCGAGGGCAATTTTCAGAGCTGTGTTGTTCCTTTTGGGCACGTACGCAAACCCATCAATGGTTACGCCACTTTTGCTTTACCATTGGAGTGACATGAACCCTCCTGAAATTGTCTACACTTTAACGATTTTGTGGGAGAAGGATGGTTGTTATCAAAAACCATATAGTCATGTGGTTAAATAAATCACCACTTAATCTGACATTTCATCCAAGCTTCTTTCTACATAAACGACAGTCGCGTGGTCACTGACACACGTGATCAAAATATTCTACATAGACAATAGTCGCATGATCTATGACGTACGTAATCTAAAATACGTGTTCTACACAAGACAACATGCTCCTAATCCAGAGGCTTTGGAAGCTTTCAAAAGTTGTGGGTGTTCCATGCTCACAATTTGATAATGCGAGAAACTTAGAATAGTAATGAAACCGTTTCATATTAGTTATTTTTCATAGTTTTTTTTCCTTTTTCGGCATATATTACAAAAGTTATCCAAAATGAATTACATACATATGATTTGCATACATCGGCAATGCTCAAATCATTTGAATTTCCAGCTTGCTGGTGCCCGTTAATTTAAAAATTCGGTGTGCTTGCAAAAACTCAACATGCAACATGTCATGTATTTTCATGCCAGAAGCTAAATTTGTGGGTGTCCTTCCTATATAGAACACCCACACTCAAAATTTTGTGGGTGCACTGGCACCCGGACACCCACGGCTTCCCAAACCCCTGTCCTGATCAATGTTCTACTAACTTGCGCCATATATCGTCCGTAATTTTGTTCAGAACGCAAGGAATGCAAATAGACCCAACTGAATGCTTTGCTATACCAGCCACCTTTACAACCCTCGTTACCAGATCCCCACGAGCAGTCCAAGATCTGTTGCGAAGCTAAAGTAGTCAGGTTTCCAGTCTGAATAGGGAATGAAAGTAGATTTTAGACCTAATAAACCGTTTTTTATAAATTATTTTTATCTTACCACAAATCAACATGCACGTGGCTTAAATACATTGTGTGTTCTTAAATGTTCTTCACCATCCAATGGTCAGCCGTTTCATAACTGAAAGCTTATGTATATTTAGCTACCTCCTCCACTGACAACCATATAAACATTGAACTATATATAAACTGGAATGCTACCTTATACCACAATATTAGGTCGGCTTATTAGCTAGTATACTTCTTTTTACGCACAGCCCAATAAAATTTAATTAAATCCAATGACGCTTCTGAAGTTAAAATTTCGCTTCATGCGAGCATAGATATGTTTTCCGAAAAACTACCCTTCCTGTTTGGTTTTGTGCGCTGGTTGGCCATACAGGTGTATATTCAGTTCAGTGGATAAAAACGCTTCAATGTACAGGGTGTCCCAAAAAAACAGAATCCGCACAAGTTGCACGCTGGTTTGTCCCTGTTCGATGGAATTTATGGAAAATAGGATTACGTTTTTGTCAATGTTATAACTCAGTCAATATAGCTTTGACTTCACAAAGATTTTAGGTAATAAATTTGAAAATCAAAGTACGCAGTACTTTGTTTTGCCTTAACTGGTACTAAACAAAGCCTACAAAATCCCAGAGTTGCAAAACTGTCAAGTTTAGTAAACTGTTGTGAATAAATAGTCAATTAATACGGGTTCCCTTTTTTTGGGAAACCCTGCGTATGTTACTTAAAGCAATTAGCATGATTCATTTAATTTTTTTGAACGGGGGTTGATTACCTTCAAAAATTGCGAAGTCTCTATAGTTTGTGCAGCAACCAAGGCATAACACGACGCACAATTTCCCTGACTTGTTACGGGACCAACGGCACCTTGGAGATTGTAGAAGTAATAAAATTTAAGACCACAGAGCATAGATTTATGGCAGCATATGTGAGAAACACATTTTGCTTGGTCATAAATTCAAGTTTTGTTTATTAAAGACATATGACATTAAAAATCGTTATAATCTCATTATTTTTGTCCTTCATTTGTCTTTGTCTTCAATTTTCTTGTGATTACATCAAACTCTCCTATATTGCAGGTTGAACACACATGAAAGACAGATATAAATTATATAAAGAATATCATTTTCATCTCATTAGATGTCCTTTATTAACCTTTGTATTCAATTTTCTTGTGATTTCATAAAATTCCCTAACATAGGAAGATTTCATCAAGTTGGGGCTGTGAACACACATGAAGGACAAATAAACTATATTCATACAAATGTTTGAATTACAAAACCAATTCAAAGAAATACACAAGCCAAGTAAACTATTCAATGTACTAACCATAATCTCGCCAATCCAAAGAGAGAGGCACTCCAGTTAAGTTCACTGCTATATCGTTCATCATTTTCTGGTTGCTATGATGATTATAATACCGATGTTCCTCTTTGGAACCATGGTAGCGAACGTACTCCACGTGATCGACATCTGCCATGTGATTCGTCGAAAGCTTAAAGTTCAAGTTCTTGCGGTTCGTGGAATGGATAAATCTGAATTGAGAGGACAAAAGGATCGCTAGGATCGCTAAGTGAATATCTATGTACATGTCAAATACACTCCGAAAATTGTCTTACTATCTTTGTTTTCCTAACAAACGGCTTTTTATAGTTCGTACATAAAATAAAGAATATTCCGAAAAACGCATCTTGTAAGCTCAAATTTAAGTAATGAACAAGACAATTTAACTGTAATATTTTATTTCAAAACCATCATCAGACAGAATGATATACTTCCAAGATAGCAGCTAGTTATAAAAATATTAAATACAGTGTAGAACTAGCCAGTGCCGGATCCAAGGTACTTCAAACTAAATTACAGCTCCTCATTCATAAATTCAAATTATATTTAGAAAAAAATATTGGTTTTTAATTTCTAAAGAATATAATTTTACCAATGGTTTGCCTCTATGGTGTTTAGAAATGTAAGTATACGCTAAAATGTGCTGCATTAATTTATTTTGAGGTACCATAAATCCGCCTCTGGAACTAGCTGCCAGCTTGTATAAGTATATCATTTGTTATATGTTTGTAAATGATGATCGTCATTTTGACTCTGAAGATGACTACCGCTAAGGTTGTCGAAACGTCAGTCAACAACATCAAAAACAGTCCTTCTCAGGACTTTATTAACCTGGACGATCATCATTTACAAACATATAACAAATGATATACTTATACAAGCTGGCAGCTAGTTCCAGAGGCGGATTTATGGTACCTCAAAATAAATTAATGCAGCACATTTTAGCGTATACTTACATTTCTAAACACCATAGAGGCAAACCATTGGTAAAATTATATTCTTTAGAAATTAAAAACCAATATTTTTTTCTAAATATAATTTGAATTTATGAATGAGGAGCTGTAATTTAGTTTGAAGTACCTTGGATCCGGCACTGGCTAGTTCTACACTGTATTTAATATTTTTATAACTAGCTGCCATCTTGGAAGTATATCATTCTGTCTGATGATGGTTTTGAAATAAAATATTACAGTTAAATTGTCTTGTTCATTACTTTGAATTTACAAGATGCGTTTTTCGGAATATTCTTTATTTTATGTACGAACTATAAAAAGCCGTTTGTTAGGAAAACAAAGATAGTAAGACAATTTTCGGTGTGTATTTGACAAATGGTTGTCATGTACATAGATATTCACTTAGCGATCCCTCCTTTAGCGATCCCAAAATTACCAATCTCCAGTACCTTCTCAGGACTTTATTAACCTGGACGATCATCATTTACAAACATATAACGATACTCCCGGGTTCAAACCATTTACTTTATATCATTTGTCTGATGATGGTTTTGAAATAAAACCAAATTTTACAGTTAAATTGTCCTGTTTATGACTTAAATTTGAGTTTACGAGATATGTTTTCGGAATATTCTTTATTTTATATCTCGAGAAATTGTCGTGTGGTCAAGGATTATAATTTGTACAATGTTATAGTAATGAAATTCCACGGCACTTTTCAAGAAATTCAAAGGAAATATTTTGAAAAATTTAAGGACGATGAAGACCTTGAATCGCACACAAAGCACAATTGAAGTAAGAAATCATTAAACACATTATCAAAATTGAAACGAAAGAACTTTTTAGAGAATCGAGAAGAAACGGTGTGTTTTCATATGACTTGCAACTGTGTTGTCGTTAGATTACTTCAAACCTCTGATATAAAACCCTTCAGCACACGAGTTACTTTTTGGGGTTATAAACGGTTAAAATACAATTTCAGCACCACTTTTGCAAAGAAAGTAGTGCAATGACATGTTTACAAAAATTCGATCAAATTAAGATCTTGCAAGCACATTTTGAAAAATTCAAGAACTTTAAAGGTCTTCAACTTTTTGATTCTAATTAAAGGACATTCATGCTTTGTACGAATCCTCAAACCCTGGCTGGTTTTTTTATTAAAAAAGGATGCATTGCCATTAAATTAAACAACTATTTCACCAGTGACCTCAAATTGTGACGAAATATGTGCTTCCTCCTGCCATTCTCATATCTTCCTTTATAAAATTTCTGATGACGACGTCTAAATATGGAGTAAAGCCGTTCTAGATGCATGTCTTTGTCCAAGTGACGGGATAGCACGAACTCTTGCATTGGATTAGTCATGAGATGGGAAATAAGCTTGTGACTCCAGTTGTGACACCATACATCTTGACGTAAAATTTTCATAGAGATCAGAGTGAAAGACGTAGTAATATATAACAAAGACTTGAAGATGAGAGGTCATGTAAGAAAGTAGTAACGAGATGATACGGAGTTCTGGACTTTAGAGAGAAGATGAAGAAAGAAAGACTAAGGTCAAATGAAGATGAAATATAAAGAAATGAAGGAGAGTTGATCAGAGTTATTATGAAATGAAGAAATGAAAAGATATAGATCGGTAAACATTACAGAGAAGATGAAAAAAGAAAGATTGAGGTAAACAGTAAAGTAAGAAAAGAGGAAGGAGAGATGCTCAGAGATTTTAAGAAATGGACTTAATGAAGAAATGAAAAGATACGTGGTGATGGACATTGAAAAAGATGAAAGAAAAATAAAATATCATGAAAATAAAAAAGAAAACAGGAAATGAAGTGAAAAGAAAGTGTAGAACGGTTAAAGAAACGAAAATTCAGTGATACAAAGTGAAAAAATAGAACAAAAATCATAACAAACCTGAAGCGAGTTCAAAAACTGAAGCATTTGATCCCCACTGCTCAAAAGAGATGTATTCCAACACATAATAATCATAATGAGTCGCCAAGAGGCTGTCGTAACCTTTCATTTCGTACTTGACTGGACGAGGTGACGAACTCCTCGTCACCCAAAATGTGTAGATGTTGTTAAGATCATATGTCTTGTACTCATGACGCCATTTTGACGTTTCTATTCCGTCCAGCACTTCAATGTCTACGAACTAAGCAAGAAAAAGTCATATATGGTTTCAAGAAGTTTTGCTATTCTGGTTGTCGATTTTTCAAAAAAGACAAGTAAGGCATTTGTTACATACAACTCAAGACCTGTTTGTGGATGAAATTTCATCAGTCAAGTTTCTTATAGTTTCGAGTCCAGCACAAATTTGTAGATAGGTGTTAGTTTTACTTATAAAATATCAACACTACAACATGTGCGCTGGTTAGTCTATAGCTGAGATTGCATTAGCATGTGCAAAAATATCCTGAGCTCAATAAAATAAATCAATCAGAGAGGATTCGAAAATCAATCATAAATGCATGTTAGAGGGAAAAGGATTCTATGTTTTGCGTTATTGTCTCAACCTTCGGTCTCGCAGTAAACCTTTTCCATTTTTTAAACGTAAAAAGTGTGGAGCGGGGGGATGGGAGATTCAGAAAATACCTAAATCTATGAGAGAAAAATTTCATCAAAACTTCGGACTTTGGTAGAACGCAACTTTGAAGTGGGAGTGTTCTAGTGGGGAGTAGATTTGTAATTGGTCATTCCTTTGTCAGGAACGCGTGTCCAAAAAACCGGAGAGCTCTGCGTTTTGGGACCAAATTCGTAGTATCTTCATTTCATAGAGAATTGCAACATTTTAGCCGAACCGACTTTCCTTGTCCTCTATCAGGTAATGTAGAGAATTTATACATTATTATACAAAAGCCAGTGGATTTCAGACCCCTTAGCAACACCATGTGCTCCTCAGCTTTTGTGGATATCAGACTATCATTTATGGAGATTTCAGTCAACACAAAATAAATAAACTAATTTATCCAAGTATTTCCGACATAGTTTAGTTGAGAGATTTTCACTGCTCGATTACCAAATCCCAAAGAAAAAACATAACTTATATGTCTTATCCACTTACAAATTACTTAGCAAAAAGGCTTCTATAGGTTTTTTCATAAAAAAATTCCAATACCTCAAACTCCTCGATATTAGGAATGATTGGTTGAGGTACTATGGGCACACTTTTCGTTCCATTCCTATACCAACAGCCTTTGAAATTTCCTCTTCGTTCGTTGTACATTGGAACAACTTTAAAAGATGTCCCAAACTCGCCGAGATCCGAACGCTGGTAGGTCTTGTCTGTACCTAAATGTACAACAGAATCATTTTATACAGTATACAACAAATTTCTGTTTGAATTACAGAACACCCGTCTTTCAGTATCGCAATACATAAGAAAACAAATTCGGAAAACAAAAACCTCGTTTTCTTGATATTCAAGATCAATACAAGCGTTGAAATGGAGTAGTTAATAATTTGTCTTTATTACAAAATTCATCAGAACTTGAAATTTGTAATTTCAAAATTGTTTTTGGATTAAAGATTTTGTGTTTGGTTTTCAAGTTGTACCGTGAACGCAGAATTTTACACAGCGAAGTAAACACTTTGCAACTTTTAGTAAGTCGCTTGGAACAACCCGAGCACCATACATGTAAAGACAGGAAAGAAAAGACAATTGCCTGCCATATCGAACAACCACAATTTTTAAAGCACACGCATCACCTGGAGTGTCGTGGAAAAGTCTGTAGAGGTGCTTGTTATTACGCTTTAATAGAACCGTTACGTTTTAATTGTAGGAAACATGCGTTGCTTAACATCTATTTGTTAAGACGCTGTTAGTTTGAATATTCTCTCAAGATCAATGATTCGAGTTCGGGAGTAAGTTTAGTCTTCAATGCATTCCAAAATTTCTGGCTACCAACATTAAAAGGACCATGTCTAAATGATAAAATATCTAGCTAATTCGTCCTGCGATTTTTTAGCGAAACAAAGTTTCAGCATTTCACACAGAAAGTCTTAGTCCTTTTGGCTGAGAAGCAAGCATACACTGAGCATGTTTTCCTAAAATAAGAATGTTGAGGCTTCTTTATAGGAGTTAGATTAATTGTTTGGTATTTTTAATTATAATTGTGACTACAAAAGTTGCAATGAAGGTAATTGCCACAACATACACAAGTATTAAAAACTTACCGTAGTAGAAATCCACTCTGCTTCGTTGCTGTTCTTTGCTGAACCATATTTCAAAGGGTTCTCTTATCCCACTGTGAGGAAGCATCAGCAGTCCAGTGCTGTGATAGTTCTGCGGAAAAGACGGCCTCGGATGTCTGTGTATGAAGCGACGAATGATCTTCAAAACTTTACCGGTATGAAATGACATAGTCAGATTTGTCACAAGGAAAACGAACGCCGACAAAACCACAACCAATAGGACATAGTGAACAGACGACATGAAAGACATATAGCCGAGTTAATATGAACGATGAAAAGTTGTCGTTATAAATACTTTACGCACAAAATATCCGTTTATAACCCGAGTAAGCAGATTTACTCGAATCGAGAATTCAGCATGGCGGGTACCCGTAGAGGGAGCGAAAGCAATCATTTCATCCAACGCCAAATTAAGCTTGTGACATGACTTATACGTGAATATACAATGTCCCTCCCAAAAACGAAGCACACAAAACTTAATTACATTTCGCTGAAATATTTAGATAGAATGGCCGTTTTTATGCCTAAGACGGATAATACGTCTGGATGACTTAAGACGAATCTTTTTATTGCGTATATTAAATCGTCAGACGGCCATAAGACGAATTAACCGTCCAGACGACTTTAGCGTTTAATTCGTCTTGACAGATGAACTAAAGTTGTTAACTCGTCTCGATCAATTGATTTTTCCGTTTAGTTTTGAGTTAAGTCGAGTTAAAGACTGTTAAGACGAGTCTTTATGCTGAACAGTTTAAAGCTTAGACGTATAAATCGTCCAGACGTATTATCCGTCTTAAGCATAAACACGGCCAATAATGTAATTCGCATTCACAACAGTTTAATGAAGATGACATGGGATTTCATAGATTTTTGTACAGTATTAATTAAAGCATAACAAGCCATGCATTGACGTTTGTTCTAAATTTATTATAACACAAAACCTTTGTAAAATGAAAGCGACATGAACTGAGTTACAACAAATATTCTAAGTTGCAGCAAACATGGACAACCGTGTGACTAAATCAAACCTGGCGGAAGAAATAGCTATTGCAGACAGAATTATCTTATCCAGATTTAATTTAATGCACAGATAATATTTGTGCGAGTTCCGTTTTATGCGTGACACTCAGTATAGAAATTCTATAATTTAAAATGCAAGACGAGCGTTTCAAGAAAAGTCCCACTGTTTATGTGATCAATAGCTATAATTCCACACTGAAATGTGGCTGTTATAACTCAATTCATGTCGCTTTGATATTACAAAGCTTTTGCGTAATAAATTAGAGATAATATCAGTGCATGATTGTACTTTCAACTTGGTTTGCTTGAACTAAGACCGTAAATACCTTTAAACATCCTAGAGGCACAGACCTGTAAAGTTCGTTCTGAATGCTAATTACATTGTTCTGTAAAATAATTTAAGCGAATACGTCATTAATTCATGTGGGTTCCGTTTTTCTTCTGGGACACCCTGTATTAGCAAGTCATTTTACAACTTCCTCAAACACAATCCATATATTGGATATACATCTAATTTGAGATGTCTAGCATATAATTTAACTATCACAACTACATTATCAAGATACTGCGCTAATCGCCAAATGCAATCAATATATCAAAAATGCACATTATAAAGAAAGCAAAGAAATAAATTATTCTCGGTTTGAAGAATCCTTCGTTGTCATAAATATATATACTGTGTAGGTATCTATCCTTTTCCCAAGTCCACACAAACGGCGAAATTTGACGAAGGCAACTCAAACTAAGCATTTGATGCAATCATTTGAATATCGATGTTGAAGTTCAGAAAATTATCACAATATTCTTGGACAACCTTTTTCGCCTTCACTTTGACGAACGAAATCGTTGGCAGTAACTTTTCAAGAGCTGACTTTGCCCCGAATGTAATAAAATAGAGACATTGCGGAGGAAGAAAGCCGTTAAACCCAGAGGCAGCAGACAAGGTGTAGGCTCCCATCTCTTTAAAGTAAAGCCAATCACCCACGTCACATTCTGGCAACATCACGCTCTTGGCAACGCAATCCATTGAGTCGCAACTAGGACCCCAAATGCTTGACGGGTACTTTTCTACGTTGTCATGGTGATGACGTAAGAGTATCGGTTCAACGGTAGCATGATCGAATATGAGACAGTTAAAAGAGCCATAAACACCTTCGTTGATGTAATACATGTATCCCTGAGAATACGAAGGAACAGTAAACGGTATCAATAGGCGAAATTGATTAAATTTTTTAAAGTGTGACCCAGAGCTGGTTGACCGCAGAACGTTGGGAAATGAAATACTATGGGTGACAAATATACGTTCGCAGCTCGTAAAATTTGGAGAAATGTGTAAAAATGTGAAGAATAAATGAAATAAAAATGCGCGTAATGAATAAAAACTTTCACTTTCAAAGTTTATGTGCAGACTAAGCTATAACAGCTAATTATCACTTATTGACTGAGACCGAGCGAAACACACGGTTACCCTAGATTTCAGTCAAAAAGTATTTATTTACAAATGAATTTTTAAAATGAATACTGACAACAGCGTATACAAACGAAATATCTATTTTCCCAGAAGAATATTTAAACGAATAAGACCAAAAAAGCTTTGTAAAAATTCCCGCGCTTTTTCGGTCAAACAAGATGCTGCTGACCAAAGAACTGTGAAAATTGGTATATGATAAAACAGCCTATCTATCATGAAGCAATCTATTGATATCTTTGAACGGCTGTGTAATTTTCATAAGGGGTGGGAGGGGGGAGGGTTTATCTTCTTGTCCACACATTGTACACTGTACATCACCAATGATGCAGTCCAACCACTGAGTCCAACCCTTCAGTCCTTGGACCAAGTAAAAAATAATATTTCTTGCTCTATACACATACCCCGAAAAGCACAGTAGCGGTCATTCTTAGGCACACAGATATATATTAATAATTGATTTCTTACCTTTGAAGACTTTGTCTGAGAAAGATTCCCTGAAAAAAATGCAGAATAAACTTTTATGAGATTTTCAGTATTTCAGTCAGCGATTTACAAATACGTAGGAAAATTTGTGATTTGGAAAGTCAGGATTCTGTTGTCGAACAAGTGTTCCAATGAAACAAACAAAGGCTAGCTGACATTAATAAGACAGAGATATTTTACAGACAAGGAAAAGACAAGCGTTTCATTTAAACTAACAAATGTTAATCCACATTAATAAAACAGAGATATGCTACAGAAACAAAATAACAAGCGCTCTAATTTTTAAAATTAAAAAGTGCTAATTGACATTAATTAGAGTTAAAGACAAAGAAAAATACTCAGTAATACCGTAGCAAATAAAATATAGTGTAACTAAATATTTACGTCCAAATGATCGTAATAAAGTAAATGGTTTGAACTCGGGAGTCTCGTTACATGTTTGTAAATGTAGATCGTCCAGGTTGGTATAGTCCTGAGAAGGACTGTTTTTGTTGTTGTTGACTGACGTTTGGACAACCTAAGCGGTAGTCATCTTTTGACTCTGAAGATGACTACCGTTAAGGTTGTCCAAACGTCAGTCAACAACAACAAAAACAGTAATTCTCAAGACTATACCAACCTGGACGATCTACATTTACAAACATGTAACGAGACTCCCGAGTTCAAACCATTTACTTTATTACTAATAACAGTGTTATAAGCTTTTTATTTTTTTTTAATGAATGAATGCGCGCTTAGTAATTTATTTCAATTTCAATGTTTCAATGAAAACGCGCATGGTAGTAACTCAATTGCAAATGGTGGTCGTATAAAATATTTAATTGCCTTTGAAATGAGAAGTTATAATTTTACTAAGTCTTACTGTACAATTTCATAGCCTCTAATACTGTTATATTAATCTCCAGTATGTACACCACTTCTCTTGAATTTTTCTTGTGGGGGTGCCAGACAACCAGGATTTGGCAAGGTTTTAGTTTGCTAGTATTAATGTGCGGAATGCATACTGTAGGGATGTGCTAATTCCGGTTTTTCAGCTCCGACCTCTTGTCAATTCTGAACTCCGGTTTCAAACTCCGGCTTCGGCAATTTTATGACTCGAATATTTAGTTGTGGCTGGTTAATTTTGCAAGTCATTGTTTAACAGTTTAAAGGTATTTATTAGTAAATTTTTATATGTAAAATTAAATTTCCGCACTCCGACTTTCAATCATAAATCAGCATGTGTGAAGGTAATCTAGCGTCATGTTGTGTCAAGCATAACATGTTTTATTTTCAGGCAAGTTTTTCAATTTTAGCCGATACTTCTTTTTGTTAATACAAAAATACTTTGACTGATTCTTTTACTGAAGTCTGACAGTATTTTGCAGCAGAAACAACTGCTGGAATACACACAGCGGGTAAAAGCTTATACTGCTACATCTCTGATTCAAATGCATACGTAGCCCCGCCCCAATACAACAACTTGCTCACCTTTATTCAAAAAGGTAAACTTCGCGCTAGTCTCTCGTCTTGACGTCACATTCGTGACTAAAGTGAAAGCTGTGCTTACGTAAAAGCGACCTGGTTCGGCGATTATTTTCACATTCTCTGATGGAAAGCATTCTTCCAAGGTTTTATTCAAAACCAAACACACCTACACAATCAAAAAATCATTACGCAAAGAAAGAAGACGGAAGATAAGCTTGTGAATGACTCAGTACTCCAAGGTACCATTGTATATGAAGTTGAAAACCATACCGCTTGCCAAGTAGTGCATCATGGTAATAACAAGTCTACAAGTCTGGTTTAAATTACTAAGACTTACTTCTTCAAAACAAATATCTTTACTGGCGGAGCCGGGAAATCCACCTCCTACGTCCAGGAGTGTGAAATAATATCCAATCTTCTCCTATAACAAATATCCATCAATTTTATAACTCGAGTCTCATGTATTGTTTGTTATCAAAACTCTCGGAAATCAAAATTCACTATTTCCCTCGGGAGCATACATTACGTAAGTGTAAATTATTTTATTTATTTTTTACGCAACTGGTAGTCCTACTGGACAGGAAGAGCAGGACCGCTAACTATGCCACTGTATACCGTACGTACACTCCATATAAACTTCATATAAAAAAGTTGAACATCACTGTTACCCAATGCCAAACAGGAACATGACGAGTATAAATATATGCAAACTTTTCTCCAAAAAGATGACAAGTTATACACACAAAATTATGTACTCACGGCCCAATCAAAAACCATTCTTGCAGATTCAATGGCAGTTTTAAAAGCCGTGGCATCAAAACATCCACTACCAACATGGAAACTTGAAGAAAAAAAATACACACAAATGATGCAAACTAGCAAAAGCAATAGGAACGCAAAGTAAATATTGATAGTAAATTTATACCAAAGCAAGATCATACGTCTCATGTGAACAGTCCTTAAAGATTGTTTGAACATCGATAATTACAAAGACAGAACCTTCGTTTTTAACAAAAGATTTGACTAGCAAACAACACTACGATTTAAAATCCCACGAAACACAACGGAGTTTTTATTGGGATAAAGACAAATCATCATACCTTACACCAACGACATTCAAGTCAAGTTGGTAAGCAACTTCAAGCAAATGTTGACATTGCTCAAGCGGAGCACCATATTTCAGGCCAAGCTAATAATAAAAGCAACAAAGAAATCTGAAATTAGCTCTTCGTAAACAAAACTCGTTTCACTTATGACGTCATAACTTGTTAACATGGCCACTTGAAAGTTCGCACATTAGGTCCGTATTCAGGGGTAAAATTAACTAACTTTTACTAAAAAGAAAATGCTTATTTATATATCAAATTGATTCTAAAACTGTGGATTTTTAGTTAAAGAGAAAAAAAGGAGGGTCAAAATTAATTGCATTAACACTTTAAATAAACAAATAAAAAATAAAGGTACGTAATTCAAGAAAACACTGCAAAAGCGACTCAAACCTGACAAAGAGACTTTGAGTCATCGGTCAATAGTCGTAGTAGTAATCTAAATACCAGAAAAAAAGACATTTCATCACAAGAATTACTACAATCTGAATTAAAAAAAACCCACACAAACAAACAACTTGAAGAACGCTTGAGATTTTGATTTTCATACAGTATTTCATAAGCTAATGAAGTCATGTTAGTAAACTATCATACTCAATATAAATATTAGAGCTCAACAAATAATTTTGAACAAAGTCATAAACAATTTGGTTTTATGAAATTTATTAAAATAGTGACGCTATGTCTTGACTCAAGACATCTTCAGACTAATAAGGAAGTTAACAAGAATTATAGATATAGAGAAAGTTATTTACATAGTTTGAGGTATCAGATTAGTGTGAATGTGTAAGTGTGATGTGATTTATTGTTAGGGCGAGGTGTTGAGACTAGAAAAGTTTAAGAGGGATGGAGCTGCCTTGGGTGTTAAGTGAAGGTTTTAGTTTGGAGATGAGGAGGCTTTCGTGGATCATGAAATCGAACGTGTCGGAGCAGAATGAGATGATTTTAAAATCGTCTGGCGAAGCAGGGTGGTTGGAGGAGTTACTATGAGAAACAATACTTGACATTAATGGGGAAGTATAGCGTTTTCCAGTCAAGGGAGAGATCCCCAAGTGTTCCGAGATTCTGCTGTGTAAGTGGCGTGTGGTTTCACCCACATACGATGCGGAACAGCATCGACACGTGTATAAATAAACAACGCTAGATCTCAGAGACTTGGGAATTTTACCCTTAACGGGAAAAAATGAAGAGATTCGTGTGGGGGTACGAAAGACGAATCTGACATTGAGATGAGGGAAAGCAGCGTTGTAGAGACGATTGATTTGTGTGCGAATTTGTAACGAGTGACAGCCGGGGAATGGGTGACAGAAATACACTATTTTCTTTGGGACACTAAGGACAAGTGGTTCCTGTTCGAATTTTGTGTCAAGGAAACGATGGACAATGTGGTCGAACATATTAGTTGGATAGCAATTGAGTTTGAATAGTTTTCTGGTGGTTTCAATTCGGGCATGAAAAGTCTCATAACTAGAGCACACATTCGACCTCATGATCCACGAAACTCCTCATCTCCAAAACTAAAACCTTCACTTAACACCCAAGGCAGCTCCATCCTTCTTAAGCTTTTCTAGTCTCAACACCTCAACCTAACTATACATCACATCACACTAACACATCCACATTAATCTGATACCTCTAACTATGTTAATAACTCAATATATATCTATAATTCTTGTTAACTTCCTTATTAATCTGAAGATGTCTTGAGTCAAGACGAAACGTCACTATTTTAATAAATTTCATAAAACAGAATTGTTTATGACTATGCTCAAAATTATTTTTTGGGCTCTAATATTTATATGGAGAATCCGTTTCCCGCCTGGCATTTCATTGGAAACAATCATACTCTCTAGCACAAAAAATCAGAAAATAGTACAGCTATGAAACACGTTACTTCGCTTCCTTATCTTATTATGTTATTTTTTTGTTAAGTTATCAGGTAATTTCTATTCTTTGTTGCTGGAAACAAGAAACTCTCACGTCATTAACACTATATCGACTGCAATTTAGTATTCCTAGTATAGGTTATTTTAAAATTTGAGATGCCTTCATTAAAGTGATCTGATATTTAAACTGAGTCCTTATATACTCGAGTCTTGTGTTTTTGTCAGGGGTGATCTGATGTTGAAACTGAGTGCAAATATTCTCCAGTCTAGTAGGTACGTAATGTCTTTAACTGGTAAATATAATTTAGACCCAATACCAACCTGGAGTTTGGAGCAAGGTCCTTGATCTTCCTTAACTCCCTTTCATTATCAAAAGTCATAAGATCAATATCATGATCAACAGCATATTTCAAATGCGTCATTTGCTTGCATGGATTTGCAAAGATGATTTGATGAGGTTTGACATCTAATGCAAGCATCGTCTGCATCTCAACCTGAAAAATTATTATAATCAATGCATGTAATTTTTATATAGTATGGAAATGAATTAACTGAAGTTTGCTCATGTGAATTGCAATTGGTAGGATTATACTTTTTTCCTCCAACATTGCTATAAATGGTCGACTACGTAGTTCCAGACTTCAAATGCACAACAGCAGTGTAATAATGATATAAATGCCCATATCAAGGTCTGAAAAATAACTTCTTTGGATATTTATATCACATTCGATAGGACAAAATGAATTCGTATCATTAATCTTTTTCTAATGATTTCTTCATTCTTAGAAGTGATTTCGCACCGTATGCGACATAAAATAGCTACACGAATTGAAGACAAAGCTTTCATTATAATGAATACAGCTGTTAATAGCAAATTTAAAAAACAGAACTAAAAATTTCAGTTAAGATGCCGGATATGTGTATAGTTTGACGATATAGTTTGTGCGAATAATCAAAGAAAATGTTGAAAAACCTAGAACTGCGTTTTATCCTTTTTACGTCACTTCCGTCGTGTTGTCACCTACCGCCAAGCACAAAAAGACCATGTAGAATTTTTTACCATTAAAATATATAGCAAATGTTCTTAAAATCGATTTAACTATCTAAGGATGTTATTTTCCTCACCTGATGTATGCACGTAAACGCTGACTCACGTTAAACAAGTATTACGACTGTCTTTCAAAAGACCTTTAGCGCAATAACCATGTCCAGCCGACAATTTAAAAAAATATAGTAAAAAACAAATTCCGAAGTAACAAGACACCTTGAGATTAGAAAATATGAATAAGAACAAGACGAGAAGTGAACTGTGAATTTTCGACTTTATTTTAAAGTGATCCTCAGACAGTCATCTTCTTCCACAGTCTCTTTCTGTCTGAGGATGACTTTAAAACACAGTCGAAAATTTACAGTTCACTTCTCGTCTTGTTCTGATTAATATTTTGTTATCACAAGATGACTTGTTTCTGCGCAATTGTTTATCAAAGTATTGAATCAATCATAGTGATTTATAATGAAACGCAACTAATCACCCAAATGATTTTGAAAATCATTAAAGAACATTACTTCACGTAGGAGGTGTGACAAAGCATTTCCGCGAAAGTCAAAAATTAACGACGTCATGAAACTATACTCTCCATAAATAATTTACAATATTTTCAATTAAATTCTGCAGTTGCATCACATTATCGACGCTAACCGGGTACTTTCTTTCTTTTCTAAATTTTTCCCATTGGACAATGTAGCGATGGGTTTGCTAATGGTTTAGTCAACCATGTTCCTAATAACACACCAATGATCCTTACCTTACTAGCACAATCAAATCCCATCCCTAGGTTGACCATCATCTCAAGTACAAGTGGATCCGTATTACACTTGATTGCTGAAACAATATTGCTCAACATAAGAAAAAAACAACTTTATTTTCGGTTCATATCAACTACGTTGGGTAAAAGCAGTTTTTCCGAAGAATAGAAAATCTGCTTTTTAAATGCAATTCCACGTAATGAAGAGAGCACCCACACAAAAATTTGACACTTACCATAAAACGGCTCAATTCGCGGCAACAATTTCTTCCACTGTGAAAGAGACAGTAAATAGAAACATATATTTTAATAACCATTGTACATCGAAGTCTTGCATCATTGCAATCATTGCATGATTGTAGGATGGTACATTGTCAGTCATGGTCATTACATGATTGTAAGATGGTAGACAGGCATGGTCATTGCATGATTGTAGGATGGTAGAAAGTCAGTCATGGTCATTGCATGATTGTAAGATGGTAGACTGTCAGTCATGGTCATTGAATGATTGTAGGATGGTAGACAGTCAGTCATGGTCATTGCATGATTGTAGGATGGTACACAGTTAGTCATGGTCATTGCATGATGGTAGGATGGTACACAGTCAGTCATGGTCATTGCATGATGGTAGGATGGTAGATTGTCAGTCATGGTGATTGCATGATGGTAGGATGGTACACAGTTAGTCATGGTCATTGCATGATGATAGGATGGTGCACAGTTAGTCATGGTCATTGCATGATGGTAGGATGGTACACAGTTAGTCATGGTCATTGCAAGAATGTACTATGGTAAACAGTTAGTCATGGTCATTGAATGATTGTAGGATGGTAGATTGTCAGTCATGGTGATTACGTACATGATTGTAAGATGGTAGACAGTCCGTCATCGTCATTACATGATTATATGGAGGTCGACTATCAGTCAAGGTCATGACATGATTTTATTGTCATGATGGGCAGCTGTGATGTGGTGCTCAATTGGAAGTAATAGAGAGTTAACAAGTTTGAGGTTAAATTGACCTTTTGTTCTTGCAATATATATATTCCTTGACACTGCATTTACAGTTGCTATCTTTACCTTGTAATGTTTCAGTAAAATGTCACCAATATCTACACAGTAAAATGCATCGTCCTAGAGCACAAAGGCAACAAATGACCTTAGTTGTGTTGATTTAAGAGGAGAAACATTCAAATTTGTGGGGATAGCTTGAATATCAGTGATTGGGGGGGTGGGGTGGACTGCAGCAGTGGTGAGGGGGGGGAGGTGACGGAAAATGAATAGAATGATAATCTGAAATATTGCTGGAACAATGAGGCTCAAATGCTTAAATAAGTCATATCTAAATGAATAAATATTAATAAATCTTAACAAATGGTAAATTATCAGCTTTTGCCTGAACTGTTCAATCATGAAAAATATGCAAACTAAATATAAGCTAGACTGCAACAAATACAACATAATAAGTCCATGTTAGGTAAAACGCAAAATTAATTCAAACCCCAACATCAAAGCTTCTTACTGCTGAAGAAGTTTTTTGAAAATTATTTTTTGCAAAAACACTTGTCTTGATGAGTTTCATTTGCTTTCTTAGCTTAAAAGATTTAAGTAAATTAAGGTTGGGATTTGGATTAGTGATCAATTATGCCATTTACATAAGTGGGTTAATTGATTCACTACATGTGAATTAATTATCAATACAGCCTTGAAGTTTCCAGAGCTTTCCAAATGCACATTATATCTGGAGGAAAGTGCTACGGGCTCAGTTCAAAGTTTGAAATGTAGTAGAAACTTTACTTTAAAAACATGCTATCGTGAATCACCATGAAAAGGAAGGCAAATACCAACAATTTGTCAATAAGGTTATATTTCACTAAAGTTGGTTAAAATGTTTTATTTGAGAAATATAGGGGGGCAACCACCCCCCTTTGTGTCTGCCACTGTCGCAGATAAATGCAATGCCCCCCTAGACTGTCAAATGGCAAGACTTAGTACCCTGGAGTTGTTAAGCAGAAACAAAAAATGTAGCATAATTAAGGCATTTTAATACATTTCACCTCCGAGGTTTATAATTAACAGATTGCCAAAACTGATTTCTTGGCAAACAAACATATTCCTTGAGCAGTATAGGGGTGTGTGTGGTCAAAATACAGAAATAGCACTAGTTAAGTTCATGTATTATGGCAAATAGAAAGTAAACACTGTAAATTACATGAAGGAGTTCTGGTAAGCAGACAAAAGATTAAGACAAAAACAATAAAAGACAAGCTGGTCTTATGGCACAATGACTCTGACTAAATAATCCGCAACGTTTTCTACAAAGAAAACTTGGTGAGGGCAAGTTTGTCTTCATCGTCATTCAATAATAGTTGCCAAACAATTGTGTGCTAAACTGTCAACATCAAAAATGTTGGATGACAGAGGGAAGGGTGGGAGAGTACATAACACAATCAAGGTCAAAGAAGATGCTAGAGGGAAGTGCAAATTTCCATAAGTCAATTGAATTACATTTTCTGATACAGAGTACAAACTTAGAAATATTTACCTCATTTTCATTCATTTCCATCATTGTGGTGATGATTTCCTGGGTGGTAACACCATCTTCAAAGAGGGAGACTTCTGGGTTTGGTGTAACAATCTTCATTTTCAAGACGGTCAGTTAAAAAAACTAATGAAAATGAAAGGAAAATGTATCATCAAATGCGTGAAAAAATCCAAGAACGGTAGCTGTGAGAAATTCAAATTTTAGGATTAGAACATTATAATTGCTCGAGGTGACACAATGTATGTTTTGAAAATCAAGTTTGTTATCTTTATCTTATTCTTTTTTACAATGAACAGAATGTTGGAAGATCTAATGTTGAAACTTGAATCCTTGTAAATGTACTCAAGTCTAGTGTCTTCCTTGGGAAGGATCCAATATTATAACTTTAGTCTTTATACACTCAAATCTAGTGTCTTCATCAGAAGTGATCTGATGTTAAAACGTGAGTCCTCATGTACTTCAGTGGAGTGTCTCTACCAGGGGTGATCTGATGTTGAATCTTCAGTCCTTGTATACTCCAGTCAAGTGATCTGAAGTGATCTAAAGATTAGAAGTGATCTGATGTAAAAATTTTAGTCCTTATATACTGCAGTCTAGTGTCTTTCTTCATCAAATGTGATCTGATATCGAAAATTTGAGTTTCATATTGGAGTGGCAGGCGTATTGGGAATTGAAGCATCAGGTCCCAACTATACACGTGCCATATACAACAAGCATTTCAAACCGATTTGATATTACATTCACACATCATGGCATATTTAAACCACTGTTATCAATACAACGACGCTGAAATGTACGAGATAGAACTCATTCATTAAAATTAATAAGTCGATGACAACGCATACCTTGAAATTTTTCCCTTAGCAAATGCTAGCTCGGGTCGAGATCCCGGCCAAAGTAGAAGTCCAGTTTCAGTTTATAGAGCCAGAAGCCACTGATTTTGTTGTCTGTGGTATAAAATATTGCCGTACACCCTCCCTATGAACGAAAATACGAATTCAAAAATTGTTGACTTATCTGCAGACATGCAAGTAGGTTTGTGGTTGATGTTCGCAAAATGAAAACTTTCGAACGATAAATCAACAGTTAAACACTCTACAAAATACATACCCTAACACCAGGGTCACCGAACGAACCACCGATTTTCTTCTCGGACGAAATTGTTGCTGTTGTAAAGGCAAAACCACATAGAAATATAAAAGAATTGAAGAAACGAACAACACGAAAGAAATGAGATGCTCGCAGATGATCCGAGGCATGCGCCATGTGGTGGGATTTCACAAAACTAAATCACGTGGTTCCTAATGATATCCATATATGACAATGATGACGTATTTTATGCAAATTAACGATGCATCCACTGACTGATTTTGCGAGGATATAGGACTCTTTAGACTACAATCTTCACAACTAACATCTTTACATTTTATGTACGATATATTTGTACTATTTTACTGTTTGTTTTCCTTTGCGTACGAAATACGCGAAAGTTTTGCAGATCATATTTTCGTTTAAAATGTAGATCTGCGCTCAAAAATAGTTCTAAAATAAAGCCTGGATGCTCGAAAATAGTACTGTAAACTAATTCCTTACACAATGAAAAAATATTCTTACAAGTAGAGTTCACTGTAGAGTTGACTGTTGTAGAGTTCACTGTTGTAGAGTTGACTGTTGTAGAGTTGACTGTTGTAGAGTTGACTGTTGTAGAGTTGACTGTTGTAGAGTTGACTGTTGTAGAGTTCACTGTTGTAGAGTTCACTGTTGTAGAGTTCACTGTTGTTGTCACAACAATGTTTTCGCGCCAAAATGTCGTAGTCGTACTCGTAGTTCTTGCTAAAGCTCCCTAACGTTGTGTTAGGTTGCAGATAGTTAGGCCAAACATACTCCTTATAATTCCCCATGATTCCTACCTTACTAGTACAGTCACATAAGAAAAACATTGACTATGTTTTCCAAGCAACTAGATTAGATAGGTAAATGCAATTCTACAGAAAATACAATATAGATACATTTGAAGACAAAGTGAAGAGAACATCCATACAACAATTTGACATTAACCATAAAACAGCTCAATTCGAGGCAAAAATATTTTCCACCGTGAAAAAGACAGTAATGAGATACATAATATCATTTGATTAATTTAATAACCATATTATGTCCTGATGATGCATTAATTGCACTCAAACGTTCGAACTTATTTCACAAAAAAACCTTTAAAACAAAACTCTTGCATTTGAAATAATTGGCAATTTGATAGCTAAAATAAACCAAAACGTATGATTAAAAGCATGATCTGTTCAAACATGGTTAAACAGTGGCTTAATGCACTAGTTTAGATTGACCCTTCGCTGGTATGTGGTTGTTTATAGGAGCATGTTGCCATTTGCTGGGTTAAATTTTCGTGAGCAAAAGCTAACTCGGAAGTATATAAATCAGTCGAAGTAAATCAACCAGATTAAATACAGGTAACTAAGTTTACGTACAACAACCACAAACCAGTTTGGTTCGTGGTTGAAGTACATAAAATGACCATGTTCTTTTTTTTGTATAAATTTTCCAAATATTAGTGGAGAAAGGGGTAGCAGCTGTGTATTCTGTAAAAGAATCATAACAAACAAACCAGAATGAACAAAAATTCTTTCCACATGATTGATTGACTGAAGTTGCAGCCTGCAAACAGAAATCAGGACATCAATTTCATTACGACATTGAAAGTACTAATTAAAGCTCTATAACTTACGAGACAATAGAGAGCTTTAGCAAGAGTACGACTACGACAACGAGTACGAAGTTTGACTGTCTAAGACAGGGGTCTCCAAACTACGGCCCGCGGGCCAGATGCGGCCCGTTGGGCCCCCCAATCCGGCCCGCAGAGGTACTTAAGAAAAAATAATATTATTATTAAACAAAATAAACTTTGTGCAGAAAGTTCACGTTATGTCGCAAGCCAACTAGCAAGAGTGGCTTACGTCAATTTTTCTCCCAACTTCTTACTTCCGTTTCAAGCACATTGTGAAATTTAAAAAGCTGAAGGATAACGTGGAAATTTTTATATTCTTCGGCCCTCAACATGCTGGATGAAAGTTCATGTGGCCCTTTGGCTGTAAAGTTTGGAGACCGCTGGTCTAAGAGAATGGCACGAGGAAGTTTGTTATCGTTGTCGCTTCGTCAAAATTTAGTTTTAGTTATAAACAACAGAACGAGACTTTTTATTGTCAAAAACATCGACGTTTGCGAAGAAGCTACGGCTCCATTTGTCAATAATGATATCAAGTAATCGGTAATATTGATTTTGCGAGAACATAGTACTCTTTAGAGTGAAAAATCTTCACTATTTTAAGTTTTATGTACGATATATTTGTACTATTTTATTGTTTGTTTACCGTTCACTTTGCGTACGAAATACATGAAAGTTATCAAGGTCATATTTCCTTTTAAATGTACATATGCGCTCAAAAAAGGTTCTAAAGTAAAGCTTAGATGCTCAAAAATAGTACTGTAAACTAATTTCTTACACAATGAAAAAATATACCTACTTTCTTTGCTTAAAAAGACATCGTAGTCGCGACTACGATCTTTTTACAAAACATCGTACTCAGATTGATGACGGCTACGTGTTGTTGTTGTCAAAACTATGTTTTCGCGCCAAAATGACGTAATTCGTACTCGTAGTCGTACTCGTAGTCTTTGTTAAAAGCTCTCTATTCATTCACTCAGGACAACACTGACTTCGGGACGACCATTTTACACAGTAAGTAGTGACATCATAACATCAATTATTGATGCTGTAAGTCCACCTTGCAGCCCCCAGCATTTTGATGTATTTCTTTTACGATTAAATCAGCGACAACTTTACCTGGATCAGCTACAACTATGTTATTCGGAGACAAAACATTAAATGTAATTAAAGGTGGCTTATACAAAGACATATAGAGTTTCATCTTTCAACATTGGACACTCCAGATTGTTGAAGACATTAGACTGGAGTATATATGGACTCAAGTTTCATCATCAGATCACTCCTGATGAAGTACTTAGACTGGAGTATATAGGGCCTTAAGTATCAACATCAGATCCCTCACTAAACTTCAAGATAGCACACATTTGGGTGATGGCCAAGGAAACCAAGGCATTAGAAAAGTAGTATATAACGATATAAATTAAACATCCATTACTGTTGAAGACACTAGACTGCAGTGTATAAGAGATCAAGTTTCAAAAATATATCACTGTTGATGAAGACACTCGACTGAAGAATATAAAAACTTAAGTTTCAATATCAAGTTTTCCTAATAAAGACACTACACTGGAGTATACAAGACCTCAAGTTTCAACATCGGATCACTCCTGATGCAGACACTAGATTGGAGTAAATAAGAACTCAAGTTTCAACATCAGATCACTCCTGAAGAAGACACTAGAATGGAGTACATAAGAACTCAAGTTTCAACATCAGATCACTCCTCATGAAGACAATAGACTGGAGTAAATAAGAACTCAAGTTTCAATATCAGATCACTCCTGATGAAGACACTAGACTGGAGTATATAAGAGCCCAAGTTTAACATCAGATCACCACTGATTAAGACACTAAATTGGAGTATGTAAGAACCCAAGTTTCAACATCAGATTTACTCCAGATGAAGATACTAGACTGGAGTATATAAGGACTCAAATTTCAACATCAAATCTTTCCTAATAAAGATACTACATTGGAGTATATAAGAACTCAAGTTTCAACATCAGATCATTCCTGATGAAGATATCACACTGGAGTATACAAGGACTTAGGTTTCAACATCAGATCAATACTGATTAAAACACTACACAAGAGTGTACAGTTATGTATAATTTAACTGCAAAAAATACACAGTAATTTAATATCAACGTATAAAATACACTGAAAGCAACAAAATAAATCAATCTTTCGCACAATATGTACGAAGTGCTGGTTCACTCTTCTCTAAACTTCACTCGAACGATGGGACTGTATTTTGACAATTATATTTAACACTTCGAAAGGATATTTACAGTGGTTGTGCACGATTTTTACGTTACGGAGTTCCAAACGTTGGTTCTTTGCGATACGGAATATTTGAATTGATATCGTTAAGATTACGGACAACCGTCACTCCTTAAACTGAGTTTTCGAACTTTATTGCCTTCTGCAATACGACTGCTAATTTATCAAATTTTAATGACCAGTTCATACACCAATAACAGAAAGCTTTAGCAAAGACTACGAGTACGACTACGATTACGTCATTTTAGCGCGAAAACATTGTTGCGACAACAACAACCATTGAGTTCTATAATAACTGGAGCGGCTATCTCAAGCGCGGCCTTAGATATCTGATGATGCCAAAAAAATGGCGGATTTCGTCCTTTGCCGCTGAGATTTACCGAAATTGACCGCTTTTCCGAAAATTATTATAGAACTCAATGACAACAACACGTAGCCGTCATCAATCTGAGTACGATGTTTTGTAAAAAGTTCGTAGTCGCGACTAAGATGTCTTTTTAAGCAAAAAAAGTAGGTATATTTTTTCATTGTGTAAGAAATTAGTTTACAGTACTATTTTTGAGCATCTAGGCTTTACTTTAGAACCTTATATGACCTTGATAACTTTCCTGTATTTCGTACGCAAAGTGAACGGTAAACAAACAATAAAATAGTACAAATATATCGTACATAAAACTTAAAATAGTGAAGATTTTTTACTCTAAAGAGTACTATGTTCTCGCAAAATCAATATTACCGATTACTTGATATCATTATTGACAAATGGAGCCGTAGCTGCTTCGCAAACGTCGGTGTTTTTCACAATAAAAAGTCTCTGTTGTTTATAACTAAGGCTGCGTTTACACGATACCGGATAAGTTTTAATCCGGATTAAATTTGTGACGGATAGGCCCTGCGTTTACACGGATCCGCTCTGATCCGTGCAAGTTTTGTGTCGGCTAAGCGGTACAATTTTGTACCTGAAAAATCGAGGTACAATTCTGTGCCGGTACTGTTCCATTCTATATCAGTTACCGTGTAAACGGTTTAACCAGGTAAGTTTTTAACCGTTTTCACTGTTATTCGACAAAACAGTGAGTCAGTGCTCAGTCAATATTTTTTTAATACTGCATTTTCCAACATGAGACAGATTCTTATGAGCATTTTTGCATTTATTTTTGGTGCTGTGGCGACGTTGAACGTTGTTTATGAACTGGCGTTGGTAAATTTGGTAAATTATCGAAGGCAAAGACAAAGGTAAACGCTTGATGACAAACGGAAATATGTCGTTCTTTGCATCTAAAATACAGCATAAGTTTTGGATTTACGGCGGAAAATAAATAACGCAGTATTGTAATCCACACATATTATGACAAAACTTACTGGCTTATTCACTCAAAAGTTTGCTTCACTTATTTTCAAAAGGACGTTCAATTCTCTTTTTAAGGTATGCTACATTGCTGACACAGTCGTCCATCGTTAGAGGGAAGAAAATAAAAAGTAAAAGAAAGGCAAAAGGATGTTGGGTGAGGCCTGGGAGAACATCTCTGTGGTGGGAAAATTTCTTATCCGGTGCTGTAGTAGGTCATGAATGGAGAGAGAACTTTAGGATGTCACAAGACAATTTCATGAAACTGTGCAACAAAATCAGAATCCCACTTCAAAAGAAAGTCACAAATATGCGTGTTCCTACATCTGTTGAGAAGCAAGTTGCTATGACTTTATACTATCTTGCTGATGAAGGAAGATTACGAAAAGTTGCAAATGCATTTGGCGTTTCCAGATCAACTGTATCATTGGCTATTAGAAGAGTATGTTTTGTAATTTCCACCGTATTAGGTCCTGAGTACATCAGATTACCTCAAACAGAACATGATGTATTTGAAGCTGTCTCAAATTTTTATGAAAAACATGGCTTTCCACAATGCATTGGTGCTGTAGATGGCACTCATATCTTCATTAAACAACCAGCCAACAATGCAAGTGATTTTATCAATAGGAAGCATAGATATTCACTGAATGTGCAAGCTATTGCAGACTACAAGTATTGTTTTCTAGATGTTGTGGTCAAATGGCCGGGCAGTGTGCATGATTCAAGGATATTTTGTAACTCAAAAGTAAATGAGATGTTAAAAGAAGGTTCAATTCCCAGTTTGCCAAGAGTCTTATTGCCAGGCACTGAACCTGTTGGAATTTGCATTCTTGGAGATCCGGCATATCCTTTACTCCCTTATTTGATGAAGGAATTTCCTGGTGGGGGCAAGACTGCACAGGAACAATTTTTTGGGTATCGACTTTGTTCAGCCAGAATGATTATTGAATGTGCCTTTGGACGCCTGAAGAGTAGATTTGGGTGTCTGAAGCGTGAAATGGACATAAACCTTGCTGATTTGCCAAATGTTATTTACAGCTGTTTTGTATTGCACAATTATTGTGAAATGAATGGTGAGATAATAGCTAATGAAAGAGTAGATAATGCAATAACTTATGACAGAGAAGTTCAACCTGCATCTTCAAGTGTACGGAATCAAGGATGTGAGGCTTCAGCAAAGGCAGTAAGAGACATTTTTGTGCAGTATTTTGATTAGAGATTATATCTACAAACACCTTATTGAACAGACTTTACTGATAATAATATACTTGTACAAAGATGATTTAATTGTTCTTGTACATACAATAATCCATTTGTTGCATTTTAAGTAATAAAATTATTGGAATAAAACATGACAAAAAAAGGCAATTTAAAACTGTTTAAAATTATATAAGTACTTTGTCTAAAAAGTATATTCATAACAATAGTTTTTGTGCAATATTTAAGCAATGTATTACATTAGATTAAACAATGGCAACCCAAACACTAACAAATGTACGTTGAAGTATACCTATTAAAAGAATAGAAATCCTGGTTCTATGACTTTGAAAACGGTATAAAATTATCATTGGCATTACTATGGCTAGACTCGCCATTGTTATTAGTTGACATAGCTGCTTGTTGGTATCTCCATGGTTGTTGAAAATTTGGAAAGTTAAATTGATTTGGTTGCTGTTGAAGTGATGCAAGCAATGCAAACCCATGACTTAGTGTATCATTAAGTGATGAAATTCCTTTGGCAAACGCAGTCATGTTTTCTTGGTGCTTCTGTTCAGCTTTTTCCATTTGTTCCACAATCCTGTTCTTAAGACTTAAATCTTCCTTCGCCATGGCTATCATCTGTTTCTCAGCAGGTATTTTCTTATTTAACTTTGAATTTTTCTTTTGTTGTACTTTTGAGATGAGATTCCTTCTAGCTTCACTTACCCTACTTATTGCATCAGTATTTAAAATCTCTTGTTGAGCAGAATTGTCGAGTGTTTCACTGCTTACATCAGAAAGCTGAACACACGATTTATTTGATACTCCAGAAAGAGAGTCTTCGGAATCACTGACAGTTTCGGATGTGCTTGGTATGCTTTCTCGAGCATTCGATATTGCTTCTACTGCTGGGCTCCCACACCAAATACTAGCACATTCATCGTATAAAACAGCTACAACTCTACCGCCTCCGCTGCGTCTTCCAGAATCAACTGCTTTTCGAAAACAAAGTTTAATTCTTTTGGTTTTAGCTATTATTCGACTTTTGGTAAAAACGCTTGATATCGTATCATTAACATGTGGAAATCCTTCTGAATTTTCTATGGGATAACGCTCGAGGTATCTTTCGCGAATTTCATCGTATTTCGATTTAACAGACTCCCAGTCTACACCTTCATTTTCTTTATCCACCTTATACGCAGCAATCACATCAAGAAGAGGACGATTTTTTCCTTTTAGCAACGGTAGCCATTTTTCTCTCATGCTATCATTGCACATGCGCGGTACTCGAAACTTTTATTTCTCTCATAAATGTACAGGTTCCGTGTAAACAGAACGAATCCGTCACAAATTTAATCCGGATTAAAACTTATCCGGCACCGTGTAAACGCAGCCTAAAACTAAATTTTGACGAAGCGACAACGATAACAAACTTCCTCGTGCCATTCCCTTACACGGTCAAACTTCGTACTCGTTGTCGTAGCGTACTCTTGCTAAAGCTCTCTATTGTCTCGTAAGTTATAGAGCTTTAATTAGTACTTTCAATGTCGTAATGAAATTGATGTCCTGATTTCTGTTTGCAGGCTGCAACTTCAATCAATCAATCATGTAGAAAGAATTTTGTTCATTCTGGTTTGTTTGTTATGATTCTTTTACAGAATACACAGCTACCCCTTTCTCCACTAATATTTGGAAAATTTATACAAAAAAAGAACATGGTCATTTTATTAAATGAGATATGATCTTCGCACTTTAGCTGGACAATTTAAGCAATCGTCTCAGGACCTGAAAAAATCAGGTGACTCAACGGGATTCGAACCCATGACCTCTGCGGTGCCGGTGCAGTGCTCTGACCACTGAGCTATGAAGTCACATAGTGGTGAGCAGGTCAATATTGTTGGGCTCATGTTTTCTCGTGAAATGTCCAGCTAAAGTGCGAAGATCATATCTCATTTAATTTCAAACACCGCACTGCATAAAACATTCATATGGTCATTTTATGTACTTCAACCACGAACCAAACTGGTTTGTGGTTGTTGTACGTAAACTTAGTTACCTGTATTTAATCTGGTTGATTTACTTCCACTGATTTATATACTTCCGAGTTAGCTTTTGCTCAAGAAAATTTGACATTGTTGCGACAACAACAGTGAACATATGGCGTATGGTAAGCAGATTGATGCTTCTAAAATTGTTGTTGCCGAAGGACTTTTAGCTATGATTTCTTTAGTGCTTGGGGAGTCGTGGCCGTTATATGGCAGCGAAATCCTACATTCCTGCAAATATATTTGAATGGACAAAAAATCTGTAGCCATAAGGCGCCATACTATTATTTACTTTATCATAAACAAATGTTTGGGGCTTTTCAGTTTATGATCATTGATCATTCAATCATTGGACAGTTATACTACACATTGTTTAAGATTTGAGAAAACTAAGATTGATTACATGAGAAGCTGTTTACTATAACCTGTGACTTTCAGTCTTCTGATCCATGAAGCTTTTTATTTGGACAATTTGACTGGAATGATATAACCTGAGTATTTCACATACATGAAATGCTGTCCCATGTCACATATTGACCCCTTTTCTAACTGAACGCCTCATGTAGAGATGTCAAGGTGTGTTTATCTATGGCTCATGCCAGATTGTTTGCCATAAATTACAAAGGGCTATTGATGTATGAAAAGCATTTCTATAAAGTAAAAATGTGTTCCTATGTATGCAGATAAACCTTGAAATTTGGCAAAACAGCAAAGTATTTTTCATGATCACTAGGTAATTTTTCTGATGATCATTATAATTTCTGAACTAAATTATTTCAGATTTACATTTAAACGAGCTTTGATCATATGAAAAGATATGTATCATAATCAGTAAGCATGACACATGAACCAGTTTTAACATTCATGTAAATATATGATTAAAGGCATGTTGGTTACATTCTGTTTGTATTTGCAAATACAATGCTACTGGTGATTGGTATATAGCACACCTTGCATATACTTACAAAAGATAATAGTCTAGTGAAATGCCTAATAAACATTAATGGCATTAAGCTGTCCTTAATTGCAAATTTTCACTCCGATAATTTTTGTTTAATCTTTGGCAGAAAAAAATTTTGAGTTTTTTCTCAAAAGGTGAATTTGCTGGCACTGTATGTGGAGATGGGTAAAGGGTTACAATAAACTTGCATGGTTTGAAGTCTGAGGTTTTCTATATCTATGAACTGTAGTACTAAATTTCTAACTTAACTCATTACATAAATGTTTGAATGGGGGTCTCTAAGGTGGTCAATGCCTGACAACTTGGTAGAAATTTTTAAAGGCAATATCTTTTTTGGAATGGCATTATTGTAAAATAAATTTTATGTTCCTAGATATGCTAATGACCATATATTTGGTATGATAATGAGCCTAAATATTTGGCTAAAAATTCAAGTATTGTTCACTTCATTTTTTTTTTTTGAAAAAAAACGTAAGCAAAATGTGTGTTTTTACGCAAAAACGATGCCCACAAAATGCATTTTGTATTGCTCTAAAACGCTGAAAATAGCATTTCCAAGTCTCTGAAATTCAAAATTTCCCAGGGGAGAATGCCTCGGACCCACCCAGGTGCTGAGCGCCTCGGACGTTGTGACTGTTTGAAAAATCCCCCCCTGTTATCTTACTATTATAATAATATTCTAAAATAGCGTGAATACTATCATAAAATAGAGAACGGTTGCTGGTTCTTTGCTGGTTTGGAAAATGGAAAATAATCTAATTTATACCTACGATATCTTTTGTAGTTTAGTAAAATGCGAACTGACGCTGCCTCAGTGGGCGAGTCAACCATACACGTTTGCAATATTTGAATAATAATCTTTGTGGAACCGTTGACACGTAACAATATCGATTCAAGAGCAACGTTAATTTAGTCTTTTTAACAATACTATATGGTAAATGATCATTTTGACACTCGACCAGTTTTGGAAGTACATTGACTAAACTACGTTCTGACCAGTCAAATTTATATCAACCGTGAAATACAATCCACTTGTCAAAAACGCCGCCAGTGCCAATGCAAGAAAATGCTCTTCGGAAACCAAATCATAAAAAACCTTGGTCCACGCCTGAGGAAAGTTCATGAGTTTCACAAACACATTTGGCCACAGAATTTCTTCTATTACTAGAATCACGCGCCAGCTCACCGAAAATTTTAAACTCCTTGAAGATATCCAGCGCAACCGGTAACGGTTACAGCATTTGTCAAAATACCTTTGACTTCAAAGTACCTTCAGAACAACACTACTGGTTATGAATTTCAAAAGAAAAGAATTTTACCAATTGAGCTGCATCTAAGGTACTTGAGGTACAATGATCAGGATTCCACATTGAGCGCTCTCCGTGCCTCAATGTCTTGTAATTATAGTCTTGTTTAGTCGTTTGATAATATTCTTTTTCTAGTCCTTCCTCTTCCTTCACAAGCGATACCCCCACAACAACCTTTCCCCTTATATTTGGAGTATTTTTTAAGGTTTACGGTATTACACTGTTGAGACACAGTCTTAAATATATATTATGCTCAGAGTGATGATCCTAAGTGCTTTGTCTGGTTACCCCTGGCAACAAGTTTACCATCAGGTAGTTTCAGATCGGCTGTAGCAAAACCCATGGTCCTGCCAATTTTCAAAGCTTCAGCTGTGATTGTCACAAGATCTCCAATCTTTGCAGTTCCAATATACCTTTGAATAAAATATTTCAGACAAAAACAGGTGCAAAACATCTGACACATTTGAAAATTTGACACACCACAATATCAATAAGTATCTGCTAACACCTAAAGCATCCACTCACTTTTTATAATGTCAAGCAATTTTATGAGTTCAGACCTTGCCAATTTCTTTTAACTGCATGCATGTGCACTGTAGCTCAAAAAAAGTTTCACAGGGAAGTTTTTGAATGTGTAACTACAACACTGGCAAACATGTCAATAAAAATATGAAGGCCTAAAGCAAATTTGAAAAAAAAAACCTTTAAAATAACCATTTTTGGCATAAAGTGCCCAAATTTCATAGTGCCCAGGGATGGGAGCAGAGAAAGTAATGTATCATTTGCCCATGAATCTACAGCATTTTTACACACAGAATCCTGATTGACTGACTTCAAGTAACAAATCAAAATTAGGCCATTATTTTATTACTACACTAAAAGTAATCAAGCTCTAAAACTTACGAGACATTCAGATCAACACTGACTCCAGGACGACCATTTTCTCCACTAAGTAATGCCAATGTTGTCATGCTGTCAATTAATGTTGCTATAAATCCACCATGCAAAGTACCACTTGCATTTTGGTGTTCTTCTTCAACAGTTAATTCAGCAACAACTTTACCTGGATTGGCTGTAACTATTTTAACCTTAAACATAAAATATTAATGTTACAAGAAGTGGTTTATATAGAGACATATAAAAGCTCATCTTTCAACATCAGATCACTTCTTATGGATGAAGACATTTGACTGAAATACATAACTAAGTACTCAAGTTTCAATTTCAGATCATTCCTAAAAAGAAGACACTAGACTAGAGTACATACGAACTCAAGTTTCAACTTCAGGTCACAACTGATAAAGAAACTAGACTGGAGTATAAAAGAACTCAAGTTTCATCCAACATCAGATCACTCCTGATGAAGACAATAGATTATCGATAGACTGGAGTATTCTAGGTTGGACTAAATTAAATTACAACATTAGATCATATGACGACTGCTGATGAATTAATCGCTTTGTGTTCAGCGTTGCACTGTAAATTTTTGCACTAGCACAACAGTAATTTATCTGTGCACATCACAAAATCTCGTTGAAGACTCTTCATGCTGGTCGGTGACCGGCTTGACTGAGAAAATTGACATCGAATAGGTGTAGAGATAACTGATAGAACTAAATAGCATGAAATAAAGGTTGACAAATAAGCTGAAAAACTTTCAATACCTTCTTCAGAACTCGATCAAATATTTTTTGTGTCTCTAGAATTTCGTAAATTCTGAGAATTTTCTCAAGCGTAGACATTTTGTCACGGTTTCAAAAACCTTCCCACGCGGGCACCCATATATGGTCATATAGTGACGCACGATTATGTAAATTAGCAACCGTAGACAAGCGACATGTGACCGATTTATGAAGAATGTTTTATGCAGTGCGGTGTTTGAATTTTTCAGGTTCATGAGACAATTGCTTAAATTGTCCAGCAAAAGTGCGAAGATCATATCTTCATTCAATTTCAAACACCGCTCTGCATAAAACATTCTTCATAAGACATTCCTTTCACGAGAAAACATGAGCCCAACAAAATTGACCTGCTCACCACTGTGTGACTTCATAGCTCAGTTGGTCAGAGCACTGCACCGGCACCGCAGAGGTCATGGGTTCGAATCCCGTTGAGTCACCTGATTTTTTCAGGTCCTGAGACGATTGCTTAAATTGTCCAGCAAAATGCGAAGATCATATCTTCATTTAATTTCAATTACCGCACTGCATAAAAACATTCTTACGACATTCCTTTCACGAGAAAACATGAGCCCAACAATATTGACCTGCTCACCACTGTGTGACTTCATAGCTCAGTTGGTCAGAGCACCGCACCGGCACCGCAGAGGTCATGGGTTCGAATCCCGTTGAGTCACCTGATTTTTTCAGGTTCATGAGACAATTGCTTAAATTGTCCAGCAAAAGTGTGAAGATCATATCTTCATTCAATGTGACAGATTTGGCAATATGTTTTGACGTCATATGCATGAAAGATTTTCTCGGGTCACGAGCTTTTAGACTAGTGTGGCAGTGTTTCACGGAATTTAAAAATTTTGTTGGTCAAGCCATGAAATTTGACCTTGATAGTCAGTATGTGTCTAAGGGAACTTATGCATGAAACAAACAAAACAGTGTTGAAACACATATCAATTCCAAATTTAATGAAACACAATTAAATACATCTAAAATACATGATTATTGAAAACATTGGCGAAGGAAGAACACAGGGGAACAAACAGTTTAAAATAAAGAATTTACGTCACATTGACCCAATGATGTAGAACCCAATGTACTATATATCTGACCCCAGTAAAATTCTATAGTTACAACTTACAAGTGAGACAAGCTGCCATCTTGAAAGGAGGCAAAACTGACGATATTTACGACTAATATCTGCTTTTCTTGAGTGTATATACAGTTGCAAAGTTGATAGTCTACATTTAGTACTCAAAATGTTTGATAGGATTGTTTTTTGAACCTTCTTTTAGAATTTTTTTCATTTTGAGCTTTGCTTTTTGCCAATATAAGCACCTTTCAAGATAGCGTTTGTTGCCTCAACTTGACATTTGGGGAATTGGGTTCTAAATCAGCGCATTGATCTCTCTTAGTGGTACAGTGGCTTGTAATTATAAAAGTTAAGTTTGTTAATAATACTCTATTCCTTCCTCTTTCATAACAAGAAATACAAGCCATCCCACACCAAACAAAATCCTCCTTCTCCCTTCATACTACAGTGGAGTAGCAGAAACTTTCTAAATGAGGGGGTAAATATTCATATATGCAAGTCTCAATCCATAAAAAACAATGGATTTCAAAGAAACTTAACATGGCAGACATGCACTTATAAATAAGTTCTGCTCCCCCCTCAATCATCGAGTTTGCTAAGCGACTGTATTAAAGTATTAGGAGTATTTTCTTGAGGTTTATGGGATTAGCCTATCCACATCATTTTATTGTTAAGTACGTGGCCCAAGCCTTCAACATAATTATATAATGCTCAGTGCAATCAACTTAAGTGTTTAGTATGGTTACCCCTGGCAACAAGTTTACCATCTGATAATTTCAGTTCGGCTGTAGTAAAAGCCAAGGTCCTGCCAACTTTCAAAGCCTCAGCAGTGATGGTCACCAGATCTCCAGTCTTAGCTGCTCCCAAGTACCTTTGAATACAACGAATATTTAGATAAAACAGGTGTTAAATTTCTAACTGATGAATATGTTGAGGATTGCCAGTTTCATTACAAAATGCTAATACAACAAACCATGGTGATTTGTGTTTCATGGAGCACCCTTCCAAAAATCTTCCTCTCCCAATCATAATAAAAAAAGGTAACAGAAAGTAAAAAAAATTTAAACACAACAGAAACAAGAAAGAAGCAAAATCTAAATTCAAGTTAATGCATCCCTTTTCCATAATATCTAGAAAATGTACGTACTCTAACACTCACTATAACACTATCATAATAGCCACAATAAAAATAGATTTCACAGAGAGAAGTTATTGATTGGTCAACTAAAACATGGGCAAACAAAGCCAATACCAATATTGCCAAAAAACCCCTTCAAAATTACCATATTTTTCACATAAATTGCCTAAATATTGATGGGCAGGGGTTTGTTGTATGATTTGCAAATAAACCTCAACAAGCAAACCAGTATATTAAAAAAACTCTTCACAGAAAAACTTGGTTGATTGACTTTGAGTAGCATGCAAAATTAAAACCAGTATTTTTATCACTACAATGAAAGTATATAAGCTCTACAACTTACGTGACATTCAGATCAACGCTGACTCCAGAACGACCATCTTCACCACTCAGCAATGCCAATGTTGTCATGCTGTCAATTAACGTTGCTGTAAATCCACCATGCAAAGTACCACCGGGATTTTGATGTTCCTCTTCTACAGTAAATTCTGCAACAACTTTACCTGGATCGGCTACAAGTATTTTAACCTTAAACATAAAGTATCAAGGTTAGTAAAGTTGCTTTGTAATTTTGTATAAAGACATGTAAAGGTTAATCTTTCAACATCTTATAACTCCTGGACTACATATGAGCTCAAGTTTCACAACTAATAAAGAAACAAAACTGGAGTTTATAAGGACTCAAGTTTCACTTTAAGATCACTGCAGATGAAGACACTGACTGGAGTATAAAGACCTCAAATTTCAACATAAGATGGTTCCTGATTAAGACACTAAACTGAAGTATACATCAAACTCAAGTTACAACATCATATCATTCTTGACAAAGACAATAACCAATTTATCACCAATTCCTGCAGTTTTGCTTCTGTTGAGGCTGGTAAGCTCTAAAACCGTAAATGTGGTTTTTCCACAAGATCTTATTCTTCTGTGTGCACAGTTAAATTTGTACTTATTAATGTGATGAATGAAATGCCTTACAACAGAGTGAGTCCCCTGGACACAGACACAAACGCTGTAGATATTGTTTCGAAAAGAAAATATCATAAAAACGACAATTTTCTTGTGAACAAAATTGATAAAAAACTTACAAGTCACAAGTTACAAACATGCTTCGACAATAGGAAAATGGCAGGACATTGGATATCCATTTAATTAAAATATCACGTTAACTAAAACAAGTTTTAAGTAAGATAAAAAGCTTTTAATACTTTCTTAAGAACTTGATCAAATACTTTTTTTGTCGACAGAATTTCAAATATTCCACGAACTTTGCGCAAGATTGCCATTTTGCTAATGCGGGCGGAGAAGCCTGCATTTTAGGTGTGATGGCAATATGGCTAGCATTTTGTTTTACATTTTCTTCAAAATATCTGGCGGACCTCACCATTCGAGAAAATAAAAAAGTTCACTTTTTAAATTCCATAGAAAATATTTTTAATAACCATCCTAAACCAGTTGTCGCCGTTATATTCATCGTAAATCCTCTCTCTTTTTACTAACGATCAAAATGGTGGTTACCGACCGTCGTTTCCATGCATTTCCAGGAACCGTCGGCACGATTGAAAAATCGAAGAAAAGTTGCTTTACTCTGAGACACCAAATATCTTTTCATAATAGCATTACACACCAGCTGCAATTGTGTGCTGATGCTGGGTAACACCATGATGTAACAGGAATGCTATACTCGCTATTGGGCAATGTACTGGTTTAATTTGTTTTCAGTGGTGTACTGGCAGGGGGAGGGCGTGCTACCTCAGCTATTGATTTTGTGGGCGTAGAAATGAATATAAGGGTCGAATTTTAATATTTGGGTGAGAAAAACGCGTTCGAAATGATACGGTTGGTATATTATTTCATCTTACCAAAGTCCATGAAAATGGCACTTTAGAGCTTCTTCATTTAAAATTTTCTAGGGGAGCATACATTCAGATCCCTTAGTACGACGTACATCGTCTCGGGCATTTGGTCGTATTTTTTAAAATGTTATATCTTGGGGCGCATTTTAGTTGAACGCAGTTGGCCACCCCAGAAAATTATTCCAAGCAAGCCACCGTTTGTTTTCAAAGGCGTACGGGACATGGATCTTCAAGAAATTTTAAAATTAGGAAAGTAGGGTAAATTTTTAGCGCTAATCTAACGAATAATACCGAAATGAAAGAAATTAGGACACGTAATTCGACGTGAAGACGTTCGGTGAGTTGAGAAAATATTTACAGCTCCCCATCCTGGGGCGAGATAAGAACTCTAATAAGCGAGAAGGTGAATATTCCTATATTCTGCTCTGCCGACTGATTTCTTTCGAAAGCGATTTTCATTTTAAAAGAAATTAGTACGGCAGACTTTAGTACAATGGGATCTCGTTAATACGGTCATCAGCAAGACGAAAAAATATGACAATATTAACTTGGACCAAATTTTGGTCCTTAGAATTTTCGATTGTTTCCTTAATATTAATATTATATATATTCTCTGATTATGGCTTTCGAATAAAATTGTTTCCTTGATGTTGACATACAGTACGCTGAGAGAGAATGAGTTAACATCTCATTATTGTAATGTTATTCATGAATTTCAGCCAGCCTACACGGAATTCTCAAACATTGCAGCTCGCCTAGGACTGGTGGTGCCCACAATAGCATTAATAAAGCACTTTTTTGTATTTGACCATCCTTATCATAAGTGATCTGATATAGAAAGTTAAGTTTTTATGTACTCCAGTGTGGTGTCTTCATCAGGAGTGATCTGATGTTGAAGCTTGAGTCCTTGAATACTCCAGTCTAGTGTCTTCCTCAAGAGTTTTCTGGTGTTCAAACTCGAGTCCCTAATTGTATACTCCAGTGTAGTATCTTCAGCAGGAATGATCTGATGTTGAAACTTGAGTTCTTACATACTCAAGTGTAGTGTCTTTATTAGGAGTGATCTAATGTTGAAACTTGAGTTCTTATATACTCCAGTCAGCAGTCTTCATCAGGAGTGATCAAATGTTAAATTTGAGTCCTTATATATGCGCTCTTTGTGCCTCAATGGCTCGTAAATACAAATGAAAGTTTAGTTTGTTGATAATATTCTATTTTCTAGTCCTTTCTCTTCCTTAAAAAGCAATAAACTCCCTCCTCCCCCCAACAAATTTTCCTCTTTATACTTGGTAATTTGGAGTATTTTTAAGGCTTATATGGAATGACACTTTCAGATGATATCATGAACATCACCTTTTTGTTGAGATACAGTCAAAGCCTTAAATTTATATGGTGCTCAGAGCGATGGTCCTAAGTGCTTTGTATGGTTAGCCCTGGCAACAAGTTTACCATCTGGTAGTTTCAGTTCGGCTGTAGCAAAACCCATGGTCCTGCCAACTTTCAAAGCCTCAGCAGTGATTGTCACAAGATCTCCAATCTTTGCAGTTCCAATATACCTATGTATAAAATAAATAATTCCAATAAAACAGGTGTCAAACCTCTGACACATCTGAAAGTTTGACAGAACACAACATCAAATATATATCTCATAACACTGAAACCATCCACCAGTGTGTGAATTAGTTCAGAAAAAACGATGTGCAATTTTTATGACAAAAGTGTTTCTTTATAGGCATAATCAAATTGATATTACGTTAATTATTATGTAGCGCTAATTGCTAAATTAATATTTTCAAACGTGAACAAATTCGTATGATTTACGACAGTGTTTTTCGCTAAAACCGCTGATTTTTGCACATCGTTTGAAAAAGTGATGTGTAATTATTTTCATTTTAGCTAAAACGATGTGCAAATTGCACATCGCACACCGTTAATTCGCACACTGCCATCCACTAACTATTATATTGGCATTGTCAACCAATTTTATGAGTTCAGACCATACTAATGTCTGTTAACTGCATGTAAGTGCACTTTACCTCAGAAAAGAGTTTTACAGGGATGTTTTTACTGGATAAATATAACAATGGCAAATAAGTTATTTTCCATGATCATAAATTACCAAAATTAAATGGTGTGTGTGGGAGGGATAGGGAAGCAAAAAGTGCTATATCATTTGCCTATGAATCACAACTAGAATTTACAAAATTTTACAAGCACAGATAACTGATAGATTGACCATGAGTTGCATAGTAAACAGAATGTACCTAGGCCATTTCTTCATTACTACACTGAACTGAAAGTACTCAAGCTCTACAACTTACATGACATTCAGATCAACACTGACTCCAGGACGACCATTTTCTCCACTCACTAATGCCAATGATGTCAAAACATCAATTAATGTAGCTGTAAATCCACCATGCAAAGTACCACTAGCATTTTGATGTTCTTCTTCTACAATTAACTCTGCGACAACTTTACCTGGTTCAGCAGCAACTATTTTAACCTTAAACGTAAAATATTAAATGCAATTAGAATTGTTTAGTACAGAGATATATAAAAGATCATCTTTCAACATAACAGCACTCCTGATGGATGAAGGCATTAGACTGGAGTACATAAGGACTTGAGTTTCAACATCAGATCACTTCTGATAAAAACACTTGACTGGAGTATATAAGAACCCAAGTTTAACATCAGATCACTCCTGATAAAGACACTAGAATGGAGTATATAAGGACTGAAGTTTTAACATCACATCTCCTGATGAAGACACTAGACTGGAGTAAATAAGAACTCAAGTTTCAACATCAGATCACTCCTGAAGAAGACACTAGAATGGAGTACATAAGAACTCAAGTCTCAACATCAGACCACTCCTGATAAAGACATTTGACTGGAGTATATAAGAACCCAAGTTTAACATCAGATCACTCCTGATAAAGACACTTGACTGGAGTAAATAAGAACTCAAGTTTCAACATCAGATCACTCCTGATGAAGACACTAGACTGGAGTATACAAGACCTCAAGTTTCAACATCGGATTACTCCTGATGAAGACACTGGACTGGAGTAAATAAGCACTCAAGTTTCAACATCGAATCACTCCTGATGAAGACACTAGACAGGAGTATATAAGAACTCAAGTTTCAACATCGGATCACTCCTGATGAAGACAATGGACTGGAATATACAAGACCTCAAGTTTCAACATCGGATCACTCCTGATGAAGACACTAGACTGGAGTAAATAAGCACTCAAGTTTCAACATCGGATCACTCCTGATGAAGACACTAGACTGGAGTATATAAAAACTCATGTTTCAACATCCCATCTCCAACAAATCACTCCTTATGAAGACACTAGACTGGAGTACATAAAAACTCAAGTTTCAACATCCCATCTCCTGATGAAGACATTAGACTGGAGTATGTTAGAACTTAAAATTTAATATCAAATCATCTGATGACCACTAATGAATCAATTGCATTGTGTTCAGCGTTGCACTGTAAAGTTTCATTTTTGCACAAGCACAAATTATCTGATGACCACTAATGAATCAATTGCATTGTGTTCAGCGTTGCACTGTAAAGTTTCATTTTTGCACAAGCACAACAATACCTTGTGGGTACATCACAACATCTCGTTGAGGACTCTCATTACTGGTCGGTCGGTGACCGGTTTGACTGAGAAAATTGACATTCAATAGTTGTAGAGATAATAGCTTGAACGACATAGCATGAAATACAGGTTGTCAAATAGAACGAAAAAACTTTCATTACCTTCTTAAGAACTCGATCAAACTTTTTTTGTGTCTCCAGAACTTCGTAAATTCTGCGAATTTTGTCCAGTGTTGACATTTTGTCAGTGATATATTATATATCATCTTCACATGACATAGTTGATCATTATAGCATGACTTATATGAAGTTCTTCAACACTTACATCGTAAAGTTTATCTAGCAATAATTTGGAAGTTATTCATTGCAGTTGAAACGAAAATTTGGGATATACATATATATAAATGTGATATAAATGAAAATAATTTTCTAACGGGTATAAAGTATAAAATGTGATATATCGTTTACTCAACCGTTAAATCAACACGCAAGGTATGACTTGTATTTATTTATATTTATTCAATCCAATACTTGTGTATTTTTAGTAATTTTGGGACAACGCACCGTGCTGTTTTGTTGTTAGCTATTCAAAAGCATTTTTAAAAAGTTCTCTACCGACTAGAAAAAAGGTTGAAGCTTTCAGTGAGTGAAAACTTTGCACATTGCAAGTGTCTAATGTAAACATATCGCATTTCATCGTATTTCCTGTCCATTGTTTAACACTTTACGAGTCAATGTTCATGGTAATTTTGATATTTTGTAAATCCACAGAATTATTGTTTGTATTTTATTTAAAATTGCAAAGAAAATTAGACTAAATTGCTTTCTGTCTTTAATTTAACACAACAGCACAGAGAAGTGAGAGAACTCTGACCTCGGAGTGAACCGAGCAATCAGAGGCCGCGGAACCGGGGGGGCATTGGGGGCAAGTGCCCCCCCACTTTTTGCAACAGGGAAAAATGTGCCCTTTTTCTGGAATGAAAGTGTCCTTTTTCATGGTGTAGAAATGCCCTTGTTTTAGGTAAAATTGGACTGAAGAAGTTTTTCTTAGATACAAGTAGCCCCGAGAGTAGAACAAAGTCTGTCGGCATCATGCGAAATCAGCTATAGCTTAGTTTTTGATCTTGATTACCCAGATGGATCAAAAATCGCGTTTGTCGATTGGGGTTGTCTTCGCAGACGTCCGCCCAGTAACTTATTTAACCAATGAGAACTCGCAATTTATGATCCACATGAGACTATATATTCTACGGCAACGCATTGCTCCCGTCGTATTGTCTTTCAGGCCATTGGTCCTACAAAACTGTTGACAATTCATAATCATAATAATTGAAAATTTTGCGGTTTAAATCACTTCTAATCAAAATCATCATGCCTAGAGCTGCTAGGCGAAAACGAGAAAAGGAAAAAGAGCTTGTAGAAAAAGCTAAAAGGATGCGAAAACTGATGAGTTTTTTTAGTAGTGCTCCAGCAGAGAACGTTGTTGACCAAAACATCGACTCTAGGTCTAATTTCACACTGCCGTCAGCTACAGAAACTCCATCAACGTGTTTATCTCCTTATTCTCATTCCAAACCAAAATTCGGCGAATCTGACTCTACAAGAAGTGCCGAGAACAACTTAAAAAACACTCTCAGTCTAAATTTCACGCAGAGGCGACTGAGACAGTTTTATTATCTGATGATTCGAGAAGAGATATTGGAGCGATATTGGTCAGTGAATTGAAGAAAACCCAGGAAACTCGAAGAAGAATGTTGCTAAAACAACTAAGTAGTATAAGGTATTTGGCACGCCAAGCCCAAAGTTTGCAAGGTAAAACTGAACTTGAGAGTAACTTGCAACAGTTTTAGCAACTTTAGCAATTAAGAGCGGAGGATGTACCTGATTTGTTGTAGTAGATTGACAACGGAAGATATCTCAGTCACGACATCATAAACGAGTTGATTAATATGATGGGCAATGCAGTCCTGAGATCTATAGTGGCAGACATCCGTAAGGAATCACAATTATTTAGCCTAACTGCAGACGAGTCTAGAGACATAAGCAACAAGGAACAACTAACATGTATTTTGCGCTGGATACCTAGAACCGACTTGTCTGTCCACGAAGATTTCCTCGGAATGTACGAGCTAGAGAAAACCGATGCTGAAACAATCACCACTTCGCTGAAGGACATTTTGTTGCGATGCAGTTTGACGATAGACGACTGTCGATGGCAAACATATGATGGAGCAGCAAATATGGCTGGAAGCAGAAGTGGGGTTGCTGCCCGAATATCTTCTGAGAATCCTCACGCCCTGTACATTCATTGCGGTAACCAAGTCTTGACTTGGCTTTGCGTCATTGTGTAAAGGAGAGCTGGATTATCAGCGATACGTTGAAGGAGGTGCAAGAGTTGGTGTATGTGAACAAGTAGCAACTACCTTGCAGAAGCCTTCAATAACGTTACAAACAACTGTTACTTGCATAAATGCCTTGAAGACAAACTTGCAGCGTCAACGAGAAAACTTCTCTTTGTTTTACGACCAAGTAGTTGCTTCAAGCAAGGCTATCAACTTTGTAGGCGATCCAACACAACCAAGACCGAAGAAAGTTCCGTGGCGACTTCAACACGGAGATGGCGAGCAACATCATTTCCAAACTGCTAAAGACGCCCACCGTGCCCAGTATGTTAAAGCAATTGATGCGTGCTTGGCTTCACTTCAGGAGCGCTTCGATCGAAAAACATATTCTGTATTGATGAACATCGAAACCGTGCTCATTAATGCAGCAAACGGGTGTAAGTTTGAGTTGAATGATGAGGTTGAACACCTTTACGAAAATGACCTCGACTTTGACCAGCTGAAGGCGGAGTTAAAGCTTCTTGAAGAAATTATCTCGCAGCGACTTCCAGAAGTAAAGAAGGCGACATCAATTGACACCATAACATCAATATTCTCAACCGAAGAAAATAACTCATCGCAGATTGTCATGGCAATGTCTAATGTTGTCCGACTCTTGCAGATTTACCTTCTTGCTCCAATGAGCGCAGCCTCTGGAAAACGATCTTTTTCATGCCAGCGGCTTGTCAAGACACTTTCTCAGGAGCACAATGCGGCAGCACGCTACAATAATCTTATTGTTATGCATGTAAACAAGGCCAGAACTGACGAACTGGACTTATGTTTAATAGCTAAGGACTTTGTTCTCAAAAACGAACGTAGGGTTAGATTTTTTGGGAAATTTTAATGATATCGCATTACTTAGTAAAATTGTTCATGTAGTCATCTTAGCACGCACGCCGAGCAGTAGAGAATACGCATAGCATTCTAAGAATGTCTACCAATATTTTGCAGACTTTGAAACTTAATCATGATTCATGAAACAATGCATATCTGTAATATACTAAAACAGTAAGCTGCAAACTCACATGCCCTTTTCGGTCAGTGCCCCCCCACTTTTGAGATACTTCCGCGGCCCCTGCGAGCAATAGATGTGTAGAATAGTGTATGACATGCAAGTTGATCGTCAACTGTTGATGCATAGTCGTTATGACTTCATACGCTGAATTAGTCACCGCAGTGTACATGAGTAACATAACTGGACTAAACACAACTGCGGCGAGTGCTTGCATGCGCGTGGCTACCCACAGAAACCAAAATACATGTCTGATTGCTAGTCTCACAGCATTATTGCCAATTTAAAATCTCACATTTTTCAAAACTTTTTGGACAAGCAAACTCGGCTAAAAAAAGCTGGAGCTTTGTGTAGCTTCAAAGTGTTTCACGTTCTGTTCACGTGTATCGTACAAATTGATTATTGTTTACAAGGAAATTGAAACGTGAAACCAACCAACTGCTAAATTATATGTGTAAGAAACTCGTGAGATACGTATATAAATTGATATACATTATATACATTTATATTTTAGATCACATTAACTTTGTATAAATATGTCGTCGTTTATCCTTCGCATATTAAGTTCAACTGTTGGAGTATTGTGTAACAAAGTCCAAGATAAAACAGCAGAAAAACTTAAAGACGGTGATGTTACTGATGTAAAGCTTCGAGAGTTTGTTGTGAGAGAATTGAATGATATAAAGACTAAAATCGACGGACTGTCACGAAAAGATCTTCTCAGCAGTTATGATTTTTTCAACGAAGGAATTTATCTTTTACTTGATTGTATTGAGAACTCTTCACAACTAAAAAAGGAAGAACAGGAGAAATTAAGAAATTTAACTCTAGGAAGTCAAAATGACGCCTCTTTGACTTCAAGCAGCCAAAGCAGTGAAAGATGTAATGACTTCGATCAAGAGCACAAACTTGATGAAGCTTTTAAGACATTGAGTATTGAATGCCCATTTAAATTAAAAACCGCTGTCATAAGATTTCGAGACGCTAGCAAACAAGCAACTCTTGCATTCAATAACGAAAGTTTATCAATTGAAGATAGAATCTTTGCAGGCAAAATTCGAATTGTTTCAACAATTTGGGAATGTATGGAACGTCCACAAATGGCCATTACATTGTGTTTGCCTTTTTTGGAGAAACTTCATTCATTACCTGCTATTCGTGAGATATTTAATGTTTACATCAATGGTGGTGTAAAGTCACTGTTGAAAAGACACGATCGTATGGAAAATGTACGATCAATGATGTTCATTAACCGTATGTTGTATCAGATTATTAAAGAGTTTGGGAAAACATATCCTATGGCTTTAGATTGGCCGACCATTCAACTGAAAAACAGACAATTTAATCCAATATGGCATTGGCGTAATGTCTCGGAGAGATTTTCATGGCGCAGAGAGGTCCAAGGTCCAAATGAATTGGAGGTTCAGTTGAAATTAAAAAAAAATCAGTTTATCAGTACAGAAAATTTCAGTTTATCAGTCCATGTTAACAGTGGCAATGATTTAGTTTCTTGCTATAACAAATCAATTGGGATTATAAGAAAGGATGCTCATGATGAAGTCGTCTATGAATTTCCTGAATCCGACTACATATTGGCTACCTTTATAGATAAAAATGATGACCTGTACGTCCTTGTCCATCGAATATCGTCCTCTGAGAATGATTGCTTGTATCTAGTGGTGTTTGATCCTCATTTTGGTGTTAAAAGGGAAATATCCTTGGATTTTATTGTTGACGACTCTTGGTACGTTGGCCTATTCGTTTCGGCAGAAAACCTCGTGGTTTATCAACAGTCTAATAATATTGTGCTTGCGTGTGATATGCAAGGAAAATTAATAAAGCAGTTTAAAGTTAAAGAAAAAGAAGACCTTTGTCCGCGGGTAAGCGTTACCAAAGAGAAGGAAATCGTTTTAGGTGACAAATTTTCTATATACATTTATTCGATCGAGGGTTGTTTGAAGTCGACGATTAATTTAAATATACATTTTCAAGACTTTTTCTATCACTTTGGCCTGAAGAAATTCCTCATAATTGAAAACTGTTATGATCTTGAGCATTACCGTATTTACAGTTGTGATCGTTCAGGAAAACTCGAAACATTGACTGAACGTCTATACGTGTTTAATGTTAGGTTTTTACAATCAAGTCAATTTCCTGTTATTTTTTGTGAATCAATTCGGAACTCACCTTATCTTATGCCGTGTTACTAATCATTTTTTCATGTTTGTGGTAAATCGTCGACATATACTGAAAATAAAAGATGAGCGATTATAGACATCATACGAAATAAAGTTATTGATAGGCAGAAGGAGCAGTACGTGTATGTCCTTTGTATATTATAAAAAGATTTATGTCGTGTTTTTTTTTGGCAATGAATATTTAAATACATCAAAGACAAGGCTTTTCACTACAAAGGGCTCGAACTGGATGGGGTCCGATGTCTTTGGGGGGACTGTCTACAATATACTGATAAAGAATAAACATACATCCACTATTCTTTATACAAAATGAACTTTAAGCTCTGGATGGCAAAATGGGGTGAAATTGTTTTACCAGGTGCCCCCTGACGATGTGCTACACCCCAAACCAAAGATGTTCAACGTGTAAGAATAAGTCACTATTGAAGTAAATATTATTGAAGTTAAATAGTCTATGGTAATTTCTCCCCAGATTTTACCTTATTGAGAGCGAAGTCTTTTAGCCAAATAGGCCAAGTCTACTTGTCCCAGTCTGAATACCTGGGTTTTGAGTATCCTTGTAGCTAATGGTTACGTAAATCCCCGACCAATATGGCTGCGTGTTTTTGTCATTGAACTAAAATATATCTGGAGTGATAAGTCAGGGGGTAAAATCAAACCAGATTTTTTCATTTTTGTACGTCGCACCTGTCCTTTAAAAAATTTAAAAAATAGCATTTTTATATTTGAAAAATTTCAAAAGTAAATCTTGCGGCAGTTTTTCAAAATACCATCGAATTTTAAGAATATTAGTCTAAATTATAAAATGTCAAAAAAAAATCTGCCAAATGTCCTAGCATTTTATTTTAAATACACAAGCCTAAAAAGTTTCGTAAAAATTGAGGCTCTTTGTTGCTCAATGGCTTGTAAATATAAAAGTTTAGTTTGTTGATAACATTCTATTTTCTAATCTTAATCTTTAATTACAAGCAATATACTCCCCTCCCCGACAACCTTCCCTCTTTATATTTGATAATTTGGAGTATTTTTTACAGTTTATGGGATGACACTATTTGATAAAATCATGAACATTACTTTTTTGTTGAGATACAGTCTAAGCCTTAAATTTATATGGTGCTCAGAGCGATGGTCCTAAGTGCTTTGCATGGTTAGCCCTGGCAACAAGTTTACCTTTCGCACAACCTGTACGAAGTGCTGGTTCACTGCTCTCGAGACTTCACTCGAACGATGGGACTGTATTTTGACAATTGTATTTAACACTTGATAGAATATTTACAATAGTTTGTGCACGATTTGTGACACGGAGCTCCAAACGTTGCTTCTTTGCGACACAAATATGTTATTGAAACGTTGAGATTACGGCCAACCGTCAATATTAAACTTGAAACTTATTCAAACGCTATCGCCTCCTGCGATACGACTTCTAACTTTCACTTTTGTACGTCTAACAACGTTTGTTTTTCCGAACGCCGAACCAACGCTTGCACTGTAAATTTTGGGGGGTAAAAATTACCCTTAACGTTAGGGGTGAAATGAGTGCCACAGAATGCCCCGGTTTTGAAGGGTAATATTTTATGGGGGTAATATTTATTTAGGGGTAAAATTTACGGTGGTAATATTTAGTTAGGGGTAACTTCTATTAAGGGGTGAAATTTATCAAGGGGTAAAATTTATGGGGGTAAATTTTAAAGGGGTGAGTTTGATGGACATGCAAATGATGAAAATGGAGGCGTAGTATTGGAAGAAAATATCGATACCATAGAAAACACCAGATTGGCTGCATTATATATTCTCAAGATACAAGAAGAGTTCTCGATGCCGAAGACTACTGTTACAAGTATTATAGAAAACACAAAATCACTCATTCAAGACACATTAAAAACGGTGGAAACACAAGTAAAAAGGCGATTAGGTAATGAAAATATTTCGTGTCAAAATGAGCCTGGGCTGCAAGAGATTTTTGAAGAGAAAAACGCAATAGCCAATCCATTGAAAAACTTGGAAACTGAAGCACAACGACGACGTTTTTACAAAGACAATTTTGGATTAAAGGTATTACATTTTATTAACGAGAACGCAGAAACATATGGTAAAACTATGAAAAAGCTTTTCCTGGACGTCTTTGCTTTTTTTAAACAGGAACCACGTAGAATTATTCTGGGTCAAAAGAGAGTCTTCAAAAGAAGAAATGGTGTATTAGAGCAAATTCAAGTTAATGATGAGGCATATTATATACCACTTTTGGATAGTCTGCAACAGCTTCTAAATGACGACTTCATTTTAGCAGAGGTCAGGTGCATGGTCTTTGAAATTAAATAATAGTTAAGTCAAATATACATTATGGCAAATTGGAAAAGTTGCATTTACGATGATTTCACTTGAGATATCATTTTCACAATGATGTTTCTTAGAAGTTATTTCTTTCACCTCTAAATTTTAGGTCAAAAATCCTCACACGAGTTCAGAACAAACGTCTAACATTAAAGAGTATGGAATTGATGCAGTACTAAAACCATTCGTTACTGATTTAAAAAAGTTAGAAAAGGTATGCTCAGCTCACACAGCAGCATAATAAAGTAAACAACTTCACTTTTCCACTTTGGTTTCAGAACAGTGGCCATTCCTTCGACATTAAAGGTGTAGACGAGACCTTCTGTGGATCCATAGCATACACATCTGCTGACAATCTTGGAGCACAGTTGTTAGGAGGATTTAAAGAGAGTTGCAGTGCAAACAAGCCATGTCGATATTGTCTTGCAAGTGCTGAAGAAATGAAAACAAAGGTATAAAAAACATCTCTCATTGCAGCAGCTATCAACTTAATTCAAACTTGAATTAGTTAGTGGTTACTCTACATACAATAACGCAATTATTACTTTTAGTTTCATGAAAAAGACTTTGTTTTGAGAACAAAAGAAAACTATAACACCCATGCTGCTCAAGTTGTACAGTATGGCGAACACTTCAGTAAAGTGTATGGCATCAACCGTACATCAATCCTAAATCTAAGCAGCTACTACCATGTTGTTGGTGGCCTACCACCAGACATAATGCATGACATTTTAGAGGGGGTTCTGCAATACGAAACATAGGAATTATTAAAAAATTATATAAGAGAGGAACGTTATTTCACTCTGGATACATTGAATGAAAAAATTGCCGAATACGACTTTGGATATTACAATGACACCAACAAACCATCACCAATATCAGAAGCAAAGTTATCATCAAATGACAACAGTTTAAAACAACATGGTACGTTGTTCATTGGAAATGCACAATGACTTATAATAATTATTATCGTAATATGTTGATTTAGTTCCAACAGCTAGATAGCTGAGGTATGTGTTTTTATTCTAATTGATTGCAGCTGTTCAGATGTGGTGCTTGGCAATTCACTTACCATTCATAATTGGAAATATTGTTCCTCCAGAAAATGACCGATGGAAACTTTTTCTTAGTTTGCTACAAATCACATCTCTTTGCTTTTCACCTGTAATATCAAAAGATGAAGTGGCATATCTTCAAGTCCTAATCAATGACCACCACAATAAGTTCAAGGAGCTTTATCCCCACTGCAGCATAATTCCAAAAATGCATTTTATGGTCCACATTCCTAGTGCTATAATCAGGTATTGTAAGATCAAACAGTAATAGAGTATTCCCTTCAATAGATATCAAATAGCAAGGTACTATATTTAAAACTTGTAGAATGGGCCCTCTAGTTCGTGCTTGGTGCATGCGATTTGAAGCAAAACACCATTATTTTAAGAAGTTGAGCACTGTAATTGGTAACTACACAAACTTACCATTTACTTTGGCCATGCGACACCAACAATGGGTTTGCTATAAGTTGCAGTCTGGCAATCATGAATCAGGATTTCTCGAAAAAGGCATTGAAGTTGGACCAGGTACAGCAAATAATTTAAAGGATCTAAAGCAAGATATGAGCATGAATTACAAATGTAAATTTAAATTTTTAAATTTAAAGTTCCAACACTATGTGCAGGAGATCATGAGAACTATGACTTCTTAAGCAACCAGGATGTCTTCATACATCAAACTACTTCTATTGCCAGGTATACTTTAAAAATACTCACTGAAACTTGAGTGAAATACGCATGGCAAAGCTTTTATCAATAAGGTAATTTTTAAAAAATTCAGGTAAAATGCAGTTATTGCACATACTTTTTCATGTATCAAGAAGTAAAAAATGTAATTTTAAGAAAAATTTATACAAATAATGACTATTTGCAATTTTCATGATTAAACATTCCTTTTCCTAGTTTTTTTTTAGCTTTTGGCAGTTAGTTATTAATTCACTAATTCAATTAAGCAGATTTGCAGAATGAAAATACACATTGTTTTTCTCAATATTTTAGACCAAAATGGATTTCAGTTCATGGTACCAAATTCAAAGCTGGATGTGTTTTGTGAGTTAGTCATGACAAAGAAGAAATGCCATGTTTTGTGATATTGAAAGAGATTTTGGTGGGAGAAAGGAATTTGGAAAGAGCATGGTTCATTACTCAGAAACCTGGAACTGTCAAATTTCATGAGCATTTCAGTGCATATGAAATGGTTGACACAACTGAGCTACAGATAATTAAACAGCAAGAGCTACTATACCCATCGCCACTGCATTTGATTAATATTTCAGTTCATGGGCAAAACAAAATATTTGTGTGTCCAAAATATCAAATACCTGTTATTTAAGGAACAAAACTTTGCATTTTTACGTTAAATTAAAAGGCGAGCATAATATGAATTAAAACATAATCAGAAGCATAAACCTTCTCTAGTAGGAAAATATGTTTCCTATGAGTTGATCAAGAGCAACAATCGCAAAGAGAAACGTACTCAAAAGATAAATAGTCGGAACCCTAGACAGTTAAGATTCTATCTCCAGGTCATTTTGCCAAAATAACCTAAATGTAGCCTTTTTCATAGTACGCAAATATCTTAAATGGTTAGTAATACAAGAGGCTATTCAAAATACAACGAAGTTCAGAACTTCTGAGTAATGAGAGCATGTATTAAGTATTCGTTTACAACTCTTGCATAGTTACATTACGTGGTGTTATTTAATTATACTATAAATCAATATATATATATATATATATATATATATTTATTTAATATACTTACTTTCTTCAAGAAATCTTGGAGAAATAGACCATAAATGTTAATATTCCGACAAAGTGGTTTGGACTCTGTTGACGAAGAAGCATGTTTCTTCCACTCTTGCTTAATGTTTCTTCCACCCATGTTGATTTTAAAAAATGCGTTGCATTTGGCATTACACCAAACGCATGGGGTAATTTTTACACCCACATGTTGCATTTACACCCAAAGAGGGTCATTGTAAACATTACCATTATGTTGAGGGTAAAAGTTAAACCACGGATAGCAAACTACCCAAGATTTTAGAGTAAATATTACCCTTTAGTGAATTACCCATCTGAAGGTAGTAAATATTACCCTAAAAAAAGATAACTTTTACCCCCTAAAATTTACAGTGTGCAAGGTCTTATTTATATTATAATTATTTGGACATGATTTTTGGGCGTTTGCGTGACTTGCAACTACGCCATTCCGTTTATAGAGTACCGTCGTTACCTACATCCTACCACAATGCCACATTGGGTAGAAAAAGTGTTCCTAAGTATTTTGAATTTACGTGCAGGATTTCCACTGAAACCACAGTTTAATAACTATATACGTATTTTCCTATTTGTCTAGTAATATATGACTAACATTTTACAATTTATCATACGGTATATTGACACACTACACAACATAACATGACAATTTACAACATTACCATCTGGTAGTTTCAGTTCAGCTGTAGCAAAACCCATTTTCCTGCCAACTTTCAAAACATCAGCAGTGATCGTCACATGATCTTCAGTCTTTGCAGTTCCAATATACCTTTGAATAAAATAAATATTTCAGTTACAACAGGAGCAGTGTGCGAATTAACGGTGTGCAATGTGCAATTTGCACATCGTTTTAGCTAAAATGAAAACAATTGCACATCACTTTTTCAAATGATGTGCAAAAAACTTATTTATTGATTACCACCACATAAATTGAAAAAAGTTTTCAAGCTTAATCTTTACTGATATTTACTTTATAAACGAGTGCGCTACACGACATTAAAATCCATTTTTACACAATGTCATCAAATTCAAAGACGTTGTCACTTTGAGACTGGGAAGTCTGTCAAGAGTCGACATACATGGTGCTTATATGCTTGTGACAATAGGGGTGTAATACATTATTAATGTCAATTTTTGTATTTGCGTTGTTTTGTAAACTGTTAAGTACTGTTTTTAGCTATTGGTATCATAGCTATTTTGAGTATTTTCAGTAGAATCAGGAAACATTTTGATTTTGATTCCTGAAACATGTCAAAAAAACTTAAATAAGCCAAATTTGAAAAATAAACCAAAGGGAATTTTGATTTTAAATAAGCCTAACGCGAGAAAAGGACGCCAAATTTGCTCAACATATTATGCCAAACTGGCAACCTTGATCAGCCATACTTTTTGCTTTTATATTTTGCTTGCAACATGACATAAATATGATGCTTTTTATCGTAAGTAAACATCAAGGATGTTACTGTTAAAAATCAGAGAGCAAAAGTATATTCGATCGGTTATTCTCTTTTTACTTTTGCCTTTCTTGCCATCTTCGTCAAAAGGTTGTAGCTACCAGCAAAGTTAATACAGTAAAAAAATGGAAGGAAACATCAAATGCTGACTCGTTTGAGTACTAGGATGATGGCCAAGTGGTGGATTTATTGCGCTTTAAAGTTTGCAGAAAAAAAGAGAGAATAACATGCGCAAATATTTCTCTCATACATTTGTAACTGCATCAGCGGTTGTAACAAAAAACACTCGTAAATCAAATGAATTTGTTCACGTTTAAAAATATTAATTTAGCAATTAGCGCTGTATGATAATTAACGTAATATCGATTTGATTATGTCTATAAAGAAACACTTTTGTCAAAAAAAATTGCACATCGTTTTTTCTCAACTAATTCGCACACTGAACAGGAGTAAAACCTCTGACACATTTGAAAACTTTACAGACAACCAAATCAAATCTATATCTGCAAACACCAAAATCATTCACTCACTATTGGTATTGTCATCCAATTTTATGAGTTCAGAACTTACTAAGTTCAGTTAAATGCATGCACATACGCTAAGGCTCAGAGAAAAGTTTTACAGGGAAGTTTTTGACTGAGTAAATATAACAATGGCAATTAAGTAAACAAAAACATGAAGGCCTAAATGAAGACACTAGACTGGAGTATGTTAGGACCAGTTAGGACTCAAATTTCAACATCAAATCATCCAATGACTATTGATGAATCAATCAATTTGTGTGCAGCGTTGAATTGTAAAATTTCATTTTTGCACTAGAACAACAATAATTTAACTGGGCACATCACAGATCTCGTTGAAAACTCTTCACACTGCCTACTCGCCGGTGACCGTTTTGACTAAAAATTGACATTGAATAGGTGCAGAGATAATTGCTTTAACGACATAGCATGACTTACAGGATGTCAAATAAGATGAAAAAAAACTTTCAATACCTTCTTACGAACTCGATCAAACTTTTATGAGTCTCCAGAACTTCGTAAATTCTGCGAATTTTCTCCAGTGTTGACATTTTGTCGGCCGGTTATAAAAAACATAAACATGGCTGATTTTGGATGAAAATATCAGCGGAAAAGCGCAGGCCCTCAAAATTAAAAACATTTCTGCCCACCCGGATTTTCATCTAAAATTCATCTAAATAATATATCTATATACGATGATAGAAAATTTGAAAGCTTTTTTTCCTAACAAAAACTTTTTAAAATTTCATCGATGAAACGTGCTGCAAACTTGTGTAGTATACGAATGCCGAAGTAGTGCAAGAAAAGAAAATATTTCATGACACGGGTGAGCAAGGTAATATTGTTTCTTATTGCAAGAGTCGAGTTAAATTGTTGTTTGTCAATACTTGTAGTGTGATGGCATTTGGCATGTGTTTTGTTAATGTTTTTTACTACCTTATTATATTTTAATCAGTGTTTTCCAATAATTTTTATTGTTTATTTGAGACGGTAATCAACCAATTCTTTTCGAGCTATACATGTCTTGCAATCAAGAGGACTCACGTATAATTAATTAGGATTTGTTTATATTATTTTTCTGAAAATATGATGGATTAGTTATGAATAGAGTTGTGTTGAAATTGTACAAGATTTAAAAACACTGTGATAAAAGAAGTATGTTGTGTGGGTGTAGGCAGCCTGCAATTTTTTCATGTAATGTAAATATTTTGGTGTTCACTTACTGTAAAAACAATATATTTCTAAAGAATTGAGTAATGCTAATGTAAAAAGTTTACCTAGCATAAACAAATTTTCAGGTTGGCTATGCCACTTTTCTAAGTAGATTGATACACCAAACCGGTATGTGAGAACTGCTCTGTGCCAAAATTTGTTGCCATTAACAAATTTTTATTGAAGACAAGCTTATGATTTTGTGCATGAAAAGTTTAATCTAGCATTGCCTCATTTGATAACAATTTACACTTGGTATAGTCTTTGGTCTTCCAGGATTCACATCAAATGTTTTAGTTGCAATGAAGTCCAAGACAAACTAAAGGAGGGAGAAGAGCTGAGAGTGCATTGGAGAGCTTGTTAAAATTCTATGTTGAGTTTTGGTGTGGTAATATGTATTAGAGCACAATCGTTAAAATTTTGCAATACATCAATGCAAAGAACCTTTATATGTCTGACAAAAATGAAGTAGAAATAAATAAAATAAAAAATTTTGAATTTAAATAAAATCAATAACTACATTCAATTTAAATTGATAAAAATTTTTAAATTGTAAAGAGTCAAGATGGATCTGGGGAAAAAAGTAGTTACCCCCAACATTATTAGTCTCTTTGTACAAGTTATTATTTTGCCCAAACTTTATTTTAAAAACATTATGTATTCTAATTACTTATACTTTAATACACAATAATATTTATGAATCTTGCAAAATATCTTGACACTTACCGTTTAAATGTTTTATTCTTGTGCAGTAATACAATGTAATTACAGAGAAGCAAGAACTCTTTGATTTCAAAAGTTGTAATTTCAATAAAGAATAGTTTTGATTAATGTTGTTCTACTCTGCAGTTGTTCAGGCAATAATTTATGGTCATGCAATTGCTATATTACACAGCATGAATAGTAAATACAGGTGAAAGAAAATGCAAGGACGTTTTCATGTTTCGCAGTAGCTAATTACCGTTAGTTTAAACTGATTTTAAAAATTAATTCCAACAGTGAGCGAAGAAATACGCTAGTGATGTATTGTACTTGTCGTTTGTAAAACAAATAAAAGATTAAAAACGAAGAGTTTCAGTGAACCAGCTGTGGAGCGGATTCATCGACACTTTAAGTGACACAAAACTAGAGCTGCCCTGTCAAACATCATGTGTATATTTCCGTATATTCCCCCTCCACAAATCCTCTTCTATTTTCGGTTATTCCACGTCCATTCCCCTGTTATTTCCCAGTCTCTTCACTTCCTCGCTGTTTTCCCTTTCTCTAACCCTTCACCTATTCCCCTTTCCGTGTTTTAAAGATAGCCGTCGAAAAATTATACGAAAGTTTATTAAGCAGGTCCAAATTTGCACGATAGTATAAAACATGCTTCAAATGACAAATAATATTTCAGTGAATAAAGTCAATGAAAACGCTCTTGCAATTTCTTTCACCTGTCTATACTATCCAGTATCCATAATGTTTAATTTAGCAATCGCATGATCATAAAATATTGTATTTGCCTGAGGCTGAATTCTTAAGTTTAATCCCTAGAACACAGTCCGAATCGGCAGAAAGCGTCCACCAGTCCGCATTTTTCAGTCAATTTAAAACTCCATCCACACTACACTTTAGGCAGTCCGCGAGTCCGAGTCCGCATTTTATCCACACCCGTCAAAAAGTTTGTTTTCTATGGCCCCCAACACTTGGAACATTGAAAAGTCTTGATTTTGCAAATATCACGCTTACGTAATCTATAGGATTGAAGAAATGCTGTTAGCTAACTTAATGACGTGATAAAATGTGATTGGCTAACAAAATAAACAAGCAATGGCTCATCAATTTTGGTGAAATTTTGTTATCAAATACGAAATGTAAATCAACGTTTGAAAACCGGGTTTTTTCTTTTCTTTTTGCTCAAATACGTTAACAGCCTCAACTAGGTCTTTGTCAATACTTTTATTTTCCCATTAAGGGAGGTATTGCGATAAATTTTCGAATATATCCGCCATTTGTTTCTTTTTATAAACATGAATTTTCTATAAACATGTCAATTCTGTGCGTATGTCCTCTTAAAGATCATAGCTCTTGACCAATGAAATTGCTCAAATTTTTCTGGTTATTATAAAAAAAAACGCTAAAGCATATCTTTGCATAGAAAGCGTAATAGTTCTTGAGTTTTAGCACTGGTTGAATTTGTATTGAACAGTTAAATTGAATCCAACTTTAACTATAAACATAGTTTCACATGCAATAAAGAAATCAACAACTTCACATTAAATTAATAGAATATTGAAGAGCTTTTGCATCTAACAAATATTTTAAGTCCACAATTTTCCAGCAAAAAACTTTTGTAATCTATCTGCATTAAATTTTCATGCCTGGATCACATTGCAAAATACGTACTACCTAAGCAAAATTTCATGATTACAGTGCTTCAAAACAAAACTTTGTCCAACTATGGATAACACCGATTTAATGGCAGGCACAGTTTAAGTCAAAATAAATTATAGCAGCTCAATTGTAAATTCAAAATACTTTTTAGTTTTAGAATAAGATTATTAGAGATGAATTTCTAAAGAATATATTTTTACCAATTAAGTTGCCTCTACGGTTTCGATATGTAAGTATAACCAAAAATGAGCTGCAGTGATTTATTTTGACTTATTTTATACCTGCCTAAGCATTGATTCAGATCTGGATGTATGTGTAGAAACAGGTTTTCCCGGCCAAGAATATGCAACCAAAATGTAGAGTATTTTCTTTATCGCTGGTAAATTATAAGCAATGAAAACAAATATCTTGGTGCTATTGGTGAAAACTGCCAGAATATACGTTCCCATACGTAAAAACGCCTAGCAGTAGGTCACAATTAGTTTCAAAGTACGAACTAGTCAACCGCGTTGTCCAAACTCTCCCAATAGAGGGCTCTGGATCTAGACCCCTCTTCCCCTTTAGGTAATTTAATAGAACTCAATGCGCGGGCGCCGGGTGACCTCCATATATGGTCAAGTGGTGACGCACGTTTATGCAAATTAGCAACCGAAGACAAGCATCATGTAACAGATTTGACAATATGTTTTGACGTCATATGCATGATAGATTTTTTCTGGCAACAAGCTTAAAGACTAGTGTGACAGTGCTCCACAGAATTGAAAAATTTTGCTGGACAAGCCATGAAATTTGACCTTGATAGTCCGTATGGGTCTTATGTATGTCACACAAAAAAAACAGTGTTGAAACACATATCAATTTCACGTGTAATAACACACATTATTATGTGGCAAGCGTCACTTCCGGCAAATTGGCACGCTTTGATTAGCTCAGAAACATTTTTGCCGGTCCATTATTTTCCGTAATGGACCACGGTTCAAAACGCGTAATTTTTTAAAGTATAATGTAAACAAACTTCGTAAAGCAAACAGCAAAACGCGAAACAAAACAAAACAAAAAAAAAACATTTACGAATGTTAGTCAAAGGAAAAACACTTGGGAAAACAGTTCAACTATTCAGACGATACAATTTGAAACGATTTATTTTTTACTGACGTAAGACTTACTCTGTCTTTTTGTACTAACATCGCCCTACGGGCTCGGTCTGTAAAAAATGATATCGGTCCCTTATTTCTCCGTAAAGAGCTCGCCGTCGGTTATTAAGGGCTAAATAAAATATATCTAAAATACATGATTCTTAAAAACAATGACTGCTCTTTGTGGAACAACAGCTTGTAATTGTAGAAGTTAGGTTTGCTAATATTCTATTCCTTCCTTTTTCTTAAATGAGAAATACAACCCCCTCCAAACAACCTGTCTCCTCCGCCGTCTTTATATCACAACAATGGGATACCGAACTTGTTAATTGAGGGGGGGGATGTCAGTGGCGGATTTAGAGTACCTCAAAATTAATTACTGCAGCGCAATTTGGAATGTATTTACATATCTAAGCACCTAAGAGACAAGTAAAATTATATACTCTTTAGAAAGTGAAAACCAACAGCATTTTTATGAAAGTACTTTGAATTTAAAATTGAGCAGCTATAATTTATTTTGAGGTACACTAGATCTGCCACTGGGGGATGTATTCATATATGCAAGTATCAATCCATGGAAAACAATTTATTTCAAAGAAACTTAGTATGGCAAAACATACATATATAAATATGTGCCCACCTCTCCCAATTATGGAGTTTGCTAAGCCACTTTATTGGGAGTATTTCTCAAGGTTTATGGGATTGGACTATACACAACTGAGCAAATCACTAACAACACTTTCTTGTTGAGGTACATTGTCCATGCAAGCTTAAACATGATTATAAAATGCTCAGAACAATCATCCTAAGTGCTTTGTATGGTTACCCCTAGCAACAGGTTTTCCATCTGGTAATTTCAGTTCGGCTGTAGTAAAAGCCAAGGTCCTGCCAACTTTCAAAGCCTCAGCAGTGATGGTCACCAGATCTCCAGTCTTAGCTGCTCCCAAGTACCTTTGAATATAACAAATATTTAGATAAAACAGGTGTTAAATTTCTAACTGATAAAGATGTGGAGGATTACCAGTTTTATAACAAAATGTGATTTTCTTTCAATGGAGCAAAAATCACAATGTAAAAAAGGTAACAGAAATAAAAAAGAAATCTTATACACCACAGAAAGTAGCCAACAAAATCTTAATTCAAGTTGAATAACTCACAGCCAAAATCATTGTCAATCCATCCCTGTTCCATAATATCCTGAAAATACATTCACACTAATACTCTTGATATAGACAACAAGTTATCCATTTCTTTTAACATGCACTATCATAATAGCTCAGATAGAAATAGGTTTCACAGAGATGTTATTGACTGGTTAACTAAAACATAGGCAAATACCCAGGGGCGGATCCAGGCTGGTGCAACTGATGCGAGTGCATCAGTCATAAAATTGAATAGTTAATCTTTCACAACATATTATAACTTACAATCAATACGAGGAAAACGCAAGAAATATATCAGATTGGAACGTTTATAGTTTCTAAATGCTTTAAATACCTTAAAACTGACAATATATTGACAACAAATGTACATTGATGATTGAGAAATATTGTTAAAAACCTTCGTAGATTGTTTACATGTGAGTATCATTTTGATTACAGCCGCATTATTAAAAAATGCGTCGCTAAATATGGCGATTTTATGTGTCGAAATTTTTAGCGAAAATTTGTTTCATCACCCAGCTACACTGAGCTGAATTTGTATTTTTACGTCACGGTGGCTAGATTGTAATCACTACGTCACGGTGGGGAAAAAGTGCACCAGTTGGTGCAACAGTCCCGAGTCTCTTTGGCCGAGTGAACCACCTAAACGTCACGGATTTCATTGTTTTTTAGCCTACGTCACGGTGGGAAATCGCTGCTGACTGTTGCACTTAAGCCCACGAACACCAAAATTTCATTCTGACTGGTGCACTTGAGCCAGCGCTATAAATCTTCAAACCTTCAAAATTATAATTACATGACTATGGCATTTGGCTTATTTATATCTTGAAGTCATCATGGCTGAAAGTAGGCATATATACGATTTTGGCTCATTGATTCAAGACAGTAAAACCAGCGAGATTTCTTCTGTAAGAAAGGATTATGAAGCAATAGTCTCTGCTGCCATTCCGACTAAAACAGACCTGTTTCGAAAAGGAAAGCTGGCGAGAGATCTTAACGCAGAGTTGATTATCCCTAACCATATGGGAGATAATTGGCGGGCTTTAATTAAAGTAAGTAGCTTGAAGTGCTCACTGCTTACTATGCTTGACATTGTAATGCATAGCTATAGGTCTATACTTGTATTTATGCAATGCTTATGGCTTACTCTCTTTAATGTTAGGAATATGATGGGAAGGGGCACATTGGGTGTTTATTCCCTGTTGAATTTATTTAAATTTCAAAGCATCCTGACCTGCATTAACCTATTAAATCGAAATTTACTGTATTCTATTTTACAATGTCAATTTTCAAACTCCATGTCCAATATTGTTGGCTCAATGAAATTTAGCCAGTAGTATAATGCAATGCTTTGGATTTATGCCATAACTAGTGTGCACATAATTATGCATGTTGTTGTGCCAAGTTTATAAAGTGTCATGTAACATAAGATCACAAAACATTTTATTCACAACTATATGTTTGAATTTGGGTAATCCTGCATATTTATACTGGAGATTTCTTCCGAACAAAGTCACTGGTAGAAGTCTCTACATACTTCCTGGAGAAATCTCCACTCTAATTCTGCTCACATGGATATTGTGATTTCAAAGTTACTAAATATACATAAAAATATAAGAGCTAATTATTTAATATTACATTACTTCAGGATATTTCATAGATATTTAAATATTCCATGTAATATGTTGTAATATGTGCTCAATGTGACAGACAGAGAGGGCACATTTTTCAAACATTTTGCTTGTTTATAAATACTAACTTTCTGAGCTGTGCAATGTGTTGAATGTAAGAGCTATGCTGGACCAACCATGTTATTCATTAGAGTTTTTCATTTTCAAATTGCAAGCCTAATATTGTCAATTCCCTGAAATTTAGCAAAGCAAACTGTAATTACATATTATTTCAGCCACAACAACTCCTTATTATTTCTTCCACACCTAGCTTGATAATGACTTTCATATGAAGTTGAAATATTGCTTTGAATCTTCTCTGTTTCTGTTATAACTGGAATCTTGAGTTTACAAGATGATGTTTTTTTGAGTGTATGCTCTCATTTACAATCATGCACAGTGTGCCAAATTTCTAAATTTACCATAAAACATTATGATCACAAAAGGGTGGGTACACAGCAAAGCATTTCATTTACATAGATTTGATGTTACTGTATTGTCTTTACATGATTATTATTATCTCAAAATTACCCACTATACATAAAGATGCTAGAGCAACAGTTCTACATTGTAATTCTTTAACATATTTCATTGTATATTACATCCCCATATTTTATTTTTGCATATGTGCATATGTGTATCCTGATCCTTATGTATAGAAGTCTTCACCATTGCTATTTGATTAAAGCTAGGAGGGCACATAGTATTAGCTATTAGGTACGTACTTATACTCCCCTTGAAAGCTGGTCTCATGAATTTGGTTGGGAAAGTATAGCACTGGCATTACCATGCTTAGATTCAATTATCTAAGAAAATATTTATGGTTTGTTAAAGATAACCCAAAAAATTACACTTTAAGGCTTGATGAATGTTCCCCTAAAAGGCTTTTCTTTATCAACATAGAGTCAATAGTGATTTTATTCAATAGACTTTCTAATTTTTATTGCTTGTGTAGAACTAGAGGTGATGGTAACTGCGTGAATATTTTTTTTTCTATATCTACGTATCTTTTTCTGCTGTTGGAGGAGTGATATTATCAATGAAAGAAGAAGAATAACATTTATCATTACTTGTTGCCTGCCTTTGGTACGATGATTACATCGTGACCATTTCTTTGCTATATCTACGTATCTTTTCCGGTGCTGTTGGACGAGTGATATCAAGTGTGATTAATGGTAAAAAACTTGTGCTTCATTTGTGAGATATAAAAGGTTTCTTTGCGTTTCATGACAAAAAATATGCCAAGCTTCTATCTTTTCAAAATCACTCGTGGATTGGAATGATACCTTCCTGATTGTAAGTTTTGGCGAAGGTATGAAACTTGATAAATCTGATAGTAGTAATGAAAATGTTTAAAGGTTAGTGGAAGTTTAGATTTTATATCATTAAAATTTGCGAAAAGTTTACAAACTAAAGCCAATTTTTTTTAAATTCTGTTGTCAAAACGCAGGAAATCGCATTTCCGACGGTCTAAAATATAAAATTTTCCAAGGGGGAATCCTCCCAGACCCCCTACAGAGCTAGCGCCTTTGGCGCTCGCAGTGGTGCACCAGTCACGAAAATTGCTGGATCCGCCCCTGCAAATACCAATTTCAAAACTGCCAAAAAAAGCTTCAAAATGACCATGTTTTTTGCATAAATAGCCAAATTATTAGTGGGCAGGAATTTGCTGTGTAATTTGCAAATGAATCACAAGAAACAAACCAAAATTTACAAAAACACTTCACACAAAAACTTTTAGGAATGACAATACATTATATGTGTATTAAACTAAGTATAAGATATCTGATCATAATACTAGTCACATGATCTGGTAAGCACTTCTTATTGTATTGCACTATCTTATTGTTATTTAATCTCTTATTATGTTCTGCTCGATACCACATGGTTTTGGACAACACTTATTATGTAGCTTGTATTAATAAATATATCTTGTTTTGTTCCTGCACATTTGAATAATAAATGAACAAAAATTTGGTTGGTTGACTTGGAGTAGCATACACAAATTAAACCATTATTTTCATTGCTACACTGAAAGCAGTCAAGCTCTACAACTCACGTAACATTCAAGTCAACACTGACTCCAGGGCGACCATTTTCTCCACTAAGTAAAGCCAATGTTGTCATGCTGTCAATTAATGTTGCTGTAAATCCACCATGCAAAGTACCACCAGCATTTTGATGCTCTTCTTCTACAGTTAATTCTGCAACAACTTTACCTGGATCGGCTGCAACAATTTGAACCTAAAACATAAAGTATCAATGTAAGTAAAGTTGGTTTGTATAGAGACATATAAAGGCTCATATTCCAAAATCTAATCACTCCTGATGAAGACATAGAACTAGAGTATACAAGAGCTGAAGTTTTAACATCAGATCACTCCTGATGTAGACACTAGACTAAAGTATATGATATGGACAAGTGTTTAAACACAACTATTAATCAAAGTAAGCGTGGAGGTTTATAGCAAACTTCTGCAATTTGGCTTCAGTCCAGGTTGGTAAACTTTAAAACCGTACACGTGGTTTTTCACAAGACCTTCTTATTCTTTTGTCAGTGTGTGCACAGTTAAATTTTTACTTATTAATGTGATGTATGAAATGCCTTACAACAAAGTGAGTCACCTGGCCAGAGACACACAAACGCTGCAGATACTGATTAGAAACGAAAGTATCATAAAAACTACAATTTTCTTGCTAACAAAATTCGAAAACGTGCAAGTTACAAACTTGCTTCGACATTGCGATAATGGCAGGACTAAGAAAATCGCCATTTGATATCAATATAGATAACATAACACGTTAATTTAAACAAGTTTTAAGTAAGATGAAAAAACTTTTAATACCTTCTTTAGAACTTGATCAAATACTCTTTTTGTCGACAGAATTTCAAACATTTCTCGAACTTTCAGCAAGGTTGCCATTTTGGCGAATTTGCAGGCGAAGACACCTGCAAATTAGGAGTGGATGGCAAAGTGGCAAGCATTTTGTTTTACATTTACTTCAAAATACATGGCGGACCGTTCGAAACGACAAAAAAAGTTCACTTTTATAATGCCACAGAAAATATTTTCAACCATCCTAAACCAGTTGTCGCCATAATATTCATAGTAAAACGGACACCATACCTGTTCCTTTAAATGCGTCTTTAACAGCCAGTTCAAGGCGATGGCAATGAATAGTAAGCAGCCATGGTGAGTCTTTGCGAAGTTTGGCTGCAAGTCCGTTTATGCTACCCAAATTTACCGAAGCTCCATCCACGTTTAGCGCTGCCAGTTGTCTTGGGAAATTGTTCATGTGAAACCGGGAAAAGCAATCCTGTATCATCTTCTTAAGGCCATCTGCACTTGTTGATGTAGGTGATTCAATTGCCAAAAACCTTATTTGAGGGATACCTGTCCATTGAAAAAATAGAAATAACGCATCTAAAGACAAGAATCGAAATAATTCAGTTCAGTGTATTGCATTTACCTTCACTGCTTATAAAAAGGAGATACAAAACTTCCTATTCAGAAACGCCTTTGTCAGTGCTGCCGTCGGTCAACAAAGAAAAATAGCGTGTTTTCTTCAATTCAGACATCAGCTTCTGCTTGAGTTTGTCAGCAATTGAATCAGTGATGTTTACCATAGCACGCTCGTTTCGGAATTTGGAACTGCGAATCATTCCGTTCATTTCGTTTAACGTAATGATGCCCTCACTATCGCTATAGGGTCTTTCTGAAGTGGCTAAGTAGTAGGCAGTGTTGAAACGAGTAATCATTACTTTCCTGTCAATCTCTGCTATTTTCATCAAACCTCTTCCAATTGGAGATCGTTCAACAACTTGTGCGCCAAAAGTTTCGCCCAAAGACTTCTGATCAAAAAGACGTTTTGCATGTTGATGTGCTTTACCTTGGACATGTTTTTTCAAGCTATCTAATTTGACAGATGTTGTCCCATCTATCCATGCTTGCGAAAAACCAGCTATTGAAGAAATTGTTGAGGAGAAATCCACACAGACAGAACATTTTAACGCTTCTACTTTTTTCTTATCTGTACTAAGACTTTTGATCAATTTAACGTTTAAATCTCGCTCCCAATTTTCTACAGTCTTTTGCTTCGCCATCGTTAACGTAATGCAGTGTGTATTAGTTTGTGACTTTGTCACTTCGCGTTTTCAGATAATATTGAAAATGTTACGTTTCATATTACAATTGATAGCGACGTTTTTTAAAAAGTTGCGACCATTTTAGGATAAATTCCTGTTAGTCACATTCCTGAGGCATGATGTAATAGCAACGCTTTGAAATTATGCAAATAGTGCAAGAAATTTGATCATTTGATATTTCTTTTGACGTTTTTAAAACTTAGGGAGTGGTCGTAAAGCATAATAAAAACACATCCATCGCAGCAATATAAAAAGAGTGCTTTCAGTAAGCAAATTTACATTAAATAACAAGAAATGCGAAATGAGCTTCGCAATTTTACGAAATTTGCTTCGCAATATTTCGCCAAAATCAAAATCACTTCGCAATTTGCGATTTGCGAAGCGCTAATTCGGACCTTGCAGTAAGCATGACACATGAACCAATTTTAACATTCATGTAATTATATAATTAAAGACATGTTGGTTACATTCTGTTTGTATTTGCAAATACAATGCTACTAGTGATTGCTGTATAGCACACCTTGCATATACTTACAGAAGATAATAGTCTAGTGAAATGCCTAAGAAACATTCATGGCATTAAGCTGTCCTTAACTGCAATTTTTCACTTTGATAATTTTCTTAATCTTTGACAGAAAAAAATTTTGAGTTTTTTTCTCAAAAAGTGAATTTGCTGGCTCTGATGTGGAGATGGGTAAAGGGTTACAATAAACTTGCATGGTTTGAAGTCTGAGCTTTTCTATATTTATGAACTGACACTTGTAGTACCAAATTTCTAACTTAACTTATTACATAGAGGTTTGAATGGGGGTCTCTAGGGGGGTCTATGCCTTACAACTTGGTAGAAATTTTTAAAGACTATATCTGTTTTTGAATAGCATTATTGTAAAATAAATTTTACGTTCCTAGACATGCTAATGAGCCATATATTTGGCATGATAATGAGCCTAAATATTTGGCAAAACATTCAAGCATTGTTCACTTCATTTTTTTTTTTTGAAAAAAACGTAAGCAAAATGTGTTGTTTTTACCGAAAAACGATGCCCACAAAATACATCTTGTATTGCTCTAAAACGCTGAAAATGGCATTTTAGAGGTTCTGAAATTCAAAATTTCTCAGGGGAGAATGCCTTAGACCCCCCGGCGCGGAGTGCCTCCGACGTTTTATGACTGATGTTTGAAAAATCCTAGATCCGCCCCTGGCTGATGCCCTCTATAGAATTATTTTTATTTGCTGATTATTATGCAAAACATCCATGTTTTTCAAATCTTTTTGAAACTCAGCATAACAAACACTTTGATTCTATCTCAAGCAAGGTGGCCATGTCAGTCTCTTCTGAAGCTATTGATAGTGCTGGAAGTGGTTGTTCTGTTGTTAAACTGGTAAGGGCAGAAGCTGTGTTAAATGCAAAAGATATGTCATGGACTGTGTTTGTTTGTTTGTTGGCACTCTCTTCAGTTACATCCTGTATCATTTTTTCTTATTATCCTGACATATACTCTAGTGCTTATAAAGGGAATTTATTATTTGACCAAAGAATCCAACCTCGAATTCTATCTTTTGCTTGTGCTTCCACTAGTAATTATTTGCGAGTTTTGTTTTGCTTTGAAGGTTTAGCTCCTCAAGCGACTGCATTCAAACACAATCATTATGTGCCTTTGATACTTGGTGCGAAGGGAACTAAAAGAAAGGGAAGTAGTCACTTGTCACAAGCTAAAAAGCCCAGTATACAAACAAAGTTGATGTTTACACCTTCTGGTCCTACTGAGACAACCACGACAACTAAGGCTCATACATATGGTATATCTCACAGATAAATTTCCCAGGTTTTGAGAACATAAAAGTATTGTTAAAGATCTTAAGTACTATTCCAGTCACTTCTTGTGAGTGTGAGAGATCGTTCTCTGCTTTGGGAAGATTAAAAATCTATACAAGAAGTACTACTGACAGGTTAAATGGTCTTGCTTTATTGTATATTCATCAGGACATTAATCCAGATATAGAAAAGATTATAGATCTTTTTGCAAAAGACAAAAGAAGAATTGAACTAACTTTCTAGTAAGGAGTGAAAGTTTTTGATGCCTTTTCAAACTCTTGACTTGTAAAGATGACTGCTGCTAACCTCAGTCAATAAAAACACAAACAATCGTTCTCAGGACTTTACTTACCTGGACGATTGACATCTACAAACATTTTTTGTTGGCAACTTCATTTGATAAATTGACATAAAATCGTTTGCATAGTAATCAGCATATAGGTATGACTACTAGACCATTATAAAATGAAATTCCATATAAAAGTTAAGGAAGCGTAAGCAATTTTTTTAGGCTAAGTTTGTAATGAACCAGGCCATCCATGTCAGAAGCCCTCAAAGCATATTTTTCTGCGAGTTTCCTAGGCATGCTGATGAGCTCTGATATTGAGCGAAACGGTCAAAAATCAATGATATATGAGCAAGAATTTTAGCTTTCCAGTTGTAAATATTTTAAAAAATCAAATGTAAAAACGCAGGAAATAGCGTTTTCTGCAATCCAATTTTAAAATTTTACCGGGGGGACATGCTCCTGGACCCCCTAGAAAAGTTGCGCTAACGGTGCGACATTGTGCCTAAGTTTATATACGAAGCCCGATCCGCCCCTGATTCAATTGGTTGAGTTTTAGGTATTTAAGCAGGGGCGGATCTAGCTATACTAAACACCTGCAGCAAAATTTTGTTTTACAAAAAATTTTCATTGTTACTTCAGAATTTCATTTTGCTTTTAATAATCAGCAATAAGTAACGTAGGTCTATTATTCCAGAAATTTGCATTTTGAGTAAATACACGTCAACATTTTACTAAACATATCTTTGTAAATTAAGTATTTTCAGTAAAACTTAACTACCTTATTGTTTGGAAAAGCTTTACATGTTTTGTCATCTAAGCAAGAAGACTAACAGAGACACTGACATATAATATTCAAATTTCATTGACAGTCACATTAATAAGAAAGGGAAGTGGAATACAATTAGAAAGACAGTTCTTGTATTTTTTACCAAAAAACAACAGTTTTCTACTAATTAAATTTTAAAAAAGAATGTTCCATTAGGGTATTGAACAGACATAAAATTTAAATTTAAAATTCTAACAGTAGCATTTGCAATGAATTTTAGGACAAAAACATATGGGATTGCAAACAGAGTATTTATAAAGATAAATGTATCAATCTGCTAACTACATTTGCTTTACATTTTCACAAAATATCTTTTATTGTTGACAAAATATCTTTTATTGTTTCGTTTAATTTTTAAATTCTACTACGTCATTAGCTATGGTAGTGTCAGAGTTGTACGAGATTTTAAAGCAAGCAATGGAGTTAGGATGTATAATGTCTACTAACAAAGTGGTTTGCCTGCAAAATGGTTAACCACAGAAAAATAGAAGGTAGAAAATTTTACATAGCTACATTGATTATATTTAAAATTTAAATTTTTCCACAAAAGATAGCGATTTTAGCTAGCTCCGTTCTGCCTTAAAATTGTGGAACTTTTATAAAAAGGTTTCTTAATAGGTTTATTGTAAAATGTTTGAAAAATGGTTGCATTCGAACAGCCAATCGATTCAACGATTTTCGTTATATCCTCTACTTGTGTTGCAGCAAATGAAGCGGGTGCAACTCGAGTGCTGTGACTTCCAAACTCTTTGGTGTCAATACCTAAAGCGTTTAATAATGTTTTACACCAAAGTAAGATAGTATTCCGGAAAACCGCTTGATGCGGTTTTATAAAGCTTATTAAAAGTTTTTTTTGCATATAGAACTGCGCAAATCGTTAGTTTGATCAATGTATTCCTTTAACTGCCGTACAATACAGAGTTCTGGTTCATGAGGGTAGGCTTCATATGTAATTGGAGTAATGTGATGACTAAGTCTAGTTGTTTTGATCTTTCTTCAGATTGAAAATACACATTTCGATTCAGATAGGTCCATGTCGGTTAAGTTGAGCTAGTGAATAGTTTGCACACGTTTTCACTTAGTATTAGAAGAAGGAACGTTAATCGGATAGTAAGATCTTTTAATGTTAAATCATGTATAGGGTTTTTTCCCTTAAATAATTAAACACAATATTAACATCCCAAATAGAATTATATACAATTCTTATAGCGAGGGAATGTAGGTTTTAATTCAAATATACCCTTCATGGATCTTTTCACTAAAGGATGTTGCCTAAATGGAATAGTATGATTGTTGGTCTGGCATATGGTGGATATTGCACTGCGTGCAGAATTTATAGCAGAGTAAGATAACCCTCAATGAAAAAGATAAGCTAAAATTTGAATGATTATGGTAATAGAGGGATTAATTTTGTAACATTTTGTAGCAACACAAAATTGACTCTATTCGTTTATATAAGTTTGGTATTGGGATTTTGTTCCCTTTCTCCAAGAGGCCATGATTATCTCTGCTGAACTTGGAGAGACACCTATTGACGTAAGTTGTTACCTGACTCAAGACATATTTTCAATTTTAGCTTTTTTACTAGTGGATGCTCTTCTGTTGGTGCAGCTGGTAGTTTGAGCCGGTTTTGCGACGGTGGACAAACATGAGGAGGTTGTAAGAGTGTTGGTTCGATTAGAGGATACCAAGGCTGTGTTGGCCAATTTGGTATCACCAAAATGTCTGTGGCTTTTTCCTGTAGAATTTTTTGAACAGTTTGTAAGATGCAGCTGAAAGAAGGAAAACAATAAAACTTTCAGTTGTTCCATGGGATGGAGAACGCATTAATATATGCTTATGCTGTTCGCCTTGTCCGGCGTCGTCTATTATCAATAATTCATTGTTTTCAATAGACGCATGTGGTCGCTTTTTGGCGTCATTATGCTCTTCAAATATACCTTTTAGATATTTATTACTTTCTGACATGTTAGCCTCCATAGCCAAAAACAATGAGTATAAACGTGAGTCACCGCTAATGGAAGCACTATCGGGCCGTTGCGGCGCTCTGATTTCATAAAATTCGGACACGGCGTGCTGGTCATCGGTTAATGATTCGGATGACATACTTTAATTGTTTCTATATAAATGGAACAAGAGTTATGAACAATAACGTTGGGAAGACGATAAACTTATCTGTAATTAGAGATTATATCCTTTTAAGAAGATCCTGTGAAAAATTGTACTATGGATGGGAAGGATTATAAAGAATAAATATCCTTCCTAAATTTTTCCGTAGCTTCGCTTGCGACAAGACGTACAAAACTGGCTAACTTGCGCATGCGTATGCTCTCTCTCGCACAACTCTGACACGACCATAGCTGATGACGTAGTAGAATTTTCTTGATATGTCAATGTCATGTTTAATGCTTCAGTAGTTTATTGACTATGAAAATGGTAGCTTGGTCAACTTATGAGATTAACAATAAATGACTATGCTTTGGTTGTTTGAGTAAGTCAACATCACATCTCCAAATGATATCAATTTTAAAATACAATTATTGTCTAGCAATCTCAAACTGCAAAATAGTCTATGGATATAAAGTCAAAATATCCCAGTCCGCTTTAGCAAAGCAGCTTTGTTGTTGTTCTGACGAGCTTTTTATTCTTGAACGAGTTTCCCCACCACTAGTTGCCGATTATATAGCAATGTAAATGTTAAATATATGTTTGGAAGCGCCTGATCATGCCTTGCCGATGTTGTATTTGTGCTGTATTCTGCTGTATTCGATGCCCTTGTAACTTTGACGACTTCGCTAAGCTGGGGAAAAACAATCAAACCAATGAACTTCTTTGTTAGATTCAAACTAACCAATAATAGCTCTCGTTTGAAAGCCGATTTAGGGTTGCTAGACCTGGAAACGCAGCAAAAACACCTAAAAATTAGCAGGAAACGCAGCAAAATGGCCGAAACGCAGCAAAAATGGTAAAAACCGCTGACATTCACGTTTAGACTGATTTATATTCAATATTCATTGTAAAATCTATAATCAGAGTTTACAACTGGTATAAAACAACGTTACTTTTATAATGAATATGAAATTTCTATTAGTTAACCATGGCTAAATGTTATTTTAACGATAGATGAAATATACGTAAATTTTGGAAATTTTACGTGCAGCGCTTGCCCGTTTTGCTATACCCTAAATCCCCCACTGATTTAAGCATCACAAACCAGTGGCGGATCTAGGGTTAGTCAAAATAGATTACTGCCGCACATTTTGGAATATTTTGGAATATTTACATTTCTAAGCCCCTTAGAGAAAAGTCCATTGGTGAAATTATATTCTTTAGAAATTCAAAACCAATAGTGCTTTTCTGAAAGCACTTTGAATTTAAAATTAAGCAGCTTTTATTTTCCTCACTTGCTTATCGCAAAGCAATAAGCCAAGAAGCTAAAGCCATTGTAAAAACACAATGTTTGAGCGCCAAAAGTTGATTCAACGATCAATTTGCTCTGTTTACAATAACTTAACTTTCCCGCCTTCGAATAATTGTAATATGATTGGCTCTTAGATCACTTCTTTGTTTGACTAACCAATCAGGAGAACAGTTTTCAAAAATAAATTACACTGTATTTCTGTTTTTTTTGCACTGTGTTTCACATATTTGCACTGGTATTTACGATAAATTGCACTGCTCTTAACCAATCAGAATTGAGAAAATTTTTTATGTGTATTATTAATTGAGTATCAACGCATTGTATCATATTTCTGTCATATACATCACAAACTGTAAATAACACAGCTATTCACATCGAAAATGACTTACAGTTAAGACGAAACATGTATTTAATTAAAAATATAAAATTGAAAAATGCTGTCGTTTATTTAAAATGTTTGTTAACAATAGTTACTCTAGCACAAAAGTTTATTTTTCAGATTACCAAAACTTGCATTTCATTAAATATATTTTTGATGGTGTTGAGCATTCAGTCACACCTGCAGTTCATAGCAACTCCAAATAGCAGGATGCTCCTGCATCAAATGCAAGAACAAAGGAAAGGACACAGAAAAGGCTTCAAGTTGTTGCTGTAACCAGTAGCTACGTTTGAGCCCAGACCATTCCACACCTATTTTGAGTCAAACTTGACGCTTTAACCTCTCCCCTAATTGACTTCACTACGCCCGTGTTCTCCAGATCACTGATACTCCTGGGTATGGATGCGTTTTGTGTTTGGGGGCAGATCCTACATTCAACCTGGGAAAGTTTAATGTTACAATGATTTCGTACCGGAATTTAAAGGTTGTTGACTGAAAATGTTGGGACCATTTAGCAATGATTGGGTCCATGCTTATTAGTTAAACAAAAACGTTTGACGTCTTAGAGGTATTCTTGCTCTCAGCACAGAAAGTGAAGAGAAGCTGTATAATGCGATGCCCTTTAGTTTTCCGCATACAATTCACCTAAGGTGCTTTAAACACTTAGGAGAAAATTGCAACGACCAATTAAATCATCAAATGCACCAGAAGAAGCGCAGATAAACATTTCTCTACGATATATTTGGAAGAAAATGTTGAGATACTATGAAGAAAGGTGAATTTCTCGTATTTTTGTATTCTTTGTTGTAGTTGCAACGGTTGCTGATAATAATATTTTTGACATGTCTTCTTCATGCAGATAGAGCAGAAAACTTTCATATACGTTCAAATGAATTGAAAAGATCCTGGGATGAGAAAGAACAGCAGCATTTTCATCCGATCACAGGCCCAAATAATACAGCTGCATGAGCGACAAAGTAAGTGGTCGTAAACACTATTCAATTTTTGTCTTCATGTACCGTTTACTTTGTTCATGTCAGTTAGGGAAAAATCGCAAATTTCCTGCAAAAATGGGAGTGTAAAATGTTTTGGGACCAAATTTTTCAGTATTTGTATTCGATAAAAACCTTATATATTTTAGTCTGTCACGCTTTTTAGTGCTCTTTCAGTATCTGAACAATGTTTCATACATACTTTACCAAAAAATATATGAAAGAATGTTTTATGCAGTGCGGTGTTTGAAATTAAATGAAGATATGATCTTCACACTTTGCTGGACAATTTAAGCAATTGTCTCATAAACCTGAAAAATTCAGGTGACTCAACGGGATTCAAACCCATGACCTCTGCGGTGCCGGCAATTGCTTAAATTGTCCAGCAAAGTGCGAAGATCATATCTTCATTTAATTTCAAACACTGCACTGCATAAAACATTCTTTCATTTGATGCAACACTATCATAATCATCATTTGACTTAAATTATTTTCTGCAATTGACATTTTGCAGAAAGACGTGGTCGTCCAGTGCATGCTAGGAAATGTAAGCCAAACGCTGGTCTTGGTGATCCACCAAAACCCTTTTACAACAATGTATCGGAATAGGCAAATGCAATGATCACACGATGCGTTGGTTTTAAGGAGAATAAGATGAGTGATTTCTGCCAGGAGAAGAACAAACTCTTAAGCAGCAAAAACAAGACGTTGACTCTTCATTGATTAACCATGGTCCATATTAACTTGCTTCCAAGTTTCAACAACATCTCCAAATTGAAGAAGATAAGTGGTTTTGGAAAACAAAACAAACAGAAAGAGGCAGAAATCAAGAAATTTAGAATGCAGACTATGTCGTCTGAAAAAGTGAAGATAGTTTACCACAAAATAACGTTTCAAACGTCCTTATTTTCATTGACTTTTCGACAGCTAGCATAATCACAACTCACACAGAAACGCTCAAGCATATTTACGAAAAAGCACTAGATGAAAGCACTAGATGGATACGCACTAGATTGGATACGCAATAACTCAAGTTTTAACATCTATCACTCCTAATGAAGACTAATAATGGCTTGTCAGCCAAATGTTTAAACTGAGAAGCTTGTTCTTAAAAACTATAATAAATTTCAGAGATGGTCGTCGACGAAACTTTTGAAAGCCTATGAGAAAATCAACCTTCTCAAAAGGGTACCAATAGGGTAAGTTTATAAATACAAACGCGAGACAAATAACCTTTACGGATAACATTGCTGCCACTTTCAGCAGTTCAGTTTAATGAGATAATTTGTAGGTTAAGCAGAATGTAATCACTGTTTTTTTGGGGGCAATAATCAGTCCCTGGTGCCGTCGCCAGCTTTTAAAACTGACTAAACTCATCATTTCGTGAATACGTCTGATTAGTTACATAGAGTGTATATGTTGTTTTTATAGGTGCTCGTTCATTAGTAAGCTATATCTAAGCGTGCTCCATCAAAAGTTAAGATAACTTAGCCATCATTTGTATTAGGCCGTATAAGATCAGCATCCAAAAGATGCTCAGAAAACTGATTTCGTAGCACCCCTCTCGAGGCTACATAATTTTCACATGAATAGATAGATAACCTCTTTAAGCAGAATCAGTTGCCCCCCAAGTGAAACAGGTGAACAATCAAGAGAAATTCTACTTCAAAGTTTATGATATACGCGCTTCAATAAATTTGAGCTGCCATTTTTTCTGTTATATACGCATGCTCACACTTGCAAAACCTGTACAGCTGCTTAATAAAACATTAAGTATTATTAGAGGTTTTCCAAAGAGTTGTTATAAGTAGTATGGACAAGCCAGGTAGACATTATTAAACTGTTTGTCTTATTATTTATCTTAAATTTCAAAGAGATTGATATTTGATATATTCTTTAATTTCAAACAACCTTAAGGAAATTATGAAACAATGTGCCTGGCCCACGTCGGCTGCCACCAAAAATGGCATCGATGAAATATTCTTTTGTATTTGACCACAAACATGGCTGCTGTGACGTCATAGCATGCAATCCACTTGTATTTACCATAAAGTGTACGTAACGACAGCATTTCTTAAATGTTGCTGATTAGATAAGTATTGTTTGTTGAATGTAAAAGCTTTAGCATTTGCAAAAACCTTAATGCTTATCATGCTTGAGTCGCAATATTTTAGAAAACACTGGTGATTATAAATATTAGCGAAATCATATCGTTATGTCACGGTCACTTTGTGAGCTTTGGCAAATTTATATATTTTCCGTCATGTTTGATAAATATTGGTTTTTCGCCTCGCAAACTTGTACTGTACGCCTGACAATAAGCTATAAATAAAACAGTATTCTAGCCCTACAACTGACAGTCTTTAATAAAGAATTTTATTCATATCTCTTTGTTCAACGGGAAAACAAATGAACACCCCGCTGGGAACAACGGATTCTGGTTAAAGAGGTTGTTATCTACTAATTCATATAAAAACTATGTAGCCTCGCGAAGAGTGAAACGAAATTGCATCTTTTGGATGCTCAACCCATGGCCTAAGTACTTTGTGCCCTCATTGTGTCAAGTGCGTCAATTCCATTGAAATCAAACAATAAAGACTGCTACAAGTATCTGTAAAGCCCTTTTTCAGTTTTACGTTTAAGGAGGATCTGCATTTAAAATCAAAGATGTTTACTGTATTTGCAATTGCTAATGAAAACCAACGAGATCTTTGGGAGAACTCGATACGCAACAATATGCCTGTGCAAACACGAAAAATATCTTTTACTTTTTATATAAAAGAACAAAAATGTGAAATAGACAAATTCAAAGAAAGCTTTCAAATTTTCTTTTTAAATAAATCAATGATTGCTTGCAAATTCTTATTGATTTACTGATTCAATTAAGTAGTTGAGCTTGGTTTGGCATTAACAGGCTATTGCAAACACAGGTATAGACCAATCAGCTCATGCATTTCCTTGTTTTGATTTAATAAAGGTACTTAATACTTATGTAGCTTATTTCTGTTCCAACAGAATTAACTGCGGTGACGGTTGCGACGGTGCGAACTTTCCTGTACGTTTGAAGGCAGTGTCGGGATGCTGTCCGGGACAGTATTGTCTTCGTGGCGAATGCTTCTGGAACTGAGAAAGTAAAAGTTTCCTGAACTCGGCTTCAATATGTTTTCGAGCTCCTATTCTATTTTACGTTCTTTTTTAGATATTTTTATTTCGTAGAACATTGTAACAATGTAACCATCGTTTTGTTTTAAGAAAATGTACATTTTATTCTTACAAGTTTGTCAGACAATTCTAAATAAGAAGACTTTGAACTGGAATAACTTACACATGGTCACAAGTTTTAACAACAGATGACAACTGACTCACGAGACGAGAGTATAAAAAAACTGGAATGCAAAAGAAAATTTTAACACAATATGAGTGGATAGGGTACAGGTATAGAACACTTAGTCAGCATTTTTTACGGAGCTTTTACCCGTGTCTATTAGTTTCCAGTCCGTGAAAGTAAGTCAGTAGCGCGCGTGTGAACCGAAAACAGAGCAAGATTGCTCGTGACTGGTTTATTTGATGAATGGAGGTGAGGCAGGGGATTATTTAAAGGGAAAGATACCTTTTTAAGGTATAAGAATACAAGTATTATGTCCTTCTTTGCCGATATAGTAAAAAGGTTACGGTTTCATACTCGTTTTCTTCCTACATTAAAAATGGCTTTAAAAGTTGACATTGAACTAGCAAAGAAAATTAAAGAAACATTTGATATTGCTGACAAGAGCGAGGATATAGAGGAACGTGAAAAATTATACAAGATAGATTGTTGAAATGTTATGCCGAAGAAATAGGGTACATAATATCAGGTCTTGTTGCTAAAGAGTGTTACGTTCGCAGTGTAAATCACTTTTCGCAAAGACGCCATGAGTGTTTGATGATGCCGAACAATAAAAGAATATTATATTACTTTGATAATGCTACATAGAAAATTGATGAAGAAGATGTAATGAAATCCTTCTTCGATAGTTTAAGTGACCTTAGTCTTATAGTAATTTTAGGGTTAGAATTGATGAAGTATACTTGAATATATTCATGCAAGGACTGGAGAAATATATTTTTGGAAGAGCAAAAAGACAAACTGAAAAATGGGACAATGAACTTTTTGAGCAAGATTATTAATCTTTTGCATTCTTAATTATTCAAACAATTATTGAAGCTTACAATATGAATACTATAAAATAAAAGCTAACACGACGTAAAATTGTAAGTAGACATGTAAATTATTAAAACATACTACCTTCATGAAACTTGGAATTATAATTCAAAAACATTTGATAGTTAAACATACCTTTAAAAGAGTCATCGGTAATTGCCCTTGCTCAGGGCAGAATAATTAATCCTTATGCAAAATAGCGAACCGCTGTAGATCACCGACTAAAAATATCAAAAGTCGTAAAATTTTAATTAGCTCTACTTAATGAATGGTTGACAAATCTTTCAGCGTCATAAAAACCTTTGCTATTTTCGTTGATCTATTTTCCACGTGTTATTGCGAATTCCGTCTTATGATTATATCTCTCACGAGAGGAGGGAGGTTGATCTGCTTTAGCCTTGAGGTATTTGAATGCTTTTATGAAAATAAAATCATCTCCTCGAAGGATGAACTAATTTAATTTTTAGGCATGATTTTGAATGCCCAACTTTGATATTTTACGCACGCGCTGTATACTTGGTTGATGCTAATCATATTCCAAGATAAAAAAGATTGAAACAGAAACCATTATAAATATATTTGTTGTACATAAACGTTTTTTCACTCTATTCAAAACAGTTCATTTTAATTTATTAAACATTGAATATTAACGTAACCTAATAGTTCTTATAACAAAAATTCATTGATCACTGTTAATTATCTTCATTATGTATATTGAGGAATATATAATATACCTCCTAGGTATTTTATGCATATACAGGAGCCTCCCCCCCCCAATTCTTGACTTTCGACACAGTGGCGGATTTAGGGTAAGTCAAAATATGTTACTGCAGCACATTTTGGCATGTATTAACATTTCTAATCCCTTTAGAGGCAATTCCATTGGTGAAATTATATTCCATAGAAATTCGAAACAAATAGTGTTTTTCTGAAAGTACTTTGAATTTAAAATTGAGGAGCTAAAATTTGTTTTAACCAACGCTAGATCCGCTAATGTTTCGACACACCAAAGTTTACTGCCAATCAACAAGAACACATTACGAAATTCAATTTTACAAATTCTTTGATGAGAAAATTTAATTATGATACAGTATTGTTTAAAAAATTTTTGACTCAAAACCAACAATTTCTCTCAATCACTATCAATATTGCAATGAGCTCAAACGTTCAAAGAAAGGTCAAGACTCTACGCTTATGCGTTAAAGAATGTTAGCATGATTTAAAGTTTAATTGATTATTCAAATAAAAAACTAGTAGCTATTAAGCCTTCAGGAGGCCTGTTTTTTAAAACGTTGCATGCCATTTCGTTAATGTGGTTGTTGCAGTAGATTTGCTACACTTCCATGCACATTATAATAACACAGACTTTGACTTGGAAAAAACCCAAGTACGTAAGCATCTCTTAAGGAACATTTTGGCTAAAAAAGAAAATTTTCCCCTCAACAAGGTAAGTGTGCACACATTTGCGTCCTTCTTGGACCCTGACTATATGTACATGACAAGATTTTTCTATTCTTTTTTATTTCCAGCGCAGGTACATTCCAGCCGCATATCTTCACACACGCAGCAAAAACGATGTATCTAGTTTTAGCAGTGTTGCTATTTTTTTACTCAAAATATCATGCAAATGCTGAACTGTAGACTCGGCTCCCAAAGAAAATCCGCTTTAAAACTTACCTAGCCGTTGTAATTGCTTTTGCTAACAATAATTTAACTTTCCCGCCTTTGGAAATTTTTTATTTTGATTGGCTCTAATATTACTGCTTTGAGTAACCAATCAAGCATTATTTAAAAAAATTGGCACCGTAGTTCCTTTTTTGCACTGGTATTTGGGATGAATTGTACTGCTCTAAATCAATCAATATTGAGATATTTTTTTATGTATATTATTTATCCAACGAAAAAAATTCAGGCCAAAACACATCAAACTATTGATTTTGATAATACCTTACTTTGATGATCGTAGCATTCAAATACAAATGTAGTGATAGGAAATTCCACAGTTTCATAAAGACCATTACACGATGGAGATACCTTCTAAAACATTAAAAATACTAGGTCAGTAATGAACAGAGATAAATATTCTACAGCAATATTAACACTGTAAAAAATGATTGGTTAAAATAACCATGTGATTGGTTACAGTAACCATAAAAATAATGGTTAAAGTGTTTAAATGCGTCTGAGGTGACCAATTTTAATAATTATTTTAACCAATCAGTTTTAACAATGAATGTAGACTGACGTAAATCATCAAAATATGAGTAAATGTGAAAATTCCTCAATATCTGAAAGATCAAACACTTCGCATACACTATAAACTATGATTTGTATACAATATTGAGAAAAGAAATATTATTTTGTAATTTTTTTTGTAGATATTACTACGGTCAATATGGACAAATTATATTAGTTGTGCAATAGTTATAAACTAGTTAAGAAAAACAAATTTTTCATAGCAGACATGATGTAATAATTGTATGTCATCATCAGTGCTAAACAAATGAATTAAGTTGCCTAAGTTTTGTATGCTATGTAGGATCGCCTATATGTCTGCAATAAAATAGTTTGCTTTTACATTAAATTTATATTTTCAACTTTGCTTTTACAGAATTGGTGTAATACTTAAAATACATGGTTTCTTCTTTTTAAAATGGATATGTTGTTTTGGTGGTACCAATCTTCATTATTTAAATGTTTTATAGAACACACTACAAGAGCAAGTATCACTGTTGAATATTCCTTTGTCTATACTGTTTTTTGTCTCAGAGCTTCGAGCGTGATCAATTTGCCAGGGCAACGAACCCTCAGGTGAATTGAAATATGCCTCAAATTTTGATTGAATCTCCACATTATGTGCATAATTGTTGCTTCCAAGTCTTACCATACTGTGCAAAGCAGTGCTATCTCTCTTAACAATTGCTCGCCAGTCCCTAGCAATAATATTGCCACTGCTGTCCTCCGAATCAAAAAATACATTAGGATTATGGCTAGCACTTTCTGTTAAACGTAAATAGTTTCATGTGCAGCACGAATTGGTCTACGAATTATTCTCCACTTTTCAGATAGAGTGCCAAAGGTGTTTTCGATTTTTCGTCTTCAGACAGTTCTTTTCTCCATAAGGTATAAACAACCAGGATTTTAAAGAGAATATGTCGTTGCCCACAATAACAAATGGTAAAGTATGCCCATGTACATTATCTGGTCAAGGGAGATCTAATTTTCTTTTCAGAAAAACTTTACCAAAAATGCTGAAAATATGCTGCATCGTTGTCTCGGCCAAAGCCACCAAAGTCTACCATAGTGAAGCAATAACTGGCATCACACATAGCCATTAATACTAAGCTATGAAAGTGTTTATAATTGAAATAATTAGAATATCCATTTTTAGGGCAGTCCATCTACATTTCTTTTTCTGAATGCATGGGGCAACAATCTTTAAAGATTTTCCAGTCTTTCCGGAGACATTCGCAGATATCTAGGACATGATTTATTGAGTCTATATAACAGTACAACAATAAAATCTGATATGTGTAGTGCTGGTGAGCGTCAGGGGTAAACAAATATACATTTCGATTGTGGAGCTTTAATTCATGCACTGGTGTGTTATAATGACCTCGATTTTAACGCTCTTAAAGAATTTTCTTATCCAAATCTTTCTTTCCTTTTTTTTCATTCTAGTCCGTAAACGTTCTCGGGCTAAGTCCAACAACAGCATTCGTTGATACATTAAAAGGACTCTTTCATTAACACGCGCCATATTTCTCCTTTCCAGTTAAGATGTCCCAACGCATGCGCACATCAAACCAAAATCACCTTGACATAACGTGCGAAACCTCGGTAATACACAACAATTACAACTATATGTGAACGCTTACTTCTCTAATTGTTGTAGACTTCATCGCCAATGGAATTACAACAATTTTAACTATATGTGAACTAAGCTTTATTAAAGTAATTAAAACATATATATTTCTTACTTAAAATATTAGTCGCTTCGCCGCATTTTATAGATATGCAAAGCTGATTTAATTTCCGGTCATAGGTATTTTCTTACGAGTTCTGTCGTTACATATAATCCATTTATTACACGTACGTTGTTTAGCAAAAAGTGAAACTAATGATATATATTGTCAATGTTAGTAAGGAGAATAACTTCTTTATGATTTTTAAAGTTAAATACAACATTTCAGTGAGAAGTTGTTATGCAGCCTTTCTGGCATAGTGACAAATAACGGAGGTTTCGGTTTCTGAACAAGAATGTTAATTGCTTGTAATTAGAGTGATAATAACACGAAACAAGAAATATACACATTGCGGTATTTGTAAATATAGCTTCTTACTCTGATCTATGCATTAAAACATGCATTCGGCAATTCTCTTCCCATACCAAAGGTTGATTTAATCTTTTTCTTTCATTCAATAGCGCTGCCAGAGCGAGGGAGAGGAGGGGTGGCAAATATTCATAATTGCATGTTATAATCGGTTGAAAACAATAATGCTATATGCTGGATGTATGAATATTTGAATCCCCCCGTCACAGCCCATTAAGATTAAAACAAATTATTTGATAAATTTATTTATTTTAATGCATGTTGTTTTATATTTTTGCCATTGAAATTTCTAGCAAAAACCACACAACCTGCAAGATTCTAGCGAGACTGAAGCCTCGTGCATTAATGAGTTATGTCATTCGACCAATCAGCGCCGTGTTTTCAAAAGATTATTTCATAACAATATATAATTGTCTTTTGAATAGATTTTCCAGATTAAGCATAGTTTTCAAAATTTAACTCTGTGGTATAGCAAAGCCGAAACACGAAAGACATAGCAAACCCTTGATAAATACATGTAAAAACTGTTGATCAACAGTCAGAACTCTTTTGTGATATCGATTGTGGAATATTTCTATTTCATTGTTTCTAGAACATCTTAAACTCCTCAAAAGGTAAGCATAATGAAAAGATCACATTATATTTCTAAATAAAGTAAATTTAGCAGACACAGTTATACAATATGAGAAGTACAGCGTTCCTTCAGGGCGATTGTTTTTATGTTCGTAATAGTAATTTATCACTTTCAATTTGTATTCAAAGAGAAAGAAGGGTAGTTTCAAATTGCTAAGCATTAACAAAATTGAAATGCAACTCAACATTTGTGCACCTTGTTCACTATACGTAAATGGCTATTGGGAGGAAAAATACTATCTAGAATATTATCTGTGCTTAGTTTTTTCGTTCATTTTGCAGCTTGGTGCAACATGGAATCTAAAGAATCGTCTAGATTTATTTTTTTGCTGTCAATGTTATTTTCTCGAGGTATGTTACTCATTCCACATCATAAAAGAAGTCACTCAATTGCCTCTGGTGGAATGCTACAACCCGCTGTCATTGCAACTTAAGTGTAATACAAATAAAATTCGTTTGTACAAAATTATTCAAAACTCTAGCCAACAAGCTATTGAACTTGAAATTTCACGTAAATCTTTTTATATGCGGGATTTACTTTGCATATGATTGCACGTTTTTTTGGATTTTAAACAATTTAGAATAGACGTCACGATGTTTCTTCAATTCTTTACCGTGTTAGGCTGACAAAAACATCACAAAGCATAAAAAATGTTTCTAGGCGTAATGTTCGGCATTAAAGTCGGGTGTTGTTTAATATCACTTTGACTTTGAAGCTTTAAAGATGTTCCACTGTGCAAGGTATTCCTTGACGCACATTGCAATATGTTATAACCATAAGGCAGACGAGTAATTTTATTGTTTACGTTTAAACTGTCATAAAACTGTTTCGGGAAATCGATGTATTTTTCTCTGCAAAAGAGAAACTGAAAACGAAAGAAAGCACAAAGCGCGTTTTGCATATTCCAGTAAAGAAAGGCGTATTGTTTTTTAAGCAATATTCTTACAAAATATACAGTTATGATCATTACTAAAGCAGTTTGCTATTATGGATTGAATCTGGAGGAGTTTAAACGGGAACAAGAAACTTTACTTGATTAATTACGATTTTTGACTCTTTAATTTAAAAATACATAACACTAGGACAAATGCAATTCGACGCAAAATAAGGCAAATATTTTCTGAAATTCTTTGTGCTATGCTATAATTTTACCTCGGGCAAATCAACAACTAATCAAATACTTTAGCATAAAAGTAATGATATATCTGTCATTTGATAACAAACAAGTTAAGTGTAATTATTATACATGGTGGAATGTTGATTGTGATTGGCTAAGCGCCAACAGATCATTCTCAATTTATTGTTGCCAATGAATTGTAAGTAGACTGGAACGATAGTTTTATAAGTAATCTGAAGCCAATTGAAGTTGTTATGCTGCTTCACATATTTTTCGCGAGGACAGTTTTATCTTCGTAACAGAATGGATTCCTAAAATCATTTGGAAATAAATATTTGCCAAAATATACACATACTAGCGTTTAAAATCATTGTCGATGTTTGGTTATTAAAGTGTTAAGATTGAAGATGGACATTCTAAGTAAGATGGACTTGTAAATGCAATGCTATATTACATAAATAATATTCTTTTGGATACTTCTCGACTGTGATTGGCTGATTGCAGTGCAGTTTCTTTGTAATTGCATAGTAAAATCATGAAATTGCACTGTTGAAAAGCTGTAGTTGCGCTGTAAGTAATGTTTTATCATTGACTGAAAAGCAGTGAAAGCCAAACAAACTTCTTTTTGATTTAAAAAAAACATGCTAGCAGTTGCAGATTCAATCGCTTGAATATCAAGAATTAAAAAGGAATGCAAAGAATTAAAACAAAACAGCAAGTACTGTGTTTTGGGGTTTTAAACAGTTAGGCCGCTTGACGAGGCTTTTTTGAAGCAATAGAGAGTAGTGAATCGTGCCAGAGTTAGACTATACACTGTTTAAAAATCTCACTCGTGCATTTCTATTCGTAATTGCACTTGAAAACATATTATACATATACTTATAAAAGCAAGAATTGCTTCAAGAAATGAATTTGTGATTTGTCATTGAAAGATCAAGAATTTTAACATAAAAGGTAGTCTATATTTTGAAAGTCTTGCAAATTGCAAATAAGGCACTTCGTCATGTCTCTATAACTCTGTTCCCTTTAAAACTGTACTTGTTGTAAGAATGTCACATGTTCTATTTGCGTGTAAAGTGGGAAAGTGATGACCTGCTCTATACAAATGCTAAAACGCAACACACATATTGAATAAATTGAATCCAATTTTACAGTTTTTCTAAGGGCCTGTTACAACTGTTTGCGAAACCCCACACGTCACTCCAGTTGTAATTCTCAAATTTGGGCAAATTGATTGTTTTAATTTTAAATGTTTTGCGTAGTTATTAAATCAGAATATTGCGAAATTGCTTTAGAAAATTTATGTGATGACAAGTATTGAATCGTTTCCATTTGCCAAAATCATTTAACGCTTGACCAAATCCTGGCTACCGGGCTCATGTAATTAGCCCCTATAGCAGTTATATCCTCTGAGTCTCATGGAAATTTTCAATCATGAGACTCATGGAAAGCCTATCTCTATTTTTGCTCTTTAGAGCATCATTATAAATGTATATTATGCAAAGATGACGTAAGTTTTAAAGGGACAACTGACAACACAAAAAGTATCGCAAAATCTTGTTCGAGATTGGCAAGCGTTTTACCTTCTGTTTTCCATTGAATTGTTTAAGCTAAAGGCGTAAAATAACTCAGAAGGGGTTACACTATAAGCCAGAAGAGTTTCTTCGTATTTTATCAATAACACTAAGCTTATAAAGATGCTTCGAAGAAAGGTGTCCTTAGAATAGCGGGTAGAATTATGGATTAGTAATTTTCTTTGTTTTATTTTTCGTGAAGGTTTCAGCATAAACATTTGTACGGACATTGTCGTGAGATCATCCAGTGGTTATATTACGACACCAAATTTTCCAAACACGTACCCTGCAAATATTTCTTGTACTCTAACCATTCAAAGACCATTCGGAGAGAGAATCAACTTCAAGTTCATATATATGAGTCTTGAGACAAGAGGGAATGGTATTTATAGTTTTTTTGTCATTTTTTCATTTTATTGAAATAAGTATAGTTTATAGAGGTTATTTATAACGTGATGTAATTTGACAATTTTGATACACTTTCAGTAAAATTCCAAATTTGTTTTCTGCATTTGACTTTTAAGTGGCGCTGTATAGGGTGTCCCCCAAAAACGTAAAACACATAAATTAATCATATATTTGCCAAAACCATTTTCCACAATAGTGTATATAGCATTTACAAGAGTTTAATGAGCTTTTAATAATCCTGCACTTCTAAAAATACTTTTTCAGCTTTGTACAGTATTACTTAAAGAAAAACAAGTTAAAAGTAGCTGCTATCATACACTGATTTTCATCTCAAATTTATTACGCAATTGTTTGTAAAATCAAAGCGACATTAACTGCGTAATATTATATGGCAAGCGTTACGGTCCAAAACGCGTAATTTCACAGTCAAGTGTAAACAAACTTCGTATGGCGAACAGCAAAACGCAAGAAAAAAGAAACAAAAAAGCATTTACGAATGTGAGTCAAATGAAAAATACTCGGAAATCAGTTTTACTTTCTAGGCGATACAGTTTGAAGCGATTTAATTTTTACTGGCGAAAACTAAAAAACTGAAAGCCAACCCTTACAAAACATCAAGGACAAGAAAGAAAGCAAGCTTCGTTTCAGGTCAAATAATTACATGTAATAAACCTTTTAATAACCTCGCTTTCTCGGTCTTTACGGAGAAATATCAGACTTTTGTGTTTTTGTACAAACCTCGCCTACAGGCTCGGTCTGTACGAAAAGACCTCGGCCCGTTACTTCTCCGTACAGACCTTAAGCGGTTGTTAACGGCTTAATAACAGCGACAAGAACGAGGTCATATTTTCTGTAAGTTGCAAGAATCATGTTGCAACAGAGCTAGCGTGTGACTAAGTGAAACAGGAGCGGAACAAACAGTATATATTTTTACGCTTATCCTTCCACATGTCCTTTCAACTTAGGCAGTTCTTTTTCGCAGATAAAAGATGGACGCTTTATGCTTGTTATCACCGTTGTGCAACACGTTCTTGAATTTATAACGCAAATTTCATTTTAAGTATTTTTTTTATGTGAGGCCATATCTTCCTTGGCTATGCTAACTTCATATTAATTTCCTTATAATTTGTAACTTGGGTAAAAGAGATATTAATATTTCTTTACAAAAGAGAAATATCTGTGTTTAATTTTTTGTTTAAATCTATTCTACTTAAAATCAGGTAGCTGCAGCGACAGCTTAAAAATATCCGGGAAAACAACAAAAACATTTTGTGGAAACGACAAGATGACATTCGTTCCTGGGGGAAGTGTAGTCAGTGTGTCATTCTTGTCTGACTCAAAAGTTGGATACAATGGGTTCAACATTACTTTTACTTCATTCAGTGGTATGTTTATAAATTCTTTCGAATTCAACAAGTATTCACTTTAAAGACTATGAAATGCCTATATCTGGTGTGAGAGCTGATTTCTTTTAACAGTTAAATCAATTATATAAACATACAATATATTTAATACGATGAAAATGGTATCTTCATGTGTGTTTTGAACATATAAAAAGGTGACTCCTTGCAAGATGTGACGTAAATACGAGAGCACGCGCATTGAAGATATACTTTTATTATACAGGTTTATTGCATTCAATAGACGTTCAAAAATTAGAACTCTATGGATGCTATTTCTTACTTAAATCATAAATTATTACACGGTGTTTATACTTCACAAAACGAGCGTATTCTCGGAATGCGCTTAACATCCTTTAGCATTTTTTGAATGTATTAAGTGATGTTTGCAAACGTAGCTCAACTTGTTGACTGTAATATTCAAACGTACTAAACAATGTTTACGTACGATTTCGTAACCACCAAGATTTAGACCTCGTTACATACTTGGCAAGTTCAAACTTTTCTCAACAACAATCAAAAGTGCTCAATACTTATCAACACTCCTCAACAGGATGTGCAAATACTCTCAACATATTGTGTGCACAATTTCAAAATCCTTAGAGTGTTCCAATTTTCTAACTCTTCCTTAGAAAGCTGCAGTTTTGATGGTGGCTTGCAAACAAGTGTTTGTCCTTGGAGCAACGTGAATTTAGAGGATGATTTTAATTGGTCGATTAATTCTGGAAGTGTACCTACTTCGGACACAGGTCCAAGCCATGATATTACAGGATCAACGTCTGGTAAGCGTGTGGAGGATTTGATTTCTATGCATGGAAAATAGAGAAGCTGCTCAATGATTATAAGAAAAGAACTTGTCAAACTTCTTTCTTTTTGTTTAACAGGAAAATATCTTTATACAGAAGCATCTCCTCAACTGATTGGTGATAAAGCTTGGTTGGTCGGGAATAATCTTACGAGTTCATTCACGTGCTTTTCTTTCGTTTATCACATGTATGGAGCTGAAATGGGTACATTAAATATTTACTTAGAGTACAAAGTTAAAAAGTCATTGTTGTGGTCATTGAGTGGCAACCAAGGTAACCAATGGTGGTATGGTCAAGTTACAGCAAATTTTACTTCTTTCCCATCTAGAGTAAGTATTGTTTCTACTCTCTACTGTCATTTTTGCCTTACTCATCATTCAACTTAAAAGTCTTGCAAGCAAATGAGTCTACACAATACATAGAGTGCATAAAATTTGTTTGGTGTGTGAAACGTCAATAGCATTTGTAAATGAGAAAAACTTTACGACGCGATATTAAACACTGATAATTTCGGGTATTAATTTAGCACCTTCTATATGTGAATTTGAGATATTGCAGGAGTGCAAGTTACAAGTGTTGATTTAGCACCAATGTTGGTGTTAACTTAACGCCGTGCAGAGGTTTGTTTGCAACAAAGGGTGAAGTTAACATTTCTTTAACATCTTAAGAACGTTAAAAAAGCATCTCGAATGTAACTTAAAGTGTGAAACTAGCATAATATTTTAAGTTGAGTGCAAGGAGTCAAATTGACACAATATAAGCATGATCTCTGTAATTATAACGGTGGACAAATATGAAGTTGCAAACAAAGAAGCTATCAACGAGTATGTATTAATAATAAATTGTTTTTGCTGTGACAACAAAACAATTTTTAATAATTAAATAAATTAAATAAAATTTTTGTCTTACTGATAACAAAAAAATTTCTTAACTAAACAAAATTTATGTTTCTGAATTCGAGCACTTACGGAAAACAGATTATTGATTCACACAATTTTCAACAAACTTACTGGTAATAGCTTTCTGATTCCAGTGCTTAAAACTAATAATTGCAATGCACAATCAAATTTTGTTCTATGCGATATGAAAGTTAATCGCAGATGACTAGGAACGAAAAATTGTATTGGGGGGAGGGAGTCTTAACGTATGTTTGCTAACATTGACAAGTTACTTGCTACCAATGCATGATTATACATTTACATTTTTGTTGTAATAAATCAATAGTGAACAAAATGTTTAGAGCTGCTTATTAAAAATTCAATATGTTATATTCAACGTGTTAATATTTTGAGCCAACAGTTTTTATTACAGAAGAAATATTAAGCGAACTACTAACGGAATGCAAATGAAGCATGCAACGTACATCTTTAACCAGCACAAAGCCTTTTGTTCATTATATATTCATAAATAAAAAAATTCATTACATAATCACAGAGATGTTAAAAAATTATACAGCTCTAGGAAACTGGCAATCATTGTTAAAAATAGTAACCAATAATTTTTGGGAAATTATCAATGTTAGTAGACATGCTTTACCACCTATCCCGGCTATAGTTTCTTGTTCCCAGTCTGTTCCCACTCTTTCTTGGTTTTGATTAAAAAATAATAACAATAAACTAAAAATTTTAACCATATTTTTTAACGTTCTGAACGCTTAATTCTCATCACAAGGCACTCCCACACACCATTTGTTTCCACTTAACACTTCATTCTGTCTGAGAATGACTTTGAAATAAAGTCAAATTTTACAGTTCACTTCACGTCTTGTTTTGATGCATATTTTGCAATCTCAAGATGTCTTGCTTCTTTGGAATTTGTTTTATACTATAGTAACGTTATGTAATTTCTATCACATGTCGCATTGAGCAAACCTTAATTGCGCAATGCAATTATTGACTTGGTGCACTGAGATTAGTTTTATTTTGTATTACGTTAATAAAGTTTCTCATAACTATTGACTAAATTTGTATCGTGACAAATTTTTTGTGAAAGCGAGATCAAAGCTTTTGTATAAGAAACAAAGTTTTGCAATCAATGCAATGTTCTTGTATTGATAAATTAAATTGTGAATTATACAAGCAGGCCACCGTACTAGAGTTTAAATCTGGGATCCTACGACACCAAGTCACCAATATTACTGTCATTTGACAACATCACAAATTGCTGAATGTGCAAATTGATCTCTATTTCTTAATTTGTAGTTGATAATAGAAGGTGTTCGTGGATCATCATTTACAAGTGACATTGCGATAGACAATCTTGCTTTAACTCCAGGATATTGTGAAACCGTTCATACTCACGTTAGGTTTAATGAAATAGACTTTAAAGGTTAGTAGCTACCGATATTCTTATTGTGTATATTTTGGATTGTTAATTAGTAATTTATTATTGTTTATACTTATCATTCTCCGCGTAAGGACAGTTAGAGTGGGAAATCTGGCGAACGTAGAGAGTAGTTTACGTCAATATTTTTAGGATGCTAAAGTCATGTATTTGTCGTTGATTTTAGGAATGTAAGAACCACTAAAAATATTCTAAGTGATTCATTGGGTCAACTATTTTGAGATGAGTCATATGCAAGAAAAATGTAAGACTAAATCAATTACCTCAATTCACACATTCACACATAGTGTCATTCTCGAACAGGCTGCGATTTTGAGAAAGGTTTTGGTACAGTTGATTGTCCTTGGAACAACGCGCGAAGATCGGAAAATTTTGACTGGGCAATCATCAGTGGAAATGTAAAAAGGGCTATCTATCTACCATATTTGGACTCCAAGGGATCAAGTAAAGGTAACATGCACGCCATGACACCATTTTCCGTACATAAGTGTTATAAGCACCTGCATAAATATTTTTGTGAAGTTGCGACCAGGCTTAATTGTAGAACAACAATCACAGTCATCAATAAATTTGAAAACCTGAAAACCTTTAACATACAAAATAAGTACATTGATTTCTTAGCATAATTTTGATGCTATTATTATCGTTGTCAGATATATTGGTCGTTATTTAAAGTGTATGACATAATTGCAATTTTTTTGCCAAGAATAGTTAGTGAAAAGAACATTTTGAATGATATAGTTCACTGATGGAAAACTTTTTGAACTTTAAGAAATATATGTTAGCTCCGAACATGCGAAAATATAAGTTTTTTAAACTCATGATCATGAGAAAAGAGTCTGAGCACGAAAGCACATTGTGATGTCATACAAGGCACGGAAGTCAACTGACCACTATAATTTATTATAGATTTTTATCAATTGAGAAGATTTTTATGTGATGATAAGTATTTAATTGTTTCCATTTGCCATAATCAATTAACGATTTGGTGAATCCGGCTACCCGGGCTCATGTAATCAGCTGCTTAGACACTTTGAATTCTACACATTATATTCTTTATGTTTTTTAATTGAATTTTATTAAAATTATCCATTTTAACCACACAATACTAATCGAAACTTCATACATAAATTCACTGCCTTAAGTTACCTCGTGTAGACTATAGTTTGTCTTAGTTCTAGCGCAAGCTCGTAATTTTTTAAAGTTTTCCTTTATTCCTTGTATACTTACACATTCCTCGTAAGAACTTTCGTTTAAATCAATGCACAGTTTGAACATTGAAAGATTTTGGATGCTGCAAGTGCAACAACATTATCATTGTCTTATGTGATATGTTACGTCAATTTAGAGTACATACATTTCTCTCTGCTCAAAATGTATTATCACTTCGATATTTGAATTTGGATGACTTGCGCCTTTACGATTCATTTTAGTCGACATGTTCTCAAAGGATTCCAGATATTTCAAGTTCAAGAAATTTCTTGCGATAATGTAATACAAATTATAATTTTTTTATTTATGCATGCCAAATGATACTTCTTGATATCCTGCAATCTGATTGGAAGCAGCATTTTACGATATCTTGACAAAAGGCTTTTTTGAGACCTCGTGAAAATATTTTTCCTTTACTGCCCTCCCAACTTATAAATAATCATACAATTATTGATTGATTTACTTCTGTGCCTTGTACGACTAAGCGATGCACTTAGTCAGGCTCGTTTCTTATGACAATGATTTAAAAAACCCTAAGTTCCCACATGTTTCAAGCCAAATAGTTCTTAAAGTTAAAAAAATTTTCCATTAATCAACTATATCATTTTTCATGGCGAGAGAAACTTTCATCAAACCAAGCAATGTGCGAGATTTTTACGAGACTGAAGCTCTCGTGCATCATAGAGTTTTATAAAATACAAGCAACTGAACGAGCAGGTGCAAACCTGCTATCAAGTTTTCCCAAAGGTTCCATCGGTATCATTTGATCAATCGGCGCTGATGTTTTATTTACACAATAAGAATATCGGTAGCTACTAACCTTTGAAGTCTTTTTCACTAAACGTGACGTAAGTATACACAGTTTCACAAGGCTAGTTGATAATCTAAAATACTACAATCAAAACAAAAACATATTTAAGTACCAAAGTAATGTATTGTGTCTGATTAACACGGATATTTTTTAGGTAAATACATGTACCTAAAGAGCAGCAATGGAGAAAAAGCACGGTTGGTCAGTCAGTACTTCAAAGGCTCTACAAAATGTCTCCTATTTTACTATTACATTTCTTCTGCCTATAATTCTGGGACATCTTTTTACGTTTACCAAGAAACAGTTAATGGAGCAAAGAGACAACTTTTTGTGATAAGTGGCATCAATGGCCAATACCAGTGGCGCCAGACTCGCATTTTGATCTCTAATTCCAGTATTATCCAAAAGGTTAGCTAGCAATAAAACCAAATATATAAATATTGTTACTAAATATATTCGCAAAACACACAAAAATCACCACTTCTTTAGTTTTGAAATAACTGAAAATATGCAATAAATTTATAGGCAAACAAAACCTCCAAATTAACACAGTATATTAATGGAGACTTCTGTAAATGAGCAAAAGATTTACGTATAAAGGGGATTTCATTGACCAAATTTAAAGTGTTTATAGTACAAATTTTAGCCCCCCTTTTTTTATTAGCTAAATTGAAAGATATTGTTTCAGTGATTTTAAATCTGCAATTATAATTGAAATTGGATTAGTGAAAGTGATTTTACGAACGTTCAAAGTCATGATTTTCAGCATTTTTTTCGCGAACTTTTTGATCGGTATGCTAATGACTTGTGACGTAGAAAGTTGAACACATATGTAACATCGCGTATTCTACTAGTAATCTTAATAAGAAACGCGAAGGAAAACACTGTGTTGCTGGCGGACCTAATCAAATTAGTTGCGCCAATGATTCAAAAACAGAAGGAATGTCGATGCATCTGTTTCCTAAAAAAGAAACAGAGCCGCAAAGACATAGAAAATGGGTAAATTTTGTGCGTAAACATAGACCGGGTTTTGAGGCTTCCTCTACCTTGTGTCTGTGTTCTGCGCATTTTGAAGATTCATGTTTTGACCTTAATTTGAGCGTGCAAGTCAAGCTCAAAAGAAGGTTGAAGAAAGATGCTATCCCAACCATTTACGTGGCTGGGATTCCTGAACCATTACAGGACGAAATAACCGATCGAAAGCGAAGATCATGTCTGCCTTAGTTTTCAGCAAAATGTTTTATTGCTCGTCCGTGTGGTCGAATACCACCAACAAAAATATAACAAAACTTCAACTGCTGCAGAACTTTGCCTGTAAAATCGTTACGGGCACCAGGAAATATGACCATGTTTCGCCACTCTTGCGCCAATTAAACTGGAAGCCTGTTCAACAGTGTCTAGACTATCGGGACTTAGTCTTCACATACAAGTGCGTAAATAACCTTGCTCCCGAATATCTCTGCAAAAAGTTCCATAAGAGTCCTCACGATCGGGCCACCCGTAATAGAGACCTATTTCAAATTCCGAGGTTCAAAACATCAACGGGCCAACGCACATTTTCATATAGGGCAGTCAAAGATGTGAAAAATTCCAAGTCTCTTGATTCTTTTAAGAAAGCTTTAAAAGATCATTTGTAGTTCCATCTTGTAATGTTACTTTTATCTTTAAAATCCTTTTAATAATAATCTTTTTTACATACATTTATAAGTCAAATATGTATATGTATTCAATTTTGTAAATAGCTACTGAAAAGCCCTATAGGGAGTACCTATTGTTAGTCATTAAAGTTCAAGATAAGTAAGTTTACGCTTGTTTATGTTAATTTTTCTTTTGTCATATGTAAATTCGATATAAGTTTTGTAGATTATTCGACATACTCTCCATAAGCCATCGTTAAAGGAAACATGTTCTCTCGATGAGGAAGTACCATCCACTAGTGATGGAGCTGAGCATGTTGAAAAATGCACTGGGGAAGCAAACGATTCGCCATTTGAAGAAGAACTACATGCAGTTGGTGAAGATATTTGTGAATCCCAGTCTCCATGTAAATCATGCCATCGTCTTAAGAAAAAACTTACATCTTTACAAAAGACTTTAAGCTGGTATAAAAAGAGAAAAAACCCAGAAGTTCCAAAATGAATATCGAAACGAAATCAAGGAAAATCGTAATACATCCGTGGTGACCAGCATTAATATAGACGATGAAATGCAGGGGAGTGCTGATGAGCTTTTCGATGGAGCATCATACATGGACTACTACTCTTTCGAAGAGTCTAGTCGGAGTGAAGATTTAAATGAAGATACTACAAGTAGAAAAGTCAGGTATTTTATCTTATAAAGAAGTAGATCTCTGTTGTATGTCATAATAATGAATTTTCCGAGTATTCCCCCATCCCATAGACCCACAAAACCATTGCATCAACTACCTGTATGCCACAGCTCTCAAGTACCTGAAGTAAATAAAAAGGTTGGACTAATTATTGTTGATGAAACAATGTTGATGATAACATTGTTTCTCATACAATTTACAATCTTACATATTTAATGATTGTTGTGCTTGGCGGAAATAAGCACGTCCATTCCTATCTCTCAATAGTGGCACGACGTTTTCAAGGACAGCCTCATGAACTAAAGGCCCCAATTTGGCATGCTGTGTTATGCATGATATTTTCTCAATGCTGCCATCGAATGTTATTTTCTGCAAAGCTGGTCCTATTTCCTTACAGCATCTGTACTCTAATGCGCCTTCTAACAAATCGGTATGACAGCATTGACAATTACACCTGAAACGTGGGAGCAATGTGGTTTATAAAGTAACTTTATGTATATTACAAACAGGAGAAAACAACAACTTACCATTCACCGAGTGGAATTACGCCATCTCTTCGTTGTTCTAATGTCGCAGGGAGAATTCCATCGGGATCATCTGGAGTATGCACTTCATCACCATCTCCTGCGAGCGGTTCATCGTCATATGCGAAGTCGTTTAAATGCTCGACATAACCCACGCATTCCGAGCTCGAATCAGATACGCATTCAGACATCAAATTTGAATTATCTGAGCACTGATTTGAGACCATACTTTCCAGAAAACTTGTTTTATAATATTCTATTGATAATACTGTCATTATTTGTTTTTAAGACAAGAAAAACGACAACAAAATCACCTCCTATAATATAAAACTATATGGACGGAAACAGACGTGTTCAACTATCTACGTCACAAGTATCAATATGGCGTCGTAAAAAATTCGCAAATAGTACCCGACTTTGGAGGCAAAATTAAGGAACTTATATTTATCTGTTTAAGTCCAGCGACATGTCATCGTTCTTCGAATAATCCAAATTTTCAATTAAGCTCATAAAAAAGGGGGGGCTAAAACTCGTAATATAAGCACTTTAAGGATTATGCACAAATAGCCTAAAATAAAGCAAAAGTGTTTCGAGCATCAAAGGGTACATCATTCTGTAAATTTTCATGTTTGTTTACATCTTTCTGTAAAATTTCGCATTTTGGACAGTAGTTAATTACAGAAAATGACACATAAACCATACTAATAAACCTTAAACACGTTGCATCATGATGTAAAGGAAACCAATGAGAATGCGTTTAAAATTGTGCAATATATTTATTCCTTTTTGTATACAAACTTCTTACAGATAATTATTGAAGGCATCACTGGTAGTTCATATGCAGACACTATTGCAGTGGATGACTTGCGATTTATTGATTGTGAAGCAAGTTCGACTACACCTCAGTATTATTCCCTGGACACAACAACAAGAATTTTGCAGCAGACAACCCAAAAGCCCTTGTCAACTACTCGGAAACCCTCGTCTACTATTCGAAACCCCTTCATTACCATTCGACTTTCATCGCTTGCAACTCGTAGCCCTTCGCCTACTACTCAGAACCTTTTGCATACTACCATGACCTCCTCGCCTATTTCTAAGAACTCTAGGCAAACTACTCAGATGCCGTGGAGCACAACATTGAAGACATTGCAATTATGTAAGTATTTTTTGCTCAGTTCTGAAATCAGACTTTCAAATTGAAATCACCAAATTGAAAACACGATTTTAAACCCCAAAACCCTGCTGCATAATCTTAATTGCTTTAAGTTTGCCAACTACTGCAGCTTTTTAGAAGTATGAAATGATTGAATTATACGCAATGCTTTAATTATAGTGCACCAGTAGTGCACGTAATTTTAAGTAGGGCTTCACCCTACAGATTGTTTTCATCAGTCGCCATGTTGGGGCAAAGTCCTATGCAGCGAAAAGAATTTATGCTAATTTCATACTCTTTTGACATAGATATAATAGAACCTAGATTGCTAACGCACATCGTGCGGCCGTAGCAAATTGAACATTTCAAGATGGCGGCTCAAGCGGAAAAAGAACTATAATTTGTATTATAACATGATATTTTTCGCATTTCCCGTCGTTGTACCTCTTTCATCGACGTTCTAGCCACTTTTTCGCAAATCGGATGACATTGCAGAGTTTCTGTTCGTAAATTTGGATGCATCAAAGTAATAACGCGACAAATATCGCTTCGTCAAATTTTTACCAAGTGGTCACTTGAATCAAATCAAGCATTACATTGTGAGAAATACCGAGTTTGGTTTGATGTTAACTTTTAAAAAAGGTGACTTACGGTGAAAGAGAAAACCATAAGAACAAGTATACAATGTTTCATAGATCCAGTGACTCCTTTCAGTACATTCAACGACAGAAGCAAAATCGACCAAACTTTTATGTTTCAAATAAAATATAAATATTTTACACAAATTGAAGTATTTTACAGTTATGCAGTTTACTCTTTCATATCATGGCAACAATATTACAATTATTACACACACACACACAATCAGGCCACAGTAATGAGTGGGGTTTGTCATTAAAAAATACATTTGTCTCAGCATGTCATGGCTGCAACATTTCTATCAACAACTTATATTTACGCATCTAAACCATGTCTTGATTGACATATGAACCGAACAGCTTGAAACATAAGTGTCCCCAAAATGCACACAAAAATGGTAATGACAATTTGTCTTGTAAATATTTACAAAATCAATTGAAAAGCATTTTAGCCGATTCCAGATCATTTATTCTCATTTATTATTATTCATCTTCTTCTGTGAGTTTAGTATGTTGTGTCAAACATCAAGAGTCTAGTCCCAGACGAACATATAAAACCATGCAAGAGTCAATACATGTGGCAGTTGACCAAACTTACCTTAACTTTGGAAAATAAATAATAATTCAACTTGCTTCACTACTATGCACCTACACTAAGTAGTTTCAAAATAATATACATTTGACATGTCCATCTCTTTATGTAGTAAAAAGGAACAGGCAGACTCCTCAGCCTCAAGTGTTTTGACTAAAAAGTCTTCGGCTGTTTCTGCTCTTTTTGGTGAATGTTACCAATTAAATGAGAAATTCAACCAGGAAACATCAATATTTCGACCTTACATAAGACAAGACTCAACGAAATAACTATCTTTGGACTCAGGTGACAACACGATAAAAATTTGACGAAGCGATATTTGTTGTGTTATTATTTTGATGCATCCAAGTTTACATCCAAAAACTCTGCAATGTCCTGCCATTTCCAAAAAAGTGACCAGAACTTGAATGGAAGGGGTACAACGACGGAAAATAGGAAAATCCTTATTTTCGTAATAGAAATTATAGTTTTTTTTGCCCGATTGAGCCGCCATCTTGGAATGTTCAAATTGCTACGGCCGGCTACGTATAACTTGTATATACGTCAGCAATCTATGTTTATTATATCTATGTCTTTTGATCATCGACCAAAAGCTTTAATGTATCACCAACAAGGCCGTTTTGACGTCACATGCAAACACTCCATATATGAAAAAATCAGGCTATTCGAATGCCATTTTCACAACGTCCTATACAATATGTCATGTTTGTCAAACTTCCCCATTACTTGTTTTGATTTTGTGATGCTGCAAACAGCCAACTGCAGAACAATTGATACCAATATTAGCAATTATATAAGTATCCACTTTCTTTGTCTTAGATATTAAATATTTCTTCATTTAAAGCAGCCCAAGGCTGTAATTTTCTTAGTACATTTTGGACCCGCAACTGTCCATGGGGAAACGTATTGTCAGATGAAAATAGCTATGACGACTATCATTGGAGAGTGAACTTAACTTCGACTAGTAAGCAACTACATCTGTTTATTATTATTCCAAATCTTGATATTATATTGTATTTTAATGGAATCATATTAGTACTTTTATTAAAATGCCTTAATTTCATTGGATAGCTACTTTACTAGCTATTTATTTAGGAATTAGATTACGAGCTCGATTTATGAGGTGATGGTTTACAAAAGCGATGCCCAAATTAACTATCACCTCATTGAAATCGAAAGCGAGTAATCTAAAAGAGTCGAATCATATCAGTATTCATAAAGAAAAGGTTGCTACAGTTTTTCTTGATGCTACAGCATTTTTATGCATTTCTTGTTGTTTCTACTTTTTATATCAAAAAGGGGACGATTTTTCTCATTGAAGTTTTTGTATTTCATTTTTGTCTACTTCATTAGTAATATCTTAAAGTTGTATTTTGTGGCAACTTTAGCCTTCTAAATCAAAAAACAATGAAGTTTATCGTCAGGGGGCGGTTGTTCAAAAGCCAGTTAACTTAACCTAGAGTTAGCAACTAAGCTAGGGTTAAATTCGTTAACCAAAGGTTAGGTAAACAAAGGTTAAATTTGCATTGTTAATAGAAGTATTAAGCCAATGGCGGAGGCCGCGCAAACTCGATAATTGGGCAAGGCAAATATTCATATATGCATTTTCTACCTTAGTAACTTCTGTTGAAATCAATTGTGGTTAGGGATTAACAAAGATTAAAACATACGATTGTATGAATATTCCCCCCCCCCCAAATTATCGAGCTTGCGTTGTCTAGTATGTGGCCTGTAGACTAAAAGAAAGTTGTGGGCCTTTAATTGATATAGATTCCTCCCATTAAGTTTAGTTTTTGCTTGCTTTTACGTTTCCTGCTTGTAACCCCATAGGGTAAAAATTAGGAACATAATCAAGGAAACTGGGAAAAAACCACTACTTCATGAGTTCTGAGCATTGCGCATTTCAACAGTAGATAATGCAAAAGCCATTTTTCATTTGCATCCGACTGCTCGTAAGGTTTTCAACAGGATAAATGATCTAAGTTAAGCACATTTAGCTGGCCCGGGAAAGCAAAACCTGCAGATCCTAATTTTATAAATATACAATGGGCCTTTTAAAAGCACGGGGATGTAGGCTTAAGCCTACTTAGCCTACTGGTTATCCGTTTCTGAGTTAAGCGCTGAGTTAACTTACCCAGGGTTAAGACAATTAACCTTGGTTTAAAAAGCGCGCAAATCCAAATAAGGTCAAATAACAATGTCAGTTCATTCAACACAACCAATCACACACTGAAAGTCAGCTTGTAAAAAAAATTGTTTTCATTCTATCGATTACGTAGTTTTTCGTCAATCAAAGATGGCCAATTTTAAAAGTGATTCCTAGTTCTATTTAATGCCAATGATAAAGCTCTTATCATTTCCCACTGGTCAACAATTCGATTATCTTGCACAACTTGTACGAAACTGTCCGAAGCAAAGAACCTCAAAGAAATTACGAATTGTTGTAGATGACAAAAGTGCAAGGCTTTGCTTTGTATTCTAACTAAAAATCTTAAAGAAGCGGTTTTTTTATACAATTATTTCGCTTCTGCCGAATTTAGTTCATGCTCACCAGGGGCGGATCTAGGATTTTTCAAACATCAGTCATAAAACGTCGGAGGCACTCCGCACCTGGGGGGGTCTGAGGCTATCTCTCCTGAGAAATTTTGAATTTCAGAGCCTTGAAAATGCCATTTTCAGCGTTTTAGAGCATTACAAAATGTACTTTGTGGGCATCGTTTTTGCTTAAAAACAACACATTTTGGTTAGGTTTTTTTCAAAAAAAAAAAAATGAAGTGAACAGTACTTGAATGTTTTGCCAAATATTTAGGCTCATTATTATGCCAAATATATGGCTGATTAGCATGTCTAGGAACGTAAAATATATTTTACAATAATGCTATTCAAAAACAGATATAGCATTTAAGAATTTCTACCAAGTTGTCAGGCATAGACCCCCCTAGAGACCCCCATTCAAATCTCTATGTAATGAGTTAAGTTAGAAATTTGGTACTACAAGTGACAGTTCATAGATATAGAAAAGTCTGAGAAAAGCTCAGACTTCAAACCATGCAAGTTTATTGTAACCCTTTACCCATCTCCACATAAGTATTAGCAAATTCACCTTTTGAGAAAAAACTCAAAATTTTTTCTGCCAAAAATTAAGCAAAAATTATCAGAGTGAAAATTTGCAGTTAAGGACAGCTTAATGCCATAAGTGTTTATTAGGCATTTCACTTGACTATTATCTTCTGCAAGGTGTGCTATATAGCAATCACTAGTAGCATTGTATTATCAAATACAAACAGAATGTAACCAACATGTCTTTAATTATATAATTACATGAATGTTAAAATTGGTTCATGTGTCATGCTTACTGGTCATGATAAATATCTTTTCATATGATCAAAGCTCGTATAAATGTAAATCTGAAATAATTTAGTTTATAAATTATAATTATCATCAGAAAAATTACCTAGTGATCATGAAAAATACTTTGCTGTTTTGCCAAATTTCAAGGTTTATCTGCATACATAGGAAGACATTTTTACTTTATAGAAAATGCTTTTCATACATCAATAGCCCTTTGGAATTTATGGCAAACAATCTGGTATGAGCCGTAGATTAACACACCATTACATCTCTACATGAGGTGTTCAGTTAGAAAAGGGGACAATATGTGACATGGGACAACATTTCATGTATGTGAAATACTAAGGTTTAATACCATTCCAGTCAAATTGTCAAAATAAAAAGCTTCATGGATCAGAAGACTCAAAATCACAGGTTATAGTAAACAGCTTCTCATGTAATCAATGTTAGTTTTCTCAAATTTTAAACAATATGTAGTATAACTGTTCAATGATTGAATGATCAATGATCATAAACTGAAAAGCCCCAAACATTTGTTTATGATAAAGTAAATAATAGTATGGCGCCTTATGGCTACAGATTTTTTGTCCATTGAAATATATTTGCGGGAATGTAGGATTTCCCTGCCATATAACGGTCACGATTCCCCAAGCACAAAAGAAATCATAGCTAAAAGTCCTCCGGCAACAACAATTTTAGAAGCATATATCTTACCATACGCCATATTGACATAAATCGCATCACACACTCGCATAAATTGACTTTGATATATTACATTCATGCATACTCTTCAGTTGTCCTTTACTTACGATTTTGGATGTAAATTTCTGCTGATAAAACTCAAAACAATGTTGGCTTGCTTTTGAACATCATTGACTGAAATGTCGCTCCGAGATCGTCTTTGCCAAGCATTTACAATTCATCCATTAATTTTTCGCCCTCTTGAAAAAATTCCCAGTTTGGAAAGCAGCATTCATGTCAATATATGAATTTGTAAAAGATTTCCATAAATTCCATCTGATTGTAGTTTAGTTTCTATCATGCTTTAGAAAATTATTATAAAACGATCAAACATTCAATTCAGACAGTGAGCTTGACTATGTTAGTTTAGTTGGCTATCACTCGAAATAGGTCAAACCAATCACAGTAAGGCAAAAATTTAAACGAACCAATTACACGATGGCAAGTGGACTCCCTTATAGATCCGGCCACCCCGCTTATCGGTCGAGATTATTCCAGATCGTCCACTGATCTGGCTATTGACCAATGAAATAAGCGTTTTTGGCGTTCATAGACTCCTTTATATGTCGAACCAGTCAAGCCATCCCGCTTATCAGTCGGTTATTCCAGGTCAATTAAAATTCAACTGATTTGGTTACCAAGGAGATATTCATTTATTTGTCATTAGTTTTCAATAATAAATAAAGCTGGATTTTTATCACGAAGTAAATGCGATAATAAAGTAAGAATAATTAATGAATTTTTAACTAATATGAAAAAGTAATTTTTGAGTTTCAAACATCAGTCGCGCGACGGATTTGACATACTCTAGATCCGCCCCTGATGCTCACTCTCGCAAAAACTTTTAGTATTTTGTCCTCGTAGACGATATCTTTTGCAACGATGATAATTTACACTGGAAATGAAAAGCAAATTCTGTCATGAGTTGTTTTTTTTTACGAAAATAATATGTTAAGCTAGTGTTAAGTAATTTACCCCACCTAGTGAGGAGGATTAAAGTAACCCCATGTTTTAACCAAGGGCTTAAAATAACCTAGTTTCGAGAAACGCAAACTAACCAAGGGTTAAAATTTAACCCTTGGTTAAGTTTATTTAACTCTGGGTTAGCGTTAACCGGCTTTTGAACAACAGCCCCCAGGAAGCTAACTCAAACAGAAGACGGCAGGTTCGGCAGCCATGTTAGTTTGCAATAAAATTATGATAAGAAACATACTCTGAATAAAAGGTCTATGTTTAACTTAAAATTTGAGAATCAACCCGAAATTTTTGTTAATATAATAAATTTCGAATTTATTCAAAATTCATCATGAGATTCGTGTGGCAATAAATTTGAAATATTACTGTGCAGGCCGAAACTTCTGGGGAGGGATGGTACACCGCCCCCACAATTTTTCCAATCTTTTATCTCTATAGTCGGTAAGTTAAAAGAACTTATTGGTCAGATTTTAGAAATTGAGATAAAAATAGAATCTGATGTACTTTATGACAGAAAACATAAGACAAAATTATTAAAATGATATGTTGTTTCATATTTTAAAATGCTCATCGGGTATGATTTTTGTTTTCGTATATATCAACTCTGAAAACAAGCATTGCAAACTTTTAAGATAAAGCATTAAGAAAAATTTGGCAATTCCGTGATGTGTCAAAATGATATGTGGAGATACTGTTCCATTTTACTGAGGAAAGCAGTTGTTTTGTAAGCTCAACAAAAGTAGACAATAGCGCCAGTTTATCGTTATTTGTAATATTGAATTCTTTTGTCTGGTATATATTTGTATAATATTATTCCCATTACTGTCCATGTTAAATAGTCCATGTTGTTTCCATGTAAAATTCATTTATCCTAAGTCCAATTCACTATACTGAACACTAAAACCTTGGTTTAACTTTAGTTGAACTCAACCAATATGAAGACGTAGAATGAATTAAACTAAAATCAAACCTGTGTTAATAGTTTTAACAATTTAAAAAAGACATACATGAGTCCATTTGTACTTGGATTGGATCTAAATTAGTTTATGTCGCGGAAATTAGGCTGAGGTTTACATCAACGTATAATTAGTTTTATTTACTTGTAATAAATTATATAGTTATTCATACATTGTTGAATAATATCCCTAATTGGAATAAATGGACAATATAAAGTATATGAGCGTAATTTAGAAAATTCAATGTGAACCTTATCCGCGAGATAAATACCGTTACACAAACATATAGCTAAATGAGAAATTAAAGAATAATACGTTTTCCACCTGTAATTATAACAAACAAAGTTCTCGCGCTGCACCACGTAAAAACAACTTCTTTAAATAAACTTAGAATAGTTCAAACTTTTAGACATATATAGTTTTATAGAATTTCTAATTAATTGTGGAAAAAAAGTGGAAAAATTTGCTTGCAAAACTGACTTTAATATAGCTTCATTGTGGGAACATAATAATTTCTGATAAACTAAAAAGCAACTAGCTACATGTTTTACAGCAATTAGTCCGGAATCATAGTAATTTGTTAACAAATGGGCATCGCAAAAAAATTTGAAAAACTCAAAATTAAGTTGAAATTGCATTATCATGATTATAAACAATTAAAAAAAGTGCATGCATGATGTCATAACTCGTTATTGTGAAAGGAAATATGTTGTATAACCATGATCTTTAGCGCCATAAAGCTATATTTTATCAGCTTATTGATCATCAAACTATGCAAGTGAAAATTGAAGAAACTGTTCACTGACTCCTATATACAAAAGAACATAGCAACTACCAAATGTTATTGGATTTTTATATTGTATTTTATCATTTCGTATTAAACTTTATCCGTCTATATCTGTCCAGTAAATTACCTTTACGAGTTGTCAAAATTTATCGCGCAATTCTATGGCCACGACCTTCATGTCCGGAAAAATAGTCCGTCACCTTCCAAAGTTTATACCCAAGTTTCGGCCATGTTACTGTGATGCAATAAATTAAAAATATTACTGTGTCAAAAAAGTGTCTTGTTTGTTTCTAAAATTTTGAGTTACGCATGGACCTTTCATTCGGAGTATGCTTTTTTACTGTGCAATAGATTACAATTATGATTCTCCCAATAATAATTAGCAAAAACATGCCAGCCAACCAAGTTGTCACGTGCTTTACTTGGGTTTCTAAAGGTAAACTTCATCATTTACTTCAGAAAACAATTTTCGAGAAGGCTTAAGGTATCAATATATACGACATTAAGATATTTAATGGTAAAAAGATAAAAAATTTAATTTAACTAAGTAACTATGGTTTGGATAAGAGCCATTCGATTTTATAATATAAAATATAATATAAAATTGTAGCTACCTTACTCTTTATGATTACTAATATGACTTGCTCTCGATTTCCATCATCGGATATTTTGTATTTGGGCTTTCTCCTTATCAGATATCACCTTATAAAAATCTCAACTTGTACTCTATTGTTAAATTTGAAGAGTTCTTTCATTACTATTTTGTATTTTGTTAATTTGCAATCAATTTCGTGTAGGTTTCGTTTTTAACTAAATAATTAAAAATCCTAATTAGGAGGAGGATATGCATATGTAAAATGGCCATCGGAAACAACAAAGAAAAAGGCCTGGTTTGTGAGTGAATATTTTAGTAATTCTAGTGAGTGCTTCAAGTTCTCCTATCGCATACATGGCACACATAGACAAAAAGTTTTACAAGTCTACCAGCAAGCTTTAGGAAGAGTGAAAATATTGCGTTGGTCACAAAGCAAAAGTAAAACATCTGTTTGGCATGACGCTGAAGTTACGATGCCAAAGCTGGAGCACAATTTACTTTATAGGGTAATTTTTTAAAATATATTTGGAACCTATCTTAGTTAAATTGGAAATTGTATATTGTAATATTGATATGCTTTTTTCTGTTTTCTTGTAGCTAATCATCGAAGGTGTTTTTGAGGCATATAGCAATGGCGAAATAAATGTATACAAATTTTCGTTTACTTCTGGAGCTTGCAATGGTTAGTTCAAGATGTCGTATATACTATAATAATTTAGCCATAATACACAGATCATCTATTTACAAATATATGTAAATCGCAAAGAATGATGTTTACTTGAAAAAAAGTGTTCTAAAACCATGTGTACTAGTCTGTGCAAAAATGCATATACTAAAATTTTCATTTGACGTTAATGATACTAATTGATTTGCAAACAAGCGTGTTGTTTTGAGCAGTTTATATACAACTTATGTAGGACATTTTCCCTTAAGTACTAATTTTTTTGTCTTCTCAACGATCAATTTCCAGACAGTAGTAAATCCTCTTCGAATGAAAATGCTGGTGTCATTATTGCATCTGTTGCAATCGCTCTTCTGATAGTCATGAACGGAATTTTCATCATTTGGTATATACGCCATAAAAACAAGCAGAAAACATCTTCCACAACTTCCTCTGACAGTTATCAGAATCCAGCCTATTCAGACGGTGAACAAAAGAAGACGACTGTCTTACCACCACCACCAAATTTTAAAAGTGAAAGTAAATCACCACCAGTTGATAGCAATGCGCCATTTGCTATGGCAAAGCGTGGTGTTTTATATTTTGTACCTGATGATAATCAATCAAATGTTATACCATCCAATCCACCTCACAACAACACAAATGCAGACCAAATGTCTTTTATTTCCACGTCCGCTTCTGAAAATCCTTACTACATTCCCAGTTTATCGCTAGACCAGGACGTTCAATCACAATATCATTATTAAAATAAGCTTTGGGTGCTGAAAGCTTAATAAGCCTCAAAATTGAATATTCTAAATGGCACTTATATCACTTGATAATCAAGCACTAGTTCATTTACCTCCTCAAGAAATACATTGCTCGCAATGGACCTTGTGTATATTTAATGAAGTTATAATTTTTTTAAATAAATTTGTATGCACTTACTGATTTTTCTTAATAATTTTAAACTTAGTTGTATACTCAACTTGCAAAATTTTAATCATGTTTATCACATTTTTTATTGTTTTTATTATTTTGTGTACAATAAATAAACTTGTAAGCAATGCAGGCATAAATAGGTTCAGTCGATCACCGAAAAAGTACGAAACTGTCATGGAATACACTTGATGTTCATCACTTTTAACATTTAAAGCTATTGATGCAAGGGTAGACAACGACAATGGATATCATTCTCTTCAAGATTCAAAAAAGTGATTATTAATATAAGGTTTGTTATACAAAAATTCAATTGTTTTCGAAATGTCATTTACAAAAAATGTCAAAAATATGTCACTCTGCTATCATTTACTTTTTGCAAGTGATTACTTTTATAAAAAATAATTAGTATACATAAAATATCCGAGTATTGAAAAAGCTCAATTACAAGCAATTAATGGCCACGAGAAGTGTTTAACATGGTAACAGCAAATTCCTAATTTTTTTTACTATCTTGTTCTAGGATAAAACCATCCCATGCACCTACCGAAAGTTAAAAGGACTTTCTTTCGACATTGCTGACGTTTTGCAGTTTAAGACTTTATAATTATGAATTTATATAATTTTAAAGAATTACATCCAACTTGGAATACGTGTTTGCAGTATCCTTATATCCATAGGATACAAAATTTTAATTATAAATACTAAATATTGCTGGCTTATATCCAAGTGCGATACTAAAAGTAAAAGTATAGCTATATGCGAGTTTCATGGGTTGAATCTTTGGCGGAATGTATGTGAAAATAACAATTTTTCCTTATTTGTCGCACGAAATATCCAAGATTCAAATCCTTTCGGAAGCTTGTGAAAAAGACGAGCGTTTTTAGCCTTTCTAGCATTTTATTGTGGAAACCTATGCTGGAGTCACCAAGTCAGCCCGTCGCCATCTTTTTCAAATTATTATTGTTTCTTCATTGGTTAAATATTTCATAAACAATCTTTTACTAACCAATGAAAGAAGTCTTTAAATTTGAAAAAGATGAACCAAAAAAAATTCTTACACCACGATGGTTTGTGAACCGATGTTGTATACGACGCAATAAAAAGTTTGATTTTGGTATTATTTGTAATATAAATAAGAAGCTATAGTAAAATATAAGATATACATAAGAATTCCAGTATAAACTTGTTCGGTATAAACATGTAAAACATGACAATAAAAAACTACGAACAACAGTTTATCGCAAGCCAACACATACTGACCGACTACTAGACCAATCATCTTACAACCCTACATCACACAAAGCCACCACAATCAGAACTTTAACAAGACGTGCACAAAAATCATATGTGATTCACCGGACGCTCTACAAAACGTAAACAACTATCTCAAACGTGTTTTTGACAAAAACAACTATAACTCTGACTTTATCAAACGCAACACTTACAAACCCAACGAACCCAACGAAACGAACAACTCAGTGACAACAGCAAAGATACCTTACATCAAAGGTACGTCTGAGACTATCTCGCGTATCTTACGACCATACAACATACGTGCCGCACATAAACCAATCACAACGTTACGACAAGTACTGACGAACATAAAGGACAAAGAACAACCCAACGAACGACAAGGTGCAGTTTACAAAACTGCTCTGACTGCCACGCCTCCTATATCCGGGAAACTGGCAGGAACTTAAGCATAAGACTTACTGAACACAAACGAGCTACTAAGAAACAAGACAAAACTAATCAAATTGCCGAACATCACCGAATCACAAAGCACAACATTGACTGGGACTCGGCAAAGTGCATCACCTACAGTACTGACTATAGACAACGGCTTACATTAGAAAGTTGGTATACCAACTTGGAACAAATCCCCCTGAACAGATCACAGCAATTACCGGCACCTTACAAACGACTTATTCACAATACATACAAACGATCAACTACAAACATTACACTTCACACAAATTCCCAATGACAATACACAATTGACACCCACACATTACAACTAAAAACATCACAACTAAATCACACATCACAACTAAAAATAAAATATTTCACTTCACACTAATTCACAATGACAATACACATTTCTTGTACACACAATACAATGACGTAAGAACCAGATAACAAATACGGCTATCCTGACGTTTACTCCTCATTTGACTCTGAAGATGACTACCCCTAAGGTTGTCGAAACTTCAGTCAACAACAACAAAAACAGTCCTTCTCAGGACTTTATTAACATGGACGATCATCATTTACAAAACATGTAACGATACTCCCGGGTTCAAACCATTTACTTTAGTATAAACTTCGTTCAAGATAAATCCATCCCAGCGTCAACTTACATTTGTGCCATCCATTGTCAAAAGAAACAAATAATTTAAAAAATATATCATTTTCTACCGATATTCCAGAGGTTTCCTTCTTCGTGCTTGCAATTTGCAATATGAAACTGCTAATGATTTCGGGCACATTTTACTTACAATCCATTACTTTATTTTATCTAATCAAAACGAAACTAAGATTAACATTTAAATTTTAAACTGTTTCCGATGCTATCAGCAAGATATATGACAAAAATCTGACTGAAGGAATGAGAGTAAGTTCTTTCCTTCATTTTTATAAAAACACTGCTAACTAAATCATCTTGTCTTGTAAACACTTGAAATACTTTACAAGTTTCCATTTTCCTCTCACTGTATATGGACAAACGACGACAGCGTATCATTAACTCGAATATTTAGCAATTCTGTATTTCAATTCTTTTCTATGAACGATTTAAAGTAAAAACAACCTCGACCACTTTTACGAAAATAATTCCATAACTCGTCAAAAAAATTCCAATCTCTGTGGGTTCTTTGTTTAGTTTTTATTTTTTATTTATACATAAGTGACAGAAGCACAAAATTTAACCTAGGAGGGGGCTACAAGTAATATTTACTAAATTTACATCTTCCTTTTTGGATCAAGTTAGGCAAAATTATAAAAATGTTAGCAAAAACTTTATCTCGGAGAAAAAGTGAGAGGATCAAGCCCCCCCTCCCCCCAGTCTCCTCTTTGGCACCGTTTCTATACACTGTATTGTATACTAAAGTTTGATTACAATAATGATTAATGATGAAATTTCACGAGTCGTTTTCATGAGTTTATTTGACTACTCACATCTAATCTTTTTGCTTTAAATTTATAAATTGTATTATATTATTTAAATTATATTATAACAGAAAATAACCTCCCATAATGAGGTGGCATTTATGGATATCAATTGCATTACATATTCAAAATTATTTGTTAGCAAACCTTTTATTCCTGTAAGAACCCCTTTTGTTAAAGTAAAGAAAATTAAAAATGACGAATGAAAAATGCCTTCAAGTCGTTATAATAAACTTAAATTTAGTTTTAAAAGTTGCTTTAGATACATAAATACGAGTTTCATTTGGAATGCAAATAAACATTGATCTGTCAGGCATGTTTAGTAGTGACACTTCAACGAGATGCTTCTGTAGCTAACTCTTAATGTCAGTAGCTAACTTCGTTATAAAAATTTCACTTCCATTTTACAAAATTACCTTCCTTCATTACATGTCCCATACATCAATCAAAAAATGTTGATCATAATTCATGCCTTATTGTGACGTCAATTTTTTCAAGCATGTGAGTTTCGTTACATTGGCAAATACAAACAAAGATGAAGGGCGAGTGAAGTATCTCTTCAACAAGCAATATTATAGAACATAAAACATTAATGACATCTATGTATAGCCCCTTACGAAAATTTCTCATTTGATTTCATATATATGTGAAATTGGAATTTCATATATGAAATAGACACATTTTATATATCAAGTGTTTCAATTTCACATAAGTTTCACATATCATTTTATATATAAAATCAAATGTGAAATTTTCGTAAAGGGCACTTCAGTTATATAACTAAGTATACATCAGTGACTAAAATAACTGTCATTGAAATAAAAATACAAATAGATACGAACCACATGCAGAGTGCATGATAACATTGAAATTAGACAAATAACGAATAACTGCATGTGCTAAATATAAAAGGTCTACACAATTAATCTCTGAATGAGATGATCACCTTTCCATGACATACGACAAGATTTCAAAATTGTATAAGTGGAGTTTTTTGCCTAGTTACTCAAAACTCATGCCTGTATAGTATAATGAAGAGAAAGTTCATATTATGAAAACTATTGTCATTAAAAAAATTATTGTAAATTATAATTACGTGTCAAAAATCAACTGCACGCAATTTTAGCTATTTATGATGAGTGAAATAACAGAGTAGGTACAACAGGAAAGGATGCAATAAAAATAAAAGTTAAAACTACCAAACTAAAATTACATAAAGTATCATTTTGAAAGTCCACTGTGCGACAAGTCAAAAGAATTAACATTATAGAGAAAATCAATTTGTTTGCGGTCTTCTTCTGTGTAAATATTGACTTTTTTTTGTGGATACCTAATTGCCGAGCTAAGGACTCGATTTTGGAATCCATTAACAAAATTTTAGTTCATTTTTAAAATAAATCATAATGATCCAAGCTTTTAATAGAGAATTTGTTTTTCTATATGTAAACGAAAGATTTAGAACAATTATATAATATGTTGTCTATCAAGGTGGTCAATAAATAATAAAAAGCACAATTTTCCTTGAAATTTGAAGTACTACACTAGTTGAGAAAGAATAATAAAGTGCGTGCATAATGGTAGTTAATGACAGTTTCGGCTAGTTTTAATAACGCTAACCTTTGCTTAGACATGGTGGTCCATGGTTTAAACGTTGTCGCTTAGACATGTCATTCCATCGCGTTTCACGGTTTAAACGTTGAACGCTTAGACATGGCGTTCTAACAATAACTCAGTTTTAGGTAATTCACCAAAACAATACATTCCTTGCCAAGCCATTCAGTTGACGAGCCATCAGCATGACGTATGTTTTATTTGCTTTTTTTATTGTTGAAAATGA